TCGTTATCATTGAACAAAGATCCCATTTTGATTATCGGACAGAGGAACCATCGCATCTTACCATGTCCCCCAGGTGATTCATGGCCAGCTCAAACGTGTGTCTTCCCAAGGAGAATTCCAAATTATGGGTGTTGATGTATTTCAGGTTTTTCTCCCATATGACCCTTCGGGGAACTTCTTCCATCTGTTAAGATGCCCAAGCAAAAGTTAGATTCAAAGACACAGCCGACATCCACGTGGCAAAATGGTGTTTTATTTTTTTGTCTGGATTCCTGTTACATGGGGAGCATTTCTATGCCCCAAAGTGTTGGTCACTTGTTTAAAAATGAGGATAAAATCCCTAAATTTATATTTCACTTACTCAAGAATTTGTGCAACGCTTTTTAGAGGCAGAAATACAAGCCTGGCAACAGATTTGATCTATGGTACCCCTGGAGGTAGAATTGGGTAAGACTTTGCAGAAGAGTTCTGCTTTCCTTCACTCGGACAGGTCTATAAATCAGATTTCTTACTCACATGGGATCCCCCGAGATTTCAAACAGGATCTTTTCCATCCCAGCAAGAGGACACTACAAGTTTGACCTGGATTTTTGGCCTGCAGTGCAGTTACTACTCCATTACAGCCTTTAGTCTTAAAAGGAACTAAGAGTCTAGTCCTCATCATCTTGAATTATAAAACATCAGACTCAGGTTATACATTTAAGTCTGCCTACTGGACTGTTTAGCTGATCTCTGAAGGCTGCCCTCAGCTGGCTCTTTAGGTGGCACAAAGAAGCCGTTGGCACAGTATTTGGCGCAACTGGATTTCACGCCCAGCCGAGAACCTGGCAGTTTCCGGGCCCTTACCTTGCCATTATAATCCTTCCGGTGAATTTTCTTCCAAAGCTCCCACTGAGAGTCCAGCATTTTGTCCAGAGAAGACCCCATGGCCGCCACGTTTGCCACAGGCAGCAGTGTGGCTAACAGAAGGATGAGTGACTGCATTCTGGGAGGATCAAACAGGACACACACGCTATGGGAAAGCTCAGAGATTGTGCGAAAGAGGGTTTATTGGACAAGCCCCAAGGATACGGTTCCCATTTGAAATCTCCCCCCACCCCTCACTAGTCTTCGCTCCCCCTCCCCGTCCTTTCTTCCAAAAGGAGACCACAGCTGGTTCCTGTTAGAGAGATACTTCGCCATTTTCAGCAAAACAGACGCCCGTCTGCCCAGACAGCCGAAGAGAAACTTAAAACCTCAAATTAGAAGTAAAAATGAAGCCTAATTTATCTGGTGTACAGACAGAGGACAAGGCGGTTTGTTTCCTGACTTAAGAATGAAATAGCTCCTCCCGCCTCACCCTTCCTTGGAGGGTGGAAAATGGTTTTCCAATGTCACGTGAAGTTTTTGTTTTCCCTTCCTCCCTAAAAGCATGAAAACTCCAACGGTGGCAAAACAGGACGGAGCTCTGGATGCAATTAGAGATAAATGAGGAATTGAGAAATTCTTGTTTAGAGGCATCACACAAAGGATGCAACTTTACACCTCTTTTTCCGATCATTTAAATGTCCTGCAACTTTGACACACAGAAGGCAGAGGCTGGCTTGCGGGGGAAATCGGATGACTTTGTGCCTGAACCGATGTCCCCAATGGACTTGAGGATCCAGTGAGGATTCCCATCAGGCTGAGACAAGTGAGCACTGGATCCCTCTTCCCAGCTCCCTTGAGGAGGATCTGGCTTGCCTTGGAAGGGCTGCAAGGAAGTTTGCTCACTCCACCCTCCAAAAAAACCCCATTCCTGGAATCCATGCTCTCTTTGGCTTACCTCTCCCAGAAATCGCTTGTTTCCTCAGCAGAAATGAGAGTCAAAGGCCAGCTCTGGTGCAAGAGAGGATCTCCCTGGGGCAGCTACTCAGAATAGGAAGAATCTCAGCTGCCTGGTTTGTTTTTATGGTGATACAGCTGGGGGGTGGGGGGAGAGTCTAGCCGACAGTGGAAAATCTGCAGCACTGATCTCATGCAACTTATGCTCCAATCGGTCGGGTGAGCAAGGCGGTGAGTGAGGCAGACATCCTGTGCAGGAACCGGGAAGGGGCAGGGTGGGGGGGGGAAGAGGGTTTTTTGGGGAGGAGGGTTCAGCTGCCTCACATGATCCTCTGGCTAAAATCACATCAGGGGGTTTTGATATGCAGAGAGGAACCAGCAAACCTCCCTCAAACTGGAGAATTGGCTCGATGCTTCCCCGTTACAAAGCAGTTTCTGGGGCCCGTGGCCGTTATAAAAAACATGGAAAGATTTGGACAAATAAAAGAATGAAGGCATTACAAAAATTCCTTTTCCCAAGTTTGCAAGATCGTCTCGCAGAGTTGCAGAATTTTTGAAATCAGGTTCTGATTCTCAGCTTTTGTGGCTCAGCTGCTTTATGCGCTCACCCCAAGCTAACAAATCCTGATTTAGGCACAATTTTTGAGGTAGCCTGGAGTAAGGAGGAGGAGCGGAGAAAGCAGAGAAAGCGAGCCCAAATTGGAAGGACTTTACTTTCATTTCTCTTCTAAAGCTTGCCGTACTTTTGAACGCCTGTTCCCATGCTCTGCAAGATGTTTCAAGGCCAATCTCGTCTCAATAATTTCTTCCTTTAATTTCCTCATTACATGAGAGGATCCAGTATTTCCTTCTCCATCTAAAAGTTGTCAGGAAAATACCTTTCCCCCTTCTGGCCCGTGTACCAATCTCCATCAATTACGGTACCTTCTTCCGGGCACTAAATAAAAACCAAGACTTTCTCTTGCTTGGGATGCAGATTTTTATTTATGAAACCCAGAAATGGCTGGGGTTTTCCCCCCCTCCATTGCCCAAGTTTCGAATCAGATTAATCTAACCATCTCAAGTTCCGAGAATTGGAAGGACAAAAGAGCTCTGTTCAGTTTCGCTTGCAGAAATGTGTATTTCTTATATTTTTTTCCGGGGGAAATAAAAGGCTGGGAAGGAATTCCCAACCAAGACAGAAGGGGATTCACAACTCCTGACAACATCCATCCTTGGGACCAAAAGCGATTTCATTTCTTGCCAGGTCGCAAAGAAAGCTGGTTGCGGTTGGTTCCCTTGTGCCATTTTAGAAAGTCACGTGATGGGGCGAGCGTGAATTGGCGGCATGACACGCCAGGTGCAGGACAAAATGCAGAAGCGATTCAGGGTTCGGCTTTAATTTGCCAACAGGATCTTGAAATAAACTTTGAAATCACAAGGCAGGTGCCAAGCATAGTTGTGTTACCAATTTAGGCGTCATTGTCAGTGCTTTGACAGAAGGCATGATGTGGCTTGCTGGCCTTTTCCTGCATGGCTGTTTGTCTTTCCTGTCTTGATCAGGATTTTGGGTCTAGATGTTAAGGAATAAAACAATGACGCTCAAGAACATTAAAATCATGTTCTTGGCTTCTAACTGCCAACTGATGATGAGAGACTGACAATCTAGTTTGTGGGTTTAAAAAACCGTTCAGCTCTCTCCTTCTAGATAACTCCAACTTTGATTAAAAAGTCATTTTGTTCCAATCAAATCTCAGCAGATTTTGTCCTAACTAAGCCTTATCACTCCCACAAGATCCAAGACCTCCAATTTCAGAAAGAAATCTGGAAGAGTTTTAGCCACTCTCGGACACTTCCAATGTACAAGAAGCTGTGTTAAATGTTTTGCCAGGAAAAGCAATTTGCACATTTGCACTCCTGTATGGAGCAACCTGGAGTGCGAAGGCACAAAAAGCACAGGGCTTCTTAAGACTTGTTGGCTTTCAAGGTGACCCAGGATCCCGAGCTGTTTTTCCTACCGTGACTAAGGCAGCTGAGAATTTTTTTAAAAAAGGAAAAAACCATGACGAGGAAGAAAAAAAAATTAAGTAAAAACACGTGACTGAGTCATGCGGTTTGGGGAGAAGACTTAGTTCACCCAAGCTATTCCCACAAAATTGCAATTGCTTCTTCTAAGGAGGCCTGTCTCCAAATAGATTTTTGAATCGGCATTCACAAGCCCCATATGGAGAATTTAATCCTGAGCAGTTGATCACATGACTATTCTCCCCTCCCCGCCCCACCAAACACACTCATCTTTCTGGAAATGCAAACAGTACAACTTTCCCATAACTTGGTTCTTCTTTCCCGACTGATGAAAATTAGATTCCTTTTTTTGCAAACCGTGCAGATAAACCTTTGCAAAGAGACCAAGAGCATCCACAGATTTCAGAGTCTGCCAGCTTCCTGAGTCCAAGACAGGCTTCCTACAAAGTGCGAGCTGCAAGCGACACCCTCCAAGCTCTCAAAGTGTGGCAAAGGGCCACCCATTTGCCAGAGTCTTTCGAGTGGGAAGAGCAAATTACACAGGGTGGAGGAATTTACCTGTGGCAGGAGGAGGAAAACTCCCGCAAGCAGCACAGTCTATCTTTAAAATTATAAGTTGCCACAAAGCTATAATGGAGCTGCAGCAGGTTAGGTTTTGCTTGCTGGACGCGGGAGGAGGAACAGATAGCTGGAGAAGATGTCCTCAGCTTGGAGAAATGAAAACTAGCCCTGCTAAACTGGTCAAACCTCTCTATCCAGCAATACTCTACCGTATTGTTAGGGACACGAAAGGGCCCAATTTGGCTCCCATGCTAACTGCCAATGGATGGAACTAGGACTAGGAATTTGCTTGTTCTTTTTTTTAATCCAGAGGCATGCTCACGCCTGAGAGGCCAGCTGCAGGATTACGGCCCCCGTCTACCCAGACTTCCTGAAAAGAGCCATCCTTGTGCCCATTTCAGGAACATGTTTGCTCTCTACTCCCTGGGTGTATTGGGGGGAGGGGGGAAGAGAAATTGACAAGCTTTCCATGAAGGGAGGAGAAAAATATTTTCTTTGGAATGAAAAAAAGAAAATAAAACCTGCACGACAATGGCTGGAAAACCTGATTTAGGGACCATCCATGCCTTTCACTTCTGGCGGTGAAAGGAAGGACACGAGTTTGGTGATCTCAAGGAAGACAAAACACCGTGTACTCTTTGTGCAATTTTTATGGCTTTTAGGTGTTCCCGTGGGAAAGTACATACAAGAAAAGAGGAAAAGGGGCTTCACACACAGATTGGGAAGGGAGGGGAGGGGGCGCCGGAAAGCACCCCGACCCATGCTTATCACCCAGGTCGGAGAACCACCAACCAACCGAGTCCCAATGGCACCAGCTCTGAAAAGGTGCCAACCAGCTTCCTTGATCATCTCCAGGATTAAATCAGCATCCTTTCCCTACTTTCCGAGAATGGGACAGCCCCTCCCCGAATCAGGGCTCTAAACATTATTTTAAAACAGGGACCGTTTTTCTCCTGGCAGTCCACCATGATTGTCAATCGCAAACCCCCAAAAGGGGATTTTCACGATGAAGATTGTGCCAGCACAGTCTCCAAGCACAAAGCACAACATGTCCTGAAAGAGGTGTGGCAAGACAAGCTAACCAACAAAGAGAACGGATGAGGAGGGGGGGGCATGTCAGCCACCCCCACCCGCATTTCATTAATACTGCTTGTGAGAGAGATAAGAGACACGTGTGTGCGAACGTGCCAGGAAAGAAACACAGGGCGGGGAGTTCTCCCCGGTTCACAAGTCACAAAACCGCCTACGAAGCAGGAGCCTCTCAACAAAATTCGGCTCCCGCAATGTATATAAATGAGAATACAAGGTAGGTATAAAAGATTACATCGTAGAATTAAAAACAAAAACAAGACTGGAGGAAAAAAAACCCACCCTTGCTGACCATTTGCCTTCCCAAGCATCTTTTCCCGTGTTGGATGTCGAAGGGGGAAAAAATAGATCCCATCGGTTCCTTCCAAGGTTACCCGAATACGTCTCGGAGGGTCTCCAAAATCCAACTAATGTCCGTCATGGGCTGGCAGAGAGGGAGGGTCTTCCTGGGCAGTCCCAGAAATTTGGTGGTGCGATAACAGCCTCAGCCTGCCTGTGTTTGCGACTCCCCCCTGAGGCTTCTCTTCCCCCACCCCCACAGGAAGACTTGGGGGCTCTTTGCAAAGGGTCAGGGGGAGTGAAGAAGAGACCCGTCTCCACGCTGCTACACAGAATAATGTCCCATCAGGGGCAGGTCATCTCCCTCGCTTACTCCGAAAAGGGCGGAAACATGTTCAGTTCAGGAAATTCTTCACTGCTGTAGTTGGTTCCTTGTTCCCCCAGCATAGACAGCATATCCTGGAAAGTCAAAAAAAAATAAAAATAAAAAGAGCCATAAGCATAATCCGGAATAAAATAAGACCTGCGATTAAATTGGGGTAACTTGTGAAGGGTACAAGAGATGGGACCACCAACGCATGAGGCGGGGCGAGCTGTAAAAAGGATCTGCGTTTTTCTAATCTGCTCTCATTCCTCGACTTACGACCACAACTGGGACTAGAATTTTGGTCGCTGAGTGAAGCGGTCTTTAAACAAGTCATCAGACCCAATTTTACAACCATTTTTAAACTCCGATTGTTAAGCAAACCAGGCTAGGTGGTCTCAAATTGTGATCACATGACGGCAAGACCCTGCAACCTTCATAAAGGTGAACTGGTTGTCAAAGTGCTAGAATTGTGGTGGTTGTGGTGTGACCATTGTAACTTCTTCTGGGGCCATCCTGTTTTCGAGCCGTTGCTAAACAGAGGGTTGTAAGTTGAGGACTTCTTGTACAATCCTTCCACTGGTCAGCTAACTCACCGGGAAGACTTCTGGCTGGGCAGACTGCTGCTGCTGGACATGGGACTCGCCTGAGCTCTGCCATTGTGGCCAAACGCCGACTCCTTCTGCCGTCCGTGCCTGGAACGGGGCGGGATTCTGCCCGTTCTCTCCAGCAGCTGAGGAAGGATAGCAGTCAGTGAGAAAGACAGGCCTTGGGAGACAGAGCAAGGAAATGCCACCTGGGGAACATTTAGAGAAGAGACAGCTGAGCCCACCACTACACAATGGGCGGGAAAGAGGCTCAGGAGGGATCCTCCCTAGAAAGAGACGGTGGGAAACTTGGACTTTCCAACTTGAACGCTTCTGTTCATGCGGCCCTATAAAGGAGCATTAGCTCATCTGGTCAGTTTCCTGCCTGGTGTATCTGGAAAGGCTGACAGGCAGGAAGGAGAACCCGCAAGAGACAAAGGCTTTTTGATGCCCTTTTCAACAACTGGCTCTGGGTCAGAAAGGCACAGCTAAATGGCCTCTGGGGTCCTTTCCCAGTTCCCCAAAGCAGCTCATTTAACGATTTGACCGCGAAGGCATCACAGCTACAAGGAGGCCAAAGCCTGCTGGGGGCTCCAAGGGCAGCCCAGGGACTTACCGAAAGGGGCATTCCGACCGGCAAGGTTTGGATAGGGAGCTCCGGCTGGTGAGGCTGCGGAACCGGGATTCGGCATGGGGCCGAAGGAGGACGGCGTGGCCTGGAAGCTGCCCATGGCAAACGAGGGGGGGCGAGTCTTCACTGACTGGGAAGCTGCTGGCTGGAGAAGGCAAAGAGCAGAAAGGAAGCGATGAATTGCCGTTTGGTTTTTCTGAGAGCAGCTCAGGCCGAAGGAAGGTGAAGAAGCGCCCAAATCAAAGCCCCGGAAAGGGAAGGGGGCAACGCTGGGAGGGACCCCACGCTCCGGAGAAAGCCCTCAGGGAAGTTTTAGGACTCGTCCCCAACAAGAGAGGCCACCGGTCAGCAGGAAAGCAGCGGAAGAGGCAGGTCTTGGCGTTCTCACCCTTGACCTCAGGGCACACTTTTTGGGGCGCGGGGATACAGAGGAAGAAAGAACAGCCGAAGGAAGAGAAAATTACTTGGGCCGTGAAAGGCGGACGTGATCCTGAAGGCCAGGCGCTTCCAGAGACCTGACTGGGGCTGGCGTGGCGAGAGAGATGGGCCAGGATGGGTCCGGCTGAGGTCGAGTGCGCCCGGCCAGGCTGCAGGACGTTCACTGGGGGTGCCAGGCTGCTGCTGCTGCTATCGGGAGGGAAAAGCAGAGTGGAAGGAAGACCCTGCTTGGGAGATCCGAATGCTAAGGAGACGCCCCTTCCTCACCTACCCCCCAAATTCTCATCCTCTTGGGGAACAAAGGGTGCAGCTCTGCCAGAACGGCTGCTTCGTCGTAAAGGGCAGAGCCGTGGTGGAAGAAAGGAGGAGGTCTCCGAGCCTTACCGGAAGCTCTCAGCTGGGCGGGAAGCCCCGAAGCTGTTTCCTGGGGCGAAGAGGGGCTGGCTGGTGGGCACCGAGTTGGCCGAAATGGGCTTCGTCTGGTCTGCAAGAGAGAGAGGGAAACCCCAAAGGGGATGTTTGATACAGGCATAGTTTGGAAACCATCCCACGGAAGGGAGACGGCGGGAAAGAGGCCTTTCCCCTCCCCCCCCACCTGGACTGATGCCGCTGTAGATCTCGCTGAAGCGAGGGTCTCGCTCCTGGCCAAAGAGGACCTCGGGCTTCTCCAGAGGCTTGCTGTGCTCGGGGCCAGAGGCACTCACGGCCTGAAGGGCAGCCTGGAGAGAAAGAGAAATATTTACCCACCGTCTGTGCTTCCTGCCCACAGCAGCGCCTGGCCCCCTCGGCCCCCTTACCTGCGGATGCTCGTAGCTGGCTAAGCTTTCTCTCCCAGGAACCACATCTAGCTCCGCTGGCTGTGCTGGCTGTGTCCTAAAAGGCAGAGACTCAGATTAGGGAACAGCCCGGGGCGGTGGGTGCAGAGAGAAGCGAGCCCAGGGACCTCCGAGCCCTCCAAACAGGCTCTTACCTGGCGGCCAGGTGCCCCGAGCCCATCTCCAAAGGCAGGCTGACATTGGGGCCTAGCTGGGGCCTCTGCATCGCGTTCGAGCTGGCAGGGCGGGTGTCCTGGCTGACATTCCTGCAGGGAAGGAAAACCATGAGGCAGGTGGACAGGCAGGCAGCCCCTTCGGAGACAGAGACCACCCCAAGGAAGGTGGAGGGGGAATGGAGCTTTTGCACCCAGGAGTTAAAACCCTTGGAAGGAAACCCAAGGAAGTCATCAACGTCAAGCAATTCCCAAAGAGCCCCTCTGTGCCCTCCGAGATGCTTCTTCTGCCTTTCCAGGAAGACCCTCACCCTTGGGGAGCTCCTGAGGCAACTTGGCCCCCGTCGGTTGGTCTACAGACTCTCCCAGCCTCTCTTGGTTCGGGTGCGGCTGTTTTCCCCGCCCCATCCCTGAAGCTAAACAATGGAGATGGGGATGGAGATGGTTGGTTTTCTGGAGGCCGCAACAATTAACCCACATTGCTCTCTCTAGGCATCACTCAAGCCGTGAAATGGTGGCAGGAGGCCGAGGGACCCCTCCTGCTGGCTGACCCTCCCCCTCCCCATGAGAAAGTCCCGCCCACTCGCCCTGACATCACAGCAGGCCCGACAATTGCAAAGAAGCAAGGCTAAGTCTCTGCAGAACTAAAGTTCTTCCCCCTGTTTTGGATCGGATGGCAGCTGTTGGGTGATTTTCCTGGAGTTGGGGGGTGGGGGAAGCAGACGATCACAAAGCCCTCCTCCTCGAGGGGAAGGTGGGCGCAGGGGGCGGGGGAGGCATCCTGAGTACGTACTTCACATTGATGTTGGTGCAGATGATGTACTCGATCTCGTCCGAGTAGGGGTTCTGGAAAGTGAAGGAGCTAGTCCGGATCCAGAGCCATTCGCGGTTCTTGGATCGGAAACGGAACATGACGGACAGCACCTGACCCTTTAACTTCACCACCTGGAAGAAGGGATGGGACCCCATCAGATGCCGAGGGTCTGGGGCTGACTCACAAAGCCCTGAGGGGTCCCCCCCCCCCGGCCTTCGGAAGGGCCAATGTGGGGGGGGAGGGAAGATATGTCCTGCCATCTCGCTCTAAAACGAGGGGCCCCAAGAGACAATTGAGTCTCTTGGACTCACAAGGCAGAGCGCTCCATCTCCTGGAGTGGGGGTCTCCAAACTTGGTCTACTTTAAGATTTGTGGACTTCAACTCCCAGAATTCCTCAGCTGGGAATTCTGGGAGTGGAAGTCCACAAGTCTTAAAAGTGGCCACGTTTGGAGACTTGGCAAGTTGGCAACAGTTTGGAGATTTGGTGGCTCCTGGGCCCACCTTTCAACAGGCGCCTGGAAGGCCGGAGTGGGTGATGATGGTTATGGGGTGGAATGCCGTGTTATGGACCCTTTGCAAGCCCCCTTCTCTCTCTCGCTCTCTCCAAGCCCTCTGCTCTAAACCTGGACACCCATTAGGCAATCCCAACTCTGCTGATGGCTGACATCAAGCTGCCCTGCGGTGGGGTTACCTGCTGGAAGCTGTCCCTTAACAGCTGCTGGTCTTCGGGATGGCAGAATTCGACAATGTCCTTCCCCAGGAGCTCCTAGCACAGAGGAGAGGCACCGTTTATAAACCAGGCCCCTCCCTCCATCCTTTGGGGTCATGGAGGGGGAAGCTCTGCCTAGCCACACATGGCAGTATTTTCTCTTGCTTTGGCCAGAGAAATGCCGCTTCTCCAAAGAGAGAAACCCAGATTTTCAGAAGCCCCTTTGTGCCTTGGGTGTATTCGTAGCCTTTGGCCCCCTCCTCTTAATAAGGCATCTTTTGTTCAGGGAGATGCCAAATAGAAGCACGCACGCATCTCCCCTCCCCATCCCACCATACTGGCTGGGGAATTCTGGAGGCTGAAACCCACCCATTTTAAAGTGCCCTATTTTTTTTTAAAGTTTTTTTAAAGAGTATTCTGGATCCAGCAGTGACCAAACGCACTAAGCAAGACAACGAAACACTTATGGGTCTGTCACCCCCCCCCCCAAAGAAAGCCTCTTCTTAAAAGGTACATAATTGATCTTCCAGTGCTCCTTAGATGAAATTAAATTTGATCTCCCCGTCGGCCCCCACCCCCTCTCAGGCATTTCCGTGGCTGCTTCCACCACCCTCTGACGCCCCTTCCTTGCAAACCTGGGGTCCCTCAATTCCGGTCTAAGTCAGAAGCCCCCAACTTTGTGGAAAAGCCCTTCTCCAGCATCAGGACCCTACCTGGGGCTTGTAGCCCACCGTGGCTATGCAGCGGTGGTCCACGAAGGTGAACAGCCCGTCGGTGTTGTGGCGGGAGATGAACTCGGTGGGCTGACATACGGTGTTCATGTCTGCGCAGCTGGGGGAGCTGGTGACCTAGGAAGGAGGGGAGAAAACCCCAGTGAATTCAGGGGGTGTCTTAGCCTCCGGGCGACTGATTATTCCTAAGGAGCTTGGGGAGAGTTTGGGGGGGAAACAAGCCCCACACAGCTGTGCACCTCTCCAGCCTACCTGCAACCTGCCGATGGCCACCAGGCAGAATTTGCTGCCCTGTCCAGAATCTGGATCGTCGTCGGGCAGGGAAACTCCTGGGAAAGAGGATTTGAATTCAGAACCGATTCAAGCCAACTGGCTTCCAGAGGTAGGTTTTTTTTTTAAAATAATTGCAAAATGTCAGAAAGGGGAGGGGGGAGCCAGGCAACGGGAGCGTGGCACAACTGTCAAGGTGTGGGGGGAGGCCCAGGCGAGTTACCTGCTGGTGGCCAAGCTTTGATGTAACCCGTGCAGTGGACGACCACAAAATGGGGCTCCCCCTCTTTGATGGCACCCAGCCCGTTCCTGGAAGGAGAAGAGATTTGACAAGGTTTTATAAACCTTCCAGCGGGAAAAGTGACCAAAACCCCAAACCAAACACACCTGTACTTCTTTTGAAATCAGAAAGCTGCCAGTCTGTCGCTTTCCAAATGAACCCCCAAATAGCACCGAAGCCCCTCCCTCTTCCTTTGCAATCCCTTTCAAAGAAAAAAAAAGGGGGACCCTCTGCTCTTCCCCCCCCAATGCCTCTGCATACCCCCCCAAAAAGACGATCAACAGACATTTTCATCCTCCGTAATTTTCTTCCCTCCCCACCATTTACCTGCACCGATTCCTCATGTAGCTGAGCCGGTTCATGGAGACGGGATCGACGGTTGCGTTCCCACATCTGCAGAACGAGGGATTAAAAAAAATATATATTCCGAATTTCAGCTTTCTGCCAGGACAGCCTCTCCTGAGATATGTTGCCTGCAGAGGCCTCCCATGCACGGATTGGCTAAACTGGCAGGGACTCACCGAGCCCATCCCCACCCCCCAAAAAGGCATCCTGGCCAGTGTGACACGAGCCCTTTCCTCTGCTGACCAAACTGCCAGTCCCTGGCCGCAAAGCAGCACAGTCTTGTCCTGTTGAATGGTGGTTAAAAGAAACCATGCTTAATCCAGGGGTGTCCAACCGTGGCCCGTCTTAGGATGGGCTGCTGGTGGGGAATTCTGGGAGTTGAAGTCCACCCGTCTTAAAAGTTGGTTGGACACCCCTGGCTTAAATGAAGCACGCTGCCCCCTTCAGCACAACAGCCGGCTTCCAACGCACCTCATCCGACAGATGAAGGACCTTCGGGACCCCATGCACATCCTCATGGACTGCTGACCCTCCTTTTTGACCGTCCCCGTCTTCAGATCCAGGATGCGGCCTGCGGAAGCCAAGCCAAGACACAAAATGAGGACCGGGCTGCTTCCAGCAGCCGAGAAGGAGAACTGGCCGTCGGCTCTCCCGCGTCTCAGCCGGGGAAAACCTACCGCTCAGTGCGTTCTCCGAGGTGGACAGCTGTTCCCGCAGCTTCTCCACGTCATCGGGGTGCACCTGGTCATAGAGGGTGCTGCCAAACCACTCCGACTGGGGCTGGTTCAGGACGGGCGTCACCGAGTCGGAGACGTAAACCACCCGGCCCGTCTCGCAGGAGACGATGAAGAGGAAGCCGTCGGCTGCCTCCAGGATCAGGTGTTTCAGCTCCTGTGGAAAGAGAGAAACTGAAACGGAGAGCAGGGCGGAGGCTGTGGCGTCAAAGGGCCAAGGAGCCCCCTCTAATGTGGGCATGCAAGGCTGCCAACTCTCCTGCACGCTGGCTGCACCATGGACACGAGCCACGGGTTCAACGCAGAACTATGGAGCTCTGCAAAGGGGAGCAGAATAACAAAATAATAGAGTTGGAAGGGACTTTGGAGGTCTACTAGTCCAGCCCCATGCTCAAGCAGGAGACCCTATACGATTCTGGACAAATGGCTGTTCAATCCCTTCTTAAAAACCTCCAGTTTTGGAGCGCTCACAACTTTTGGAGGGAAGCTGTTCCACCAATGAATTGAAATTCAAATTCAGCTGTGGTGGCGCAGTGGTTAGAATGCAGTATTGCAGGCTAATTCTGCCCACTGTCAGCAGTTCAGTCATGACTGGCTCAAGGTTGACTTAGCCTGCTGTCCTTCCAAGATCAGTCAAATGAGGACCCAGATTGTTGGGGCAAGAGGCTGACTCAGCAAACTGCTTAGCGAGGGCTGGAAAGCACCGGGAAGCGTTATATAAGTTGAAGTGCCATTGCTAGAGTTTTTTCTTCTCCCCCCCCACACTGCTGCTGACATCGGAGATTACAAACGCACAACCATCCAGCCCCCTCCCTCCTCCCCCTCCCCAGAAACGCCGAGGAGAGAGACCTGGTCGGTGAGGAAAGATGGCTTGTAGCTGCCATCCGTGGAGGTGTTCCCGGTGCCCCGCAGCGACTTCATATGGGAGACGGCCATGCGCAGGATGGTCAGTTTGTCCGGCTTGCGGGCCAGGGCGCTGCAGGTGGGCACCATGTCGGAGAGCTCGGTGATGTAAGCCGTCATCTTGTTCCGGCGCCGGCGTTCAATCTCGCTGTGGTTCTCCCTGTGGATGGAGAGAGGCGGAGAGAAAGGGAGGCCGGTTGCAAAGGAAAAAAAAGAAAGTTTTTTTACGGGCTTGCAAAAAAAAAAAAAAAAAAAGAGGGAGAGGGAGAGAATTGACAGGTGGGGAGCAGAGAAAGGAGAACAGAAAGAGGACCACAAAGTGTTAAGGCTTGGAAAGAGGATGCGTGCCGGGCATGCAGACAGAGAAAAGCAGAAAAGATTTCCAGGAGAGTTGCAACCTTCTGCTTGAAATAAAACACGGAGAGGCATCCGCCTATGGGAAGCTCAGAGAAAGGGCTTGGAGGTCCAACAGGGTCTGTGAATGGAGCCTCCACGAACAGAGGCAATCTATCGCTCAACACTCCCTGCGTGCCTGCTTTTCTTTCTACCTTCACCTGCAGATCGTAGCCTATTCAGGCCTCCTTCCTTTCTGGCCAATACGATGGAGCAGGAAGAGAACATACACACTGCCTTGGGGTTGAAAGGACCATCACGACTTGGGAGGGGAGGGGGAAAGAAACCCCCGCCCCCACCCCCCAAACCAGGTTTAGTATCTTGGCCTAGTAGAGACACACTTCGACAGAAGAAAAGGTTCTGCATCCCTCCAGGAGCAAAAACCTCGTTTGCAGCGGCAAAGTTTTGCAGAAGCTCTGGTTGCTGCAGAATTGTCACACACACCCCCTCAAAAGGTTGTACAAGCTTTCCAACAAGGCGGGGGGGGGGGGGGGAGAAATTAGTCAATAAGAAAACCAGGACCTGGAAGCATGGAATGGAAGATGGATCTGGGTGGATGAGGCAGTGAAGAAAGAAAAGGCTGTATGGGTTGTTGTGTTTTTTAATAGAAAAAAGCACATTTTAGATTGCTCTGGAAGGAGGAAATCTCCGCTTTCCTGGGCCAGCGATGGGGGGCAGGGGGGTGTCTGGACTAAGGGGGCAATGACGAAGAGGAGGCAGAAGGGGCAAATGGGAGTCCTGGGGTGCTTTACGGCAGGTTCTCCCCAATCTTGGCAACTGACTCGCATTTATGACGGTCGCAGCGTCCCCCAGGGTCACCCAATTCTCCTTTTGCAGCCTTCTGACCAGCCAAGTCATTGGGAAAGCCAGATTCACTTAACAACCATGTGACTAACTGAACCCCTGCAGCGACTCACTTAATGACAGTGACAAGGACAGTCGCAAAATGGAGCAAAACTACTTTGCCTAGCAACAGAAATGCTGGGTTCAACTGTAGTCGCAAGTTGAGAATGGCCAGCATTTGAAAAGGAATTCTGCAGGAATTACGGCGGCGTCACTGACCCAGGCAGCCCCCCCTTCTCTGGCCCGCTTAACCCTCCAAGGGAGACACGGAGGCTTTCATGAGCCCAGGAGACCCCCAACAGTTTCTGCTACCGCTGCGGTCCTGCCTGCTACCCTTCCTGGCCGGCTTTTCACGGCTTCTCGTATCCAACCGAGCGGCTGATTATTCCCCAAACTCTCTGTCCACTTTCCAGCCCTTGATTAAGGAAGAAAACGGGGAAGGCGACTGGGGGGGGGGACTATAAGGGTGATGGGTGGGAAGCAGAAGAAGGGGGGGTGAAGGGGAAGTGAACGAACTGTGGTTTGTCATGCGCGAAGAATCCAAACCTCTGTCTTCCTACCTGGCCAATCTTTCCTTATCCGCTGAGCTCTGCTCGTCATCAGACCTAGAAATAAAATGGGTGAGCTAAGCTAAAACTTCAGAGGGGTGGTGGATGGGGGGGTTTGGCCTCTGAGGCTGAGAAAGAGAGGGGGGGGGAACCCAGTCCTGATTCTCACCGGAAGAAGCCCAACGGAAGAGGAAGGGGTTGGCGTGACCCGACAGCCCGAGAAGAGACCCTCCGTGCAAGGGCTGCCAAGCCTCACAGCGCAGAAAAGAGGTGGTGGGGGGGGGAAGAAACGAGAGAAAGAGGGAGGGGAGGGGCAGATGGATGGATGGATGGATGGAGCACGGAGGGAGCCAGGTTGTGCAAAGGAAGCTGCTTTTCAGCCACAGAGAAACTTATTTCAGGAGGACAGCTCTGAACCAGGGGGACAAACTCTGCCCCCTGCCCCAAAAGGCTGAAAGCCCCCCTTCCATTCAGAAAAATACAAGAGAAAACCAGAATTCTTCCAGTGTAAAACAGAAAAGAAGACTGTTGAATAAGACCCAGACGTTTGAGTGCCAGGCTCAGCAGAGTTATTTTATGCCTCTAAGGCAGGGATGAAATGCTCCCGGTTCGGTCCGGTTCACCTGAACCGGTAGTAAAAAATGTAAAAAAAAAGTTCCAACAATCAGGTGAGCGACGGGCGATCACCGGAATTTTTTTTTTTTTTACTTTTTTAGCATTTTTTTACTACCGGTTCTCTGGAACCGGTAGTAAAAATGCTTTAATAAAGTAAAAAAAAGGCTCTGACAATCACAGCTGTGGCGCACTATCTTCAGAGCTTTTTTTTTTACTTTTAAAAGCATTTTTTTACAACCTATTCGGTCGTAAAAGCACTGTTCTACTTACCACATGCCTCCTTCTGGTGTGCACTGCGCATGCGCACACATCGCATTTGGTGCGTGGGGCGCAGTCATGCGCTGTGTGCGTTTGGCACGCAGCGTGCATGCGCAGCCAGCGAACCGGTAGTAAACCGGTTCAGATTTCATCACTGCTGTAATGCAGCGTTTTCTCAACCTCAGCCGCTCTAAGAGGAATGGACTTCAACTCCCAGAATTCCCCAGTCAGCCACGAGTTGAAGGCCACCTCTCTTAAAAGCTGCCACGCTTGAAAAACAACGCTCCAGGGGCTACGGCCACAATTCCATTTTCACGTCAAGGGCCCGGCTGTTGCCTTGTTGCAGTTGCTGGACATCCTCGAGATTTAGATTTTGTTTTTATTATTTGCTGAACGTTTCAACGGGCGTCTTAACGGGTAGCAAAACAAAGGACAGAAGACAACTAAAAACATCACTAAGGTTCAGAATGCTTGGTGGCTGATTTGCAAGCCCAGCTGCAACTATGCAGAAATCAGGAAAAAAATAAAAGCAAAATCCCAAGCGATTTCCTGAAACTGACAAATAAAGAGGAAAAAAAAAAAGAAGAAGTTTGCAATGAACTACATTCAAGGTGCTAGCAAATCATAAACGATAAAAACACACCTGGATACCAGCGGTCACTCTCTTTCTCCAGCCAACCGCTTCGCAATTGGAAAAGCCAGGAGCTTTGATGCGTAATATTAAACGGTAGCGAAATATCAAAGGCTCCTGCATTGTTTTAATTAACCCGGCTTAATTTCAAGGCCAGATTGGACTCCAATAAGCTGATATTTTGCAAAGAATCGGGGAAGGAGTCCTGCTTACATTCAAACACGGAAAAGGCCATCTTGCTTTTTCGCAGAAGAGGCTCAAGGGATCCCCCTTCTCCTCGCAGTGCGAAAATTCTTACCTAGCAAACCGCTCTTTGTCCGTGGAGAGTTGGTCATCCTCACATCTAGAAGAAGAAGGAGAAGGATGCCATGAAAGGGCCAGCGGGGTGCATTTTTACAGATTAAAGAAATCCCAGCTTCCTGGCATAAGGTTTTTTGAAGCCTTCACTTCTCTCTGAATCGAGCTGCCCTTAAGAGCCGGTCGTTTCTCTCCTGCGCTTGTTTTACCAAGAGTGTCACTGGAGGCTTTTAAGAAGAGACTGGACAGCCATTTGCCTGGAATGGTACAGAGTTTCCTGTTGGTGGACTAGAGGACCTCCAAGGTCCCTTCCAACTCATTATTCTGTAAGGAGGAATTTCCTGACAATTAATCAGTGGAAGAGCTTGCCTCCAGAAGTTGTGGGTGCGCCAACACTCGAGGTTTTCCAAGAGGAGACTGCACCACCATTTGTTTGTAACGATCTAGGGCAGGGGCCTCCAACCTTGGCAATTTTAAGACTTGTGGACTCCAATTCCCAGAATTCCTCAGCCAGGAAAGCAGCAAAGCTGGCTGAGGAATTCTGGGAGTCGAAGTCCACAAGTCTTAAAAGTTGCCAAGGTTGGAGGCCCCTGGTACAGGGCATGGGTGGGGAATCATGGCCCTTTTATGCTGGCTCAGGAATCCTGGGAGTTGAAATCCACAAGTCATGAAAGAGCCATGGTTCCCCACCTCTAGCATAGGGTCTCCTGCTTGAGCAGGGAGTTGGACTAGAAGACCTTCAAGCTCCCTTCCAATTCTGTTCTTCGGTTCCGCCTGTGTCGATCCCAACTTCCTTGCCAATGGAAGCAAAGCTCACCTGAGAAATTTGCTGTTCCCTTCGCCATCTTCGTCAAACTCGAGCCTAAAATGCAACAGCAACAAAATTATGGGTGGCGGGCGAAGTCCTCTCAGGGCAGGCCCAGCCTTGAGTGGAGAGAAGGCCCTCCTCTTCTTTTGCCCCTGTTATGGGGCCAGAACCCCAGGGACCCTAACCCTTCCTAACGTACCCCGTCCTCCGCTTGCTGTTTCTCTGGCTGAGGCTTCCTGCGGCTGATCCCGACGTGCCCGAAGCTGCTCCCAAGGGAGGAACGTCCGATGCCATTTCTGGAACAACGGAGAAACGGGACGGTGGGAAACAACTTTTTTGTCAACCATTCGAGTACAGAAAGAATCCCACCCATTCTCTTCATGGAAATGAAGAAAAGACGCAAAGATCCTGAGGTTTCGATAAAACTAACGGCTTGCTCCACTCCACTTGAATCTGAGGAAGAAAATTGATGCCACATGGAAAAAAGACAAAACACTGCAAACTCTGCACTGAATTATGACGCACAGATGAAAGAACTTTGCAGCAGGAAAACACAATTCGAACGGAGGACGTTGGAGACGGCTTTGCTGGCCAGAAAATGCCCCGCAAAGATCCCCCATGCAAAAGAAGGCCCAACTTAATGAAATAGCAAAAATTGCAAAAGCAAAGAAACAAATTAGGGGAACCACCTAAAACCCTCTTAGAAACTGCTCCCCCCACCCCCCACCCCCTATTTTTTAAGCAGCTAAAAAGATGGAAAAACTATCTGGCATCAGAAGAACACAAGAGATCCCACACCAAATTTTCCTAGAATGTCTGTAAACAGAAAAAAACAACAACCCAATTTCTTCCCAGAGAAGGATTTTAACTTCATTGATTTCCTGGCAGAAAAAAAAAAAGCAAGATTTGGACTTTTCAGAGAAAATACCTCGACTGCACAGACAATGCCAAAGAGGGAGAAGAAAAGATCTATTTTTGCTACACTTCACGATAAATATTTACAGGCAGACTCCCCTGGCTTCAAAAGTGAATTTCAATATGAAAACAGAAGCATTTAGAGTAGCAATTTTGCAATAAGAAGAAGCCCCAGATACAACCACCCTTTCAACATAAAACACGGTAGTTCTTAGTTCTCATTCCTTGTGGCTGCAACCTCTCCAGCTCTTTTTGCCCTCGAGGGCAAAATCTACACTGAGGGCAAAAAGACTTTTTTAAAAAAAAACAAAAAACCTACAAATGCTCAGTCAAACCTGGGACTTTAAATCTGCGGCCGAAAAGATCTGAAGCTCCTTTCCAGGATGAGTATATCTGCAAAAGGGTCTGTTTTCTCAAACATCAGAAACAAAACACCAGAGGCCAGCCAAACGCTGACGTATTCCTCCTAAGAATTTCCAAAATAATTCTCTATACCAAGGCGGCTGGGGGTGTCGTTATCTCACAGGGCTCCTCTCTAGGAAGTTTGAATCACGAAAAACGAGGGCAAAGTTGATCCTATCTCGAAAGCCACCTCCGAGTTCCAGTAACTAAGAGAACGAAGAATTATTGAAAAGTTTGATAAAAGTTTTGCTGAGCACGCTGAGGGTGTTTTACCAATGAATTATGCTTCCCTGCGAGTTCCTGGCAAGAGTTTCTGAGGTCGACAAAGGGGCCGGTTAGAGAAGTAGAAAGTTGGGCTTCCTTTACAGATATATAATTTAATTTCTCACATTTATGACCGTTGCAGCATCTCCGGGATGCGATCAAAATTCAGACGCTTGACAACTGGTTCATATTTAGGACAGTTGCAGGATCCTGGGATCACGTGATCCCCTTTTGCAATCTTCTGACAAGCAAAGTCCACGGGGAAGCCAGATTCACTTAAGCACCGTGTTTCTAACTTGACATCTGCAGTGATTCACTTAACAACTCCGGCAAGAAAGGTTGTAAAATGGGGCAAAGCTCTCTTAACAAAGGTCTCACTTAGCAGCAGGAAGTTTGGGCTCAACTGTCTGTGGTCGTAGGTCGAGGACCGCCTGTACAGGAAAGATGCAACTCTCCCTCTTTCATTTCTCTAATTCTGGGCCAAAACAAAACTCAAGTATTGCCCACAATGGGAAAACTCCAACTCTTGAAAGGATATTTACTCGCTGTCTCCTGAATGAAAGAAAACCCTCCGGATTTTGCAACTGACCCCACCTCCTCCAAGTAGTGGGGAAAGAAAGAAAAAAACCCAGATTTTGCAATCAGGGTTTCAAGGACAACACAGATTTAATCAAGCACAGCAGCCCTTCCGGCCAGACCGGCTGCCCTCCAGAAGGATCCAGAAGCCACCGCTGCTTTGACTGGGAGCTATGGGATTCGGGATCCTGCCCATGGGGGAAAAGGGCCAGGAAGCCACTGTTGCTCTGGTTGGGAGTTATGGGATTTGGGATCCTGCCCACGGGGGAAAGGGCCAGGAAGCCACCTCTGCTCTGGCTGGGAGTGATGGGACTCAGGGTCCTGCCCATGGTGAGGACCAGGAAGCCACCGCTGCTTTGGCTGGGAGCGATGGGATTTGGGATCCTGCCCAGGGGCTGGAAGGAGCCCTTGGCAGGAGAGGCTCCAGACTGTCTTCAAGGGCCGCCCCACAAGCAATGCAGGGGGGCAGTCTAGCCCCATGCATGACTATTCTGGCCCTTGGCAGGGGGTGACCGCTCCTGCTGTCCTGCCTGTGCCCGGACAGCCCATGGGGCTCAGCCAGCCTTGGCCCGGCGGCTGGGGATTATGGGAGTTGTCTTCCAGAGCCTCTGGGGCACCCCAGCTCTTCTGGAAAGGGGATGATGGAGCTGGAGGTCTCCCCAGGTGGGGACCCATGGCTGGGGAGGATGGGAAGGAGGGTGTGGAAGAGTCACGGGGACGCTGGCTGGGGAAGATGGGAAAGGGAGTCCCAGCTGGGATGCAGCAGGCAAGGAGGGACAAGAGCCCCCACAGCCCCCTCCTAAGACCACCCCTTTTTTCCCCAAGCCCCCCTACTCACCCTGCCCTGCGGCGACGGTTGCCATGGCTACACAGGCGGGCGCCCCCCGCCCGGACTCCGCCGCCCCTCGCTAGTGCCAGGTCCAAGATGGCGGCAGCGGGCGAGCCCTGCCGGGGCGGGGCCAAGGGGGCGGTGGCTGGAGGCAACGCGAGCTCCTATTGGTTCGAACCGCCCGAGGGGCGTGGCCCAGAAGTAGGCGAAAAGGAATGCCGCGGGACGCTTGAGCGACGGGAAGGGGGCGGGGCGAAGGTGACGTCACGAGCCAGCTGGTGACGTCGCTTTAAAGGTCCCGCGTCACGCCGCTGTCATTCAAAGGATGGGCTGGGATTCGGCTCCCATCATCCCCTGCCCACCACTACAGGGCCCATTTACCCCAGCCTAAACCCTCTGGCTTGACCTAGTAAAATACAACTTGCTTTGTGTGCACCATGCGTTCCCCTCCTAATGGATCCCTTGGACAACAATCCCCATCATCCTGGGCCAACACACTTGGTGCTTCCTTATTTGGGAAAGTTTGGGGGCAAAGCCCAGCTCTGCAGGCCCCCAAGGACAGGGATCCTTTGGGCTGGTGGGGGAATGATGGGAGTTGTAGTCCAGCCCAAAACTCTCCCCTCCTTTACCGTGTCCAGTCCTCAGATTATGGCCACCGCTGCCAAAGGCTCTGTCGGAAGGCATGACCCTCCCTTCTTTGCTTTCTGTCCAGTTGAACCAGCAAACAAGATCCAGATGGACCCCCAAACATGGGGAGGGGAGAATCCATTGCCAGAAGGCCTTTTGCACATGCTCAGGAGCAGTGTCCAAACTTCTCATCCCACCAGACCTGCTTGGGCCCTCCTTGGACAGCACTGGGGGAGGAAAACAGATTTCCCCCCCTCCCCCAAAGGGACCATCTTCATCTCCTCTCTCTTCTGCAGGGACGGCAAGAAACGTGATCCCGTATTGCAGCCCCACCTTCTGAAGTATTCATGATATTTCCAGGGGCAGCTCGGAGGAGCCGAAGCAGCTCAGCAGCGCAGACCAGTTTCCCTGGCGTGGCCTGGAGCCAAGGCCAACTAGCAGCCCCCCGGGCTCTTCGGAAGGGCAAGGAACGGCCCTTGGGGTGCCAGGTGTGGATTCCCTGTCGATCGGAGTGGATCCCTGGCTCTTTCCAGCAAGAATTATCCCTTTCCTTGCAAGGCCAGCCTTGTTTCTCGCAGCACGGACCCCGTTTCTTTGAATCTTGAGCCTCGGACTCAGATTTTCCCTCTGTCTGCTGGAAATCTTTTGACCAGGTTGGTGCCAAGCAATTTAACAGATTTACCGAGTTGGAAGGGACCTTGTAGGTCATCTAGTCCAACCCCACTCTGCCTAAGCAGGAGACCCTACACCATTTCTGACCGATGGCAGTCCAGCCTCTTCTTGAAAGCTTCCATGGATGAAGCTCCCACAACTTCTGAAGGCAACTTCTGTTCCATGGGTTGATTGCTCTCATTGTCAGAAAATTTCTCCTTATTTCCAGGTTGAATCCCTCCTTGATCAGTTTCCATCCATTGTTCCTTGGCTGGCCTTCCGGTGCTTTGGAAAATAGCAGACCAAGCGCTATCCAGGCTATGGAAAGTCCCATGACGGAGCCCTTTGTGGACGTGGACCAAGGCATCTGCCTCACCTTCCTCTCCCTGATGGGTCTCTTCCTGCTGGCCATGATGGTGAGGTGCGCCAAGCTGATTGTGGATCCTTACACGGCCATCCCCACCTCCACCTGGCAGGAGGAACCCTTGGACTGAACCGCCTGACAGTCACGGAAAGGAGTGGTGAGAGTCCAGGAAGATGGAAAAGAAATTGCGATCCCTAATCTTACAAATCTCTCTTGGGTTTGGGGTTGGACTAGAAGACCTCCAAGGACCCTTCCAACTCGTTATTCTGTTTATCGTTGCTCCGTGCGACTTGCAGGAAACACAGGGCCAAATTGATAAGATTGGGGACTGTTGTTCACACACAACCTCCCTTTCCAACGGGGAAAATTGGTCGCCTGAAAGACTTAGGTGGGGATTGTCTGTGGTAATCCAAAATTGACCGGGAATTCTGCTTTCTCTGCTGTCTTTGACTTCCTCAACGGAGGCAGACATTTGGGCTCCATCGTCTGCTTGTAACCCCACACCCAGAGTACATGAGTTTCTGCTTCCTGGTCATCTTCTCGGTCATGATTTAAACCAGGATGACTCAGTTGGGCTTTTCCTGCTAGACCGAAGGCTCTTGGTAATCTTCTCCAAGGGCACCGTCGTTTAATAGCATGGCCTTCTTTCCTTTGCTCACAGCCTCCCGGGAAGGTCCAGCGCTATAACCTCCTTGGCCATTTGCGGGGGCTGCTAGAGGTTGGGCAAAAGGAGGCAGGTGATTAGCAGGCGAGAAAACCCACCAGGGAAGGAAATGTTCAAAGGCACAACTTCTTTTCTCTGTCTGTGTCCAAGTTTAGGGTGGAGGGAGACCCACCTGCTTGCAAAATGTAAAAGCAAAGCAGTAACTTTTTTTCCCCCCTCCAGTGCTCTATTTCTGTTTCATTCTGAGAAGCGGCCTCTGCAGCATCAGCTGCCTCCTTTCCCTTTGAATACCCTTTTTCATTGACAACTTGAGATTTTATTCGTAACTTATTCGATCTGCATATTCATTGGTTCTCCCTAGGGACTTTTCTTTCCTGTTTATTTGGGCATCCTATAACCCCAAAGGACACTCCAAGCTGCATTAGCCCCTCTTCGGCCAGGGAAGCCAAACAAACAGGTCCGCCGAGTTTCAACTGCAAAACTTTCCTTTATTGAAAAGCAAAGCGGCTTTTATTTAAAACAACAACAACAAGAGAACTGAGCATGCGCACTGCTTCTAATGACTGAAAGGCGGGGCTTCTCCGTTCTTTCTTTCGCAACCAAGGGGCTCGGCGGTGCGCCTGCGCGCCGCGCGCGGGGCCCCTCCCCTCCCAAGACCGCATGCGCACACCTTCACCCGCCCTCGTCCGGGCACGAGCGACGCCCCGCCCCCGGAAGCACGTTGAATGGATTTCCTGTCCTGCCTAAACTGCCCCCCTCCAGCCCCCCCAGCGAAGCCGAATTGGGTTCCAGGCAAAATAAGCCCCCCCTCCTCTCCCGCCCCCCGGGGGGAGAAGGTGAGTTGCGGTGGGGTGGGGGGGCTGCAAGGGGGCCGGGGGGGGCTGCTTTGAAAGGGGAGGGGTCGCAGGGGAGGGGGGGAAGAATGCAGGGGGGGGTCAAAATGGGGAGCAAACTCAGGTGTGCCCCACTTAGCCCTGTTCCTCTGGTCTTGGACTACAATGCCCATTGGGCTCAGCCTGCATGGGCACAGCCATCCCAGGGACAGACCTGGCATAGAACTAACCCTGATTCCTCTTAATCTTGGTTTAAAGGCGGGCTGTGGCTTTGGGGGGGGGTTGCAAAGCCCAAGGGAAGGTCGGACATATTTAGAACCGAAGCCCCCCCACCCACCCACCCAAACTGGAGGGTCCCTCTTGAGGGAGGGGGCTCTCTTCCCATCAGAGAACCCAACATCCCTGCATTTGTGCAAAAAAAAAAATTGTATTAAAAAAGGTGCCTTGATCTGTTTTTAACCTGCCACTTTCCCATACAAAAATCAAATCAAGCTAACAATTTGTGGCATTTATATCTCCCACCTGCAACTCTGGGTGCTTAAATGGTACCTGTCCCATGTGTGCAAGATCCTCTTCAGGGGTCTTGAGAGTTTATTCATCCCCAATTGCCTCAACAGATGAACCTGGTTGTTTGCTCTCCAAAATTAAGAAGAGAGGGTGGGTCATCTGGTCTGTCTGTCTGTCTATCTTTATCTATCTGTCATCATCTATATCTACCTACCTATCTTCCATCCATCCATCATCTATAATCTATTATCTATATCTATTTTCTTACTTCTCCGTAGGATTTATGTGTGTTTTTCCTCTAGCCAGGTTTTTCCTACGTAACCAAGGTTTTTCTGCAGCCCTAGCGCAGTGGAATCACATCCACTATTATCTATATCTATCTATCTCTACATATTTACATATGTATATGTATGTATGTATATGTGTATGTGTATAAAAGCCAAATACCAGTCACTCATCACGAAATCTCCAGAACAGTAAAACCTACAAGCTTGAAATTTGGCACTTATGTTCCTCCTGGCTTCTAGGTGCTCGCTAAGACAGGGTTTTTCGAAATGACCATCAGATCATTAGTATTTCATATACAGTATTATATTCACACGCTCTGATGCTAAGGAGTTAGACGTTCTACTCCCCCTCCCCACCTGAAAAGAACTCTGTCTCAACTGCCACTTGCCTCACATTCCGCTACGTCAGCTCAAACTGGCAGGCGTTCCACTCTTTAACTCAGGAGCGGTCTGGTAGTACTAAACATCTCGCACTAAACATCCCTACCTCACCAAAATGTCTACGCCTTCCTCCTATGGGACTGCTTCCAAACTCAAGGCGGCAGGAAAGATATTCTCTTATGAGTTTCAATCGCCGATCACCACTGAGCCAACAGATTGTGAACCGAATTTCTCCTGCGTAGTGTCCCAGCCCCAAATCCCTTCTTATACTGACCTCTTCAGGTCAAATGAATCTATTCCTTCTACTGTAACCCCAGTTAAAGGGAAAAAACGCAGGAAAAGATTTACAGATGCGATTAGGAAAAAGCAAGTAAGGGAAGCTGCAAAAAAGTATCGTCAAAGTCATCCCAGAGTCAATAGGAAGGCTGTAAGAAAGTATGCCTCTAAGAACCCCTACGTTAATCAGGCAGCTAGAGCTAAATACAAGGAAAAGATATCACAAATCAGATCAATACCTTGGACTAATAAGTGTTTGTCCGGTTTTAAATATGAACCCCAAGTTGATTACTCCAGAGAAAAGGTTGTTAATCTCGGACCTCGATTATCCTGTGCCTGGTGCCGTGCCCTGAAGTGGCAGAATGAGACTCCTGGGATGTGCTGCAGTGGCGGTAAAGTCCAGCTAAGTCCCCTTTGAGCCCTCCCCTGAACCCTTACACAGCCTTCTCACCCACCAGCATCCAATGGCAGACCACTTTCTTTCCGCTTCCAAATGGCGTCTTTTGGAGCCAGAGAGGTGAAGGAGGGAAATTTTATGCCAACATTCGAAGTGCAGGGGCAGGTCTCCCACAGGATAGGGAGTATCACCAGCAGCTTTCATTTCTCCAGATAGACTTGGTTGGTGATGATGACAATGAAAGGGACATCCGTTGTGGAATTTACCCGGGCATTAATCCTGAACTGGTTAATTTCCAAATTTTATGTGTCAATTTATCAAGCCCGATCATAACTACTCATTAATTTTCAAGCTTCAAGTGCCCATTTATCAAGCGAAGCATGGGTATCCAGCTAGTTTTATATATTGTCGTATATTATTGTTTGTCTGTTTTTGTGTACGTGTCTTACTTTTCCATCTTCTCTTAAAGATGCTCAGATTTAAAACCCAGCCGTGTCCTGTTTGCAGAGAAAGTAGGAAAACCCATGGTTTTAGAAATTGCTCTAGTGGTTAAAGAAATTGCTCTAGTGGTTAAGGAGCCAGGCTAGAAATCGGGAGATTGTGAGTTTTAGTCCCGCCTTAGGCACGAAAGCCAACTGGCTGACTTTGGGGCCAGTCACTCCCTCTCAGCCCAGCCTACCTCACAGGGTTGTTATGGTGGGGAAGGAGGAAGAAGTATTAGGTCTGTTCTCCACCTTCGGTTGTTTAAAAAAATAAACGCAGGATATAAATTAAAGCTAAGTGGAAGAATAAAAGGGATAGAGGGCAGTTGATGATTATAAGAACACTTAGTAGTAAATGAGTGAGTGAATCTCTAGAGTTCAAACAGTTGGGACTGAGGATGAGGTCTTTCTTTCTAGCCACTATTTTTCTTTCTAACAGTTTCCAGCTAAACAAATATTGCAATTAAGATCTAAGTTTGAACTTATTCTCGTGTTCCTACATTTCTCCGGCGCACAGACTTCATGTATTTGCTTTTGTGACACGTAAATTCTTCTCAGACGGTGGCAAGATCTGTACCGTATCAGAGACTAGAAGAAAATCGGGGGGGAACCCCAACCCAGCTGGGACAGAAGGTTGTTTCGGCCACCACGTGTCATGTGGTCTTCCTCTCTGAACCGTTTCAGGTTCAGCCGCCATGGCAGAGTCCGAAGACATTTTAGAGCTCCAGCGGGAGGTGATGGAGGAGATGGGCATCTCCCTGGAGGACCTCAAGCAGCTGATCGAGGAGGAGCTGGAGAAATCGGAGTACGTCAAGCAGCGGAAGGAGGAACTGGGGCGCCTGGAGGAGTCCGTGAAACAGAAGGAGGCGGAAGTGGCTCACGTCGACCAGCTCCTTGAAAACGCCGTGAAGTAAGCAAAACGGCTTGGCCTCTCGGTGAAGCTTTAAAAAAAAGCTAGCAATTCAAAGTATAGAATACACAGGCGGTCCTCAAGATACGGCCATAACAGAGCCTGCTCATCGGGGCCCTAAGTTGTGACGATCATACATTGGGTTGAAACTTCATCCCAACTATTGAAACATCAAAGCTGGGTTATGAGTAGCCCGAAGGCAGGTCTGTCATAACTTTGCTACGTGACCAGTCATAAATAAAGGACTACCTGTAATTATGCCAAGGGAGGGGAAGTATTTCTATTACAGTTCTTATCTTAATTGCCTAAGCCTCATCCGCAACTCACCATAAGTAACTAACGGGGCTGGTTCACCACGGCTGGAAGGGTGAAGAAATGACATGGGATGCACGAAACATTTCGAAACGCCTGTCCAAAACGCAGGCAGTCCTCGACTGACGACCAGAGTCGAGGCCAAAATTTCTCCTGCTAAGTGAGACGGGTGTTAAGCGAAATAATAGGAAATACTTGTAGCTTGGGTTTTCGGTTTTTAGCAGTGGCTTGCTCCCCAAGCTTGTTTCAATTTAGTTTCTGAACGTTTCATTACCAGACTAGGTAACGATGATGTTAAGCGAGTTTTGCCCCCTTTTACGACCTTTCTTGCCACAGCCGTTAAGCGAATCGCCGCAGTTGTTAAATTAGAAACCCGGTTGTTAAGCGAATTCGGCATCCCCCTTGACTTTGCCGGTCATAAGTTCGCAAAAGGGGATTGTGTGATCCCAGGACGCTGCAGCCGTGACACATGCGACTCAGTTGCCAACCCTAAATCACTTTTTTCAATGCCATCGTGACTTCGAATGGTCACTAAACAAACTCTTGTAAATCGAGAACCACCTGCATTTAATCCCATTTTCCAGGCAGCTCACCCGAGCTCCCATTTCCTGGTTCCGTCTTAATCGAATTTGCTTCCGTTTGCCTCCCAGGGCGGTGGATAAATGCGAAGTGTTGGTCAAAGACATCTACGTCAATCTGGGGCTGGAATACCGAGAGACGGACTCGGATTCGGAGAACGGCTCCGGCAAACCCATGGAAGTCATCGAAATTCCCGACGAGGATGACGATGACGTCATGAGCGTGGACTCAGGTCGGACGCCAGTGGGATCAGCCAATTTCTGCTTGGCTATTTATCCATGAGTTATTATCTAACTAGGACAGGGGTCAGCAACCTTAAACACTCAGAGCCACAAAGGCCCTAACCGGAAGCTCCCCCGTTCAATTTTGGAGCCGACCGGAAGTCCGGTCCCCCCCACCACCATAGTGTCTCCTCCTAGTGCAGCGTCCTTTTTCCTCTACATATCCTAACCGAAAGCCCTATCAATTGTGGAGCTGACTGGCGACAGGGAGCCGCAGCAGAGGAATGAAAGAGCCACATGCGGCTCCAGAGCCGCAGGTTGCTGACCCCTGAACTAAGATAATTTAAAATCATGCTTTGATACTAACCAGGATCATTTAAAATCATGCTTTGATACTTCTTGGCTGTATTTAATTTTTTGTATTTCCTTTCCGTTGTAGCAGATCCGAATAACAAAATTGTAAAGGACCAGACCCTGGTAAGTTTGTGGGCCCAGAAGGGGAAATGACAGCTTATTAACCTAGCTAGGAAGTTAGAAAAAAATAACCTAGTTAGAAACCTAGTTTCCCAGTTAAGGAGAAGGGTGGGCATTTTCCACAGGTGAACAGAAGCCATGAAATAGCTCTTCTCTTGGGCCAAAAAAATTAGTTTACAGGTAGCCCTTGGCTTATGACCACAATTGAGCCCAAAATTTCCGTTGCTAAGTAAAACATTGGTTAAGTGAATTTTGCCCCCATTTTATGACCTCTGCGCATGCGTGCACTAGGAACAGGCGCCTCCTGTTCCTCTGACTCTCTGCTGTCCGACTCTGGGGGCTCTGGAGTCCGCACCTCACTCCGCGATGCCCTGGCCCCATCTCTGCCTCTGATGCAGAGCCCTTGTCCGAGCCCTCCCCAGACTCCAGAACTGGCCCATGGTCCTCCCCAGCCTCCTCACTGTCCGACTCTGCTGCCAGCTCCGCAGGCTGCTGGCGGACCAAAACATCTCCTTCCTTTTCCTAAGATGCTCTCCGTCCCCTGCCTGAATCCCTCTCAGCTTTTGTCCTTTTTTTCCAGTGAGGAAATCGAACGGATTTCCCTTTGCTTTTCCCACCTGCAGCTCCGAGAAGCCATGGCCGCCATGCGGAAGTCCGCTCAAGACGTTCAGAAGTTCATGGACGCCGTTAACAAGAAGTCGGGCAGCCTGGACTCCCAGAGAGGTGTGTGTGTGTGGCACACAATTGTCTTGGGGTGGGTGGGGGAGGGGGAGAAAAGCAGTCTCTCAGGGTCTCTTTGATATCCAGATATCCTCGGGAAAGAAGGCGGTTTAAAACAGACCCCCAAGAATAAATAGACACGACGTAGGATGAAGTATGTTTTTAGGTGGCTCTCAATGGTGAACTCGGCAGCAGAATTAGCAAAATCCTAATTCTTTCCTCTTCCACTTCTTTCTCACTTACTTTGGAAATCCAAAGCCAATTTTCATTTGGGAAATAAAATAAATAGAAATTGTTCTAAAATTTGACCTAGCTCTGGTGGCACTTTCTGTCTTCCCAAAATACATGGCTGTTGGTTGGTTGCTTGGCCTCCTGATTTCTTTTTTAATCTGATAAAAAGGCAAAGCACGTATGTGCTAGTCGTCGTTCCCGACTCTAGGGGTCGGTGCTCCTCTCCGTTTCAAAGCCGAGGAGCCAGCGCTGTCCGAATACGTCTCCGTGGTCATGTGGCCGGCATGACTCAACGCCAAAGGCTCACGGAAAACGCTGTTCCCTTCCCACCAAAGGTGGTCCCTGTTTTTCTACTTGCATTTTTTACCTGCTTTCGAACTGCTAGGTTGGCAGAAGCTGGGACAAGGAACGGGAGCTCACTCCATTACGCGGCACTAGGGATTCGAACCGCCGAACTGCCGACCTTTCGATCGACAAGCTCAGCATCTTAGCCACTGAGCCACCACGTCCCTTTTTAATCTGATAGTCATCAGCAAAAGTTTGGTATAACAATGGAGTCAGCAGGCTAGGGACCAGGCGGTCGTGAGTTCTAGTCCTCCTTAGGCACAAAGCTAGTTGGGTGATCCTGGGCCAGTCATTCTCTTTCAGCCCTGGGAAGCAAACAATGGCAAACCACTTCTAAAATATTGCCCAAAAAAACACCCCCACTTTATTTTTCCCAACAGGTTTACACCAAGTCAGCCCCGGGTGTGAGCTGACCCACGATGGCGACCTCACAGTTGGTGACCGTATCCTGGGCAAGAAACGGACAAAGACTTGGCACAAGGGCACCTTGATTGCCATCCAGACAGTTGGTAAGGAACCCCTCGAACTGTCCCCGGGGGTCACAGCAGGCCTGGGCAAGCCTCCTGCAGTTTGAAAAGACCCTCCCTAGGCCCAGGATTGGCACCCAAACGGGATGCTAAATTTGGCAAGTATGTAAAAGCTGTCGCTTGAAACTTGTTTGCAAGAAAAGACAGAGCGAGGGAAGGAGAAAGGGAAGGAAAGGAAAGGAGAAGGATAAGCAGGGAAGGGAAGGAAGGGAAAAAAAGGAAAGGAGGAAGGGAAGGAAAGGAAAGGAGAAGGATAAGCAGGGAAGGGAAGGAACGGAGAAAAGGAAAGGGAAGGAGGGAAGGGAAGGAAAGGAAAAGAGAAGGATAGGAAAAGGATAAGCAGGAAAGGAAAGGAAAGAAGGAAAGGAGAAGGAGAAGGAGAAGTAGGGAAGGGAAGGAAGGGAAAAAAGGAAAGGGAAGGAAAGGAAAGGATAGGAGAAGGATAAGCAGGAAAGGGAAGGAAGGAAAGAAAGGAAGGGAAGGAAAGGAAAGGAAAGGAAAGAAGGAAGGAAAGGAAAAGGAGATAGAAAGGAAATGAGAAAAAAAGACAGAAAAAGAAAGAATGAAAGAAAAAGAAAGAAAGGAAAGAAAGAAAGAAAGAATTAATTAATTTTTTTGGTTGGTTTAGTATTAACCAATTGCAATTTTTCCCCAGTATCAACCAGTATCCAGTAAATTTCTGGAGATCTACAATTGGAGCCTTTCTCCACTCCATCTAATCGCCCTGCCTCTATTTATGGAAAAAAAACCCTATATATTTTGAACAGCCTTCTCTCCCGCAAGCTATAGTTTTTCCTCTTGACCAGCTGTCTCCGATCGCCATGAGGACTAGAGCCTTGCTTTACATTAAAACTAAATGCCCCTCTTCCCCTCCCCTAGGTCCTGGGAAGAAATACAAGGTTAAGTTCGACAATAAAGGGAAGAGTTTGCTGTCGGGCAACCACATAGCTTACGACAGCCACCCGGTGCCCGAGAGGCTGAACGTCGGCAGCCGGGTTGTGGCCAAATACAAAGACGGCAATCAGGTCTGGCTCTACGCGGGAATCGTGGCCGAGATGCCCAACGTCAAGAATAAGATGAGGTCAGGGCAACCCTCCGTTGGGTTTTACAAACAGGAGGAGGAGGGAGGGGGAGTCAGTTTGTGAAAACCAGGAGGAAGGATGAAGTATTTATTTGGGGTTCCTCAACTAAAAAGGTCAGCAAGATCCCTCCATTTAAGAGAGCGAGCCAAGAAAAGTCGCAAGCAAAGTCACATTTATTGCAGAATTAATGTTTGGCTGGTATTCCGAGTTGGCTCCTGAGTGGTGCGGTGGCCTAGAGGTGGCGCTCTCGCCTCACAATCAGGAGGCTGGGAGTTTGATCGTAGGAAGAGGCAGATATTTCTCTCTCGGGGCACACTTGAGAATATATCTGCCGAACAAAACTCCGCACTGGTGACAGGAAGGGCATCCGGCCAGTAAACACTCAGCCCCATTCAGTTGCCCAGATTCCACCCCACAAGGGATTACGGGGTGGTTAAAAGAAGAAGAAGATTCTGAGTTGGCTCCTGCCTGTCTCTGGCACATTCCTGAAGCGGGAAAATTGCTGTGTCTTCTGATCGCTTCTCCTTGATGTGCTGCAAACGGGAATGAACTGTTCCGGTCTGTCCCACTTGTAGGTTCCTCATCTTCTTTGATGACGGTTATGCCTCCTACGTCATTCAACCCGAGCTTTATCTCATCTGCAGGCCTCGTGAGTAGAACCTGCCCACCTGAATTCTGGTTTGAGCAGAAACCAGAATTTTCTGGGTTTGGGGCGTGAGGGGCTTCCGCTGCCTCCGTTTGCGTGTCTCTAGCATTGGTTGTTAAGTGAACTGCTGCCGTTGTTGACTTAGCCACACCGCTGTTAATTGAACCTGGCTCGTTGACTTTTCGTTCAGTGCCGTTGTAACTTTGAACGGTCGCTGAAGGAAGTCTTGTTAAGTCGAGAGCTGCCTGGTAGGAATAACGGGCGTTTACGTCTCCCTTCGCGCAGTCAAAAAATCCTGGGAGGACATTGAAGACGTCTCCTGTCGGGATTTTATCGAGGAATACGTCACCGCCTACCCAAACCGGCCCATGGTGCTCCTGAAGAGCGGCCAGCAGATCAAGACGGAGTGGGAGGGCACCTGGTGGAAATCGCGGGTCGAGGAAGTGGACGGAAGCTTGGTCAAGATCCTCTTCCTGGTAGGAGGGGCTCAGAGCCCCCACTAAAGGGCCAGACACCCACCCACCCACCCAGGCCTTGCCCTGGTTCTCTGCCCCCTTCCCCCTCGGCTGCCCTCTGCTTCCAGCATGGCCAGCATCTTTATCTCTCTATCTCTGTGCCTCTGCCTATCTCTTTCTCTCTCTCTTGTCTCCATCTATCCCTTTCTCTTTCTCTCTCGCTCTGTGTCTCTCTTTCTTTCTCTCTTTCTCTCTCTCTTTCGTTCTCTTGTCTCCATCTATCCCTTTCTCTGTCTCTCTCTGATTCTCTCTCTCTCTCTGCCGTTGCCAGGATGACAAGCGTTGCGAGTGGATCTACCGGGGTTCCACCCGCCTGGAGCCCATGTTCAGCATGAAGACCTCCACAGCTTCCACCCATGACAAGAAACAGGGGGGCCAGATGAGGATGCGGCCCAATGTGGGTACGTCCCCCTTAAAATGATCATCGACCCCCATGGCCAAAAAACAGCCCCTGAGGGGAAGTCCGAGAGGGTAATCAATAAATACAGGTAGTCCTCAACTTAACACCACAATGGGGCACAGTTTCCCGTGCCGTTGTAACTCAGGACGGTCCCTGAACGGACTGTTGCAAGTCCAGGACCGCCTGTACCGTCTGCAGGATAAAAGCAGGCCGAGAATCCGCCGCTAATTGGGACACGTCGTCTTGCCTGTTTCCGCTGTTCTTTCTCAATGCTGCTGCTGGTGTGACCGCGATCCACTTACTGACTCCCCCCCCATCCCCCCTGCCTCTCCCCCCCAGGGGCCGTGCGAACCAAGGGCCCTGTGGTGCAGTACATCCACGACCTGACTGGGACCAGCCCTCAGCAGCAGCTCCAGCCTGCAGAACCCCAAATTCTCCTCACCTCCTCCCAGCTGGTGCCTCCTCTCTTTGGGGAGTCAGAGTAAGTCCCTGTTTCGTGGGGGGTTGGAGGAAAGGGGGTCCCCTCTGGAAGGAAACCCTGAAAGGCAGAGGCTTTGCGGAGCCCCCCCCCCCGTCAAAAAGCAGGTTCTTGGGGGGTGGGGGAATTACTTTACAGGGAGTCCTTGACTTAGGACCACAGTCGAGCCCAAAATTTCCATCGCTGAGCGAGACGTTTGTTAAATGCGTTTTGCCCCGTGTGACGACCTCCCTTGCCACCGTCGTTAAGCGAATCCGGCTTCCCCATTGACCTTTGCTCGTCAGAAGGTCGCAAAAGGGCATCACGTGACCACCACCCCCCACCCCGGTCATAAATACGAGTCACTTGCCAAGCGCCTGAATTTTGACCCCGGGAGATGCTGCAACGGTCACAAAGTGTGAAAAACGGTCCTACGTCGCTTTTTTCAGGGCTGCTGCAACTTCAAACGGTCACTAAGCGAACCGTTGTAAATTGGGGACTACCTGAAAAAGTCTTTCTCTTTTTTTTTTTTTTTTTTTTAATCCCGCAGTTCGGAGAGCCAGCTGGCTCAGGCCAAGAAACAGCAAGTGGCGAAAAAAAGCACCTCCTTCCTACGCCCCGGATCGGCCGGATCGGGCCTGTCCCCCCCATCCTCTCCCATCCTGAGCGAAACGCCTCCGGTCGGCCGGCCAGGAGTGACCCAGCAGTTCAGGTCAGCCGCTGTGGCCGGAGAACGGAAGAGGCCTGGTCCTTTCAAGGCCGCCTCCTGCTTGAGAAGAAAGGGGTCTCCCAATCTGGCAGGGTCCTTCCCGTCCTGGGACTCTGTAGGAGGCCCTTTGACTTTGGGGCTAGGATTTAGGAGGGGACCCAGCCCCAAGAGCTGCCCTGAAATGTTGCAGAGGAAGGGGGCATCCCATCAGGGTCTCCAAACACCTCCCCCTAGCAAAGAGGATTAGGGGGATGGAGGCTAAAACATGGGAAGAACGCTTGCAGGAATTGGGGGTGTCTAGTGTAGAGAAAAGAAGGATTAGGAGAGACATGATGGCACTCTTCCGGTATTTGAGGGGCTGCCCCAAAGAAGGGTGGGGGTGGGGGGTCAACCTGTTCTCCAAAGCCCCTGAAGGCAGGAGAAGAAGCAACAGGTGGAAACTAATCAAGGAGGGGAGCAACCTGGAACGAAGGAGAAACTTCCTAACAACAGGGAGGACAATTAACCAGTGGAACGGCTTGCCACTAGAAGTGTGTGCTCCATCACTGGAGGTTTTTAAGAAGAGACTGGAGTTTGAAGTCCACAAACCATAGTTCTCCACCTCTGGACTAGGGTCTCCTGGTTGAGCAGCGGGTCAGACTAGATGACCTCCCGGGTCCCTTCCCACAGGTCCCTTGTTATTCTGAGTCGCCCAGCTATCTTTACGGCCTTCTCTCTCTCCTTCCCCCCACCCCCCCCCCACGTGGCAGGTTCTCTGGGGTGCAGCCCACGGCGGGCGCCCTCCCGTCCTTCCACAGCATGATGGAGCGTGTCCCCAACGAGTCTTCCTACCGGGCCCCCGTGGAGAAGCTCTTCTACCTGCCCCACGTCTGCAGCTTCAAGTGCCTGAGCCGGGTGCGTCCCGTCCGCCCCGACCTCTACCGCAGCCGCAACCCGCTGCTCATCCCGCTGCTCTACGACTTCCGCCGCATGACGGCCCGCCGGCGGATCAACCGCAAGACGGGCTTCCACGTGATCTACAAGACGCCCTGCGGCCTCTGCCTGCGCGGCATGAACGAGATCGAGCGCTACCTCTTCGAGACGGACTGTGACTTCCTCTTCCTGGAGATGTTCTGCCTGGACCCCTACGTGCTGGTGGACCGCAAGTTCCAGCCCTACAAGCCCTTCTACTACATTGCGGACATCACCAAGGGCCAGGAGGACGTGCCTCTCTCTTGCGTCAACGAGATCGACAGCACCCCGCCACCCCAGGTGGCCTACAGCAAGGAGCGGATCCCGGGGAAGGGGGTCTTCATCAACACCGGCTGGGAGTTCCTGATGGGCTGCGACTGTGAGGACGGATGCAGGGACAAGTGAGTGCCCCTCCCCTGGCCCGGCCCCCTCCCCTTTCCGTACCCAGTCTTCTAAGCATTACGTTCACACAACCAGCTCCCTGGTTCCTCTCGGGAAGAACCAGACCCGCCAGCGCAGGCGGGGAGTTTAGCTGCCTCGTAGCAGAGCCCAAAACGGATTTCCCCCCGTTTGACACCCTTAGGAGACCCCTTAGAGTTCCCTCTGAGCCCCAGGGGTCTCCAAAGGGTGTCAAACGGGAGGGAAATCCAGGCAGTTCAAAATAAACATAAATTATGCTTTCTTGCATAATAATATGCTTTCTGCAAGAATCCGAACTACTAACAGTCAAAGCAATTTGGCGGTGGATAAGGAATTCAAGGCAGGCTGGACTTCGATCTCTTGTGGGCGCCAAGGGACCCATGACGTGCTTGAGCCCTCCCTCTCCCTCCCTTGGGCTCAGCCTGGTCGTTTTCTACCAAGGGGTCCAAACCACGGTTTGGATTTGAAGCTAGATCCGGTCCCCGAGGGATCTGGATTGTTCCCGCCGCGTTTTATCCGCCCGGAAACCAGTGGCGTCCTCCTTTGTCTCCCGCAGATCGAAATGCGCCTGTCATCAGCTGACGGTCCAGGCCACGGCTTGCACCCCCGGCGGGCAGATCAACCACAATTCCGGCTACCAACACAAGCGGCTGGAGGAGTGTATCCCCACGGGGTGAGTAGTGGGGCTTTTCAGGGGAAGGGGAGACCCCAGAGGTGAGAGCAGAGCCAGGATCGACCCAAACTCTCAGCCTTAAAACTCCTCAGTTTCCAGCTGAGCAAAATTTTTTGCTCCGTGTGTTCATTCCCATCTACGGCGAGTCCTCAACTTACGACCGACCCCTTAATGACTGAAGTTACAACAGCCCCCCCCTCCCCCAAAGCTACTCATGATCCTGTTCTGGAATTCAAACGTCCAGGCCTTTTTCCCCCGGGGGGTTTTAATTCCGCTTTTTGGCAAAAGCCACAGGCTCACTTCACCACCGCAGATCCGCAGTGCCAACACCAGCTTTACCTTTCATCATTACAACAACCATAATGGGCAGGCTCCAGGACGGTCATAAGTCAAGGACCAGCTGTGTTCAGAAATCCTCTCTTTCCATTGCATGAAAAACGGTGTGGGGTGATATTTTTTTTTTTCCGGCTAGGGAGACGATCAGCTTGTGTCGCTTCTGATGTCCTAACCACTTTTTGAACCTGAATAACGTGTCTCTCTCTCTCTCCCCCCGTTTTCCCCCAGGGTGTACGAGTGCAACAAGTGTTGCAAGTGCAATTTGAACATGTGCTCGAACCGCCTGGTCCAGCACGGCCTGCAAGTCCGGCTTCAGCTCTTCAAGACCCAGAACAAAGGTTGGGGCATCCGGTGCCTGGACGACATCGCCAAGGGCTCCTTCGTCTGCATCTACGCTGGTAAGGCAGCGGCCTCGGGCTGTGGTTCCACAGGGGAAGCTCTCAAGCCACGTAGCTGGGCAGGCCGAGGAGAAGAGGGAGGGGGTCTCGGCAGCGGTGCCCCTCCTTGGACCCAGACGGGCTGGGGTACTTCGCTCCTTTCTTATTTGCAAGGACTCCCAAGTCCATCCAAACACTTCGTTTAAGGCTCAAATGCAGGGCAGCCCCATTGTGACAGGCGACTTAATGATCAAATCGTGACTAATCAGGCCATGTTGTGTGTTGGCCACATCTTTGCGACTTCAGCCTCTGTGTGGAGGTCAGGAGGGGCACAACCCCCCCCCCCAATATTTCCTACCTGGGAACCCCTGGAATTTTCTCTCAAGGGCGAATTTTCTGGACCCTTCTGCATGGGGGCACAACAGCTGATCTTGGGGCGGTAGAATCAGCTGGGAAGATCAGTGGGGAGCATGTGGTTTCTTCTGTTCTCAATAATGGTGAATAATTCAGTTCCTGGCTCCCCGTTTTTATCAGTTTCTTCAGCGCTGTTGTAACTTCAAATGGTCACTAAACAGGAGTTTTTAAGTCGAGGACGACCTGTAAAACAGGGGTGGGGAACTGTGGCCCTTTTAAGGACTGGTGGATTTCAACTCCCAGAATTGCCTCAGGAATTCTGGGAGTTGAAATCCCCCAGTCCTTAAAAGGGCCACAGTTTCCCCCACCTCTGCTGTAAAACCACAGGATATCTCCGCGAATAGCAAGTTTCTAGCCCTCGTGGCTGGCGAAACCAGGGGAGAACGCCCTCCGAGCCCCCTTTTCTCCGGCAGGGAAGATCCTGACGGACGACTTCGCCGACAAGGAGGGCCTGGAGATGGGCGACGAGTATTTCGCCAACCTGGACCACATCGAGAGCGTGGAGAACTCGAAGGAGGGCTACGAGAGCGAGGCCAAGTGCTCCTCGGACAGCAGCGGCGTCAACCTGAAGGATGATGAGGACGACAACTCCGGCACGGAGGAGGCCGAGGAGTCCAACGAGGAGAGTTCGGACGACAATTTCTGCAAAGACGAGGATTTCAGCACCAGCTCGGTCTGGCGCAGCTACGCCACCCGCCGGCAGACGCGGGGCCAGCGGGAGAACGGCCTGTCCGAGACGGCCTCCAAGGACTCCGGGCCGGCCAGGCAGGCCAGCCACGAGGAGGCACCCCCTACCTGCAAGCCCCCCGTCTCGGAGGAGACCTCCAAGAACAAAGTGGCCTCCTGGCTCAGCTCCAACACCGTGGCCGACGGATACCAGGACAGCGACAGCCGCTCGTCCTTCCGGATGCAGGAGGCGGCCGAGGTGAAGCCCCCCGTGAAGGGGGAACCTGGCGAGAAGAGCGGGACCCCCGGCCTCCTCCCCAGCAAGGATGAGCCCGGCCCGGAGGCGGAGATGAAGGCGGTGAAGAAGAAAGAGGTACGGTCTCTGGGCAGATGGGTGGCTGGTGGGGTAGAGGGCAGCCCGGAGGACTCCTCCCGCTTGACCGAAGCAGGCTGTCGAATTCCTGTCCTGGTTACAGAGTCCTGGGGCGAGGACTGGGAGGGGAAGACACCCCCCTTGCCAAGGGCGGTTTGGACAGTGACGTTAAATTTGAGCAGCGAATGATATAAATCGAGCTGGGATTGTGCAGACCCTCCGAAGGGGACATTCTGGGCCAGAAAAGCTACCCAGAATCACCTTGTAGGAGAAATGGATGGAAGGATGGAAGGGAGGGAGAGAGGAGAAAGAAAAAGAAAAAAAAAAAAAAAGGGAAAAGGAAAGGAAAGGAAAGAGGAAGGAAGGAGAGGGAGGGAATGGGAAGGAAAGGAAGGGAAGAAGGGAGGGAGGGAGAAAAGGATGGAAGGGAGGGAGGAGAAAGGAAAGATGAAAGGAAAGGAGATAGGAAGGAAGGAAAATGAGAGAAAGAAAGAAAGAAAAAAAGGAAAGAAAAGAGGAAGGAGAGGGAGGGAGGGGGAAGGAAAAGGAAAGGAAAGGAGGGAGGGAGGAGAAAGGAAAGAGGAAAGGAAATGAGATAGGAAGGAAGGAGAGAGAGAGAAAGAAAAAAAGAGGAAGTAAAAAAAAGAAGGAAAGAAAAGATAGGAAAGAAGGAGAAGGAGGGAGGGAAGGGGAAGGAAAAGAGGAAAGGAAAGGAAGAAGGGGAGGGAGGGAGAAAAGAAAAAGAAGGGAGAGAGAAAAAGAAATAAACGGTGGGCCGATCTTTCTGCAGGAGAGGATCTAGGGGCATTTGGGGGGTGCCATGGGGAAGGGGGGGCACAGATGCTGATCTGTGGGGTGGGGGCTTGCCAAGGCTGCCCTTCACCCTCCAGGATGGGGAAACTGATGGGCCGGGAGCAAAAGAGCAAAGCCGAAACAGAGAATTCTCTCTTCTCTTTTTCCGCAGGAACCGGAGGAACCAGCCAAACCCACGTAAGACGTTTTGGGCGTTTCTTGCCCAACTTTGGGGGTGCTCAGACCTACTTTAATCCCCGGGAGAAAAGACCCTTCCTGGGCTTAAGAATCTCTTCCCACAACAGGGAAGGAGACCTTGTTATGGGCCATTTCCAGAGTCCCCGCAAGCAGAAAAGGAGTACCTCAAGGGAAAGAAAATGGACCACTGTAATCTGTTTGCGCCCAGGGAGGGGTGGTTTCCTGGAAGTTTCCCCCCCCCCCCGATCTATTTCGCCTTCCAGATGCTCCCCCTGGGGGGGCCCCCCCACCCCAATTAATTGCCCCCGCCCCCCCCCCCAAAGAAAGACCCCCTTTCTGTAATTTTGGGAAAGAGCTCCTCGGCATCCCCCCACCCTGCAGGGAAGGGGGGTCCCCAAGCACTTCAGGGCTCACCCCGGCTTCTCTCTGCCCCCCTCCCTCAGGCCCAGCCACCCCACCAGGGTCTACGGCTACAACCCCAACCCGCCCATCCCCGAAGGGGCCCGGCGGCCTCCCAGCAAGACCACCTCCCATCAGAGCCGGAGACAATCAGAAGGCCAGAATCCGGATGTAAGTCGGGAAGGGAGGGGAGGGGGCTTCTCCTGCAGGCATCTTCTCTACCTGCCTGTTTTCAAGGCTGGGGCTGAAACTTGGAAGGAAAGGAGAATTGGCCTAGGGGGGAGGGTTCGGTCGAGGGTTCAAAGGGGGTCTGGAACCGAACTCGGGACCGGGTCAGTCCGGCCGGCCAGTGAAGGAAAAAAAACACTCTCTTTCTTCTACAGCAGGACGTCCTGATGCTCTCCAGCAGCACCGACAGTGACGGAGACAATCTCCGGCCGATTTCGGGGCCCGTCCAGGTCAACCACACCAACGACAGCGATGACATCCAGACCATCTCGTCCGGCTCGGAGGAAGAGGTGGCCGCCGACCAGAAGAAGAACGTCCCTTCCAGGCTGGGTGAGGCCCTGGAAGAAGACGGGGAAAGCCGGCCCTGAGATAGACTGCTCCTGGCTCTGGAGGTTCCCTTTAGGCTAGGAGGCACTACTCACAGCGAGTCCTCGACTGAGCGGCCGCAAATCAAGCCCCAAGTTGCTGCCGCTGAGTGAGACGTTCGCGCAGGGACTTTTGCGTGCCCGTTTTGCGACCTTTTTTCCGCCGGCGTGGCGGTTCAGCGAATCCTCCCGGTTGTTGAGTTAGCCCCACGGCGGTGAAGTGAATCCGGCTTCCCCTGTTGGCTTCGCTTGGCAGAAGGTCGCCAAAGGGGAACTGTCGTAAATGTGAGCCACTTTGCCAAGAACGGGACACTGCAGCCGTTCTAAGTACAAGCCCATTCCCCAGCCGTTTCAGATATAAACTTGCAACGGTCACTAAACAAACTGTGGAGGACGGCCTGCGTACTGTATTGGCTACTGCTGGATCCTGACTTCACCTCTGGCTTGGAATGTAGGAGGACAGAGTTGGAAGGGACCTTGGAGGTCATCTAGCCCAACCCCGCTCTGCTCGGTCAGGAGAGGTTTTCACCAGGGGCCCCCCTTTCTCTTGCAGGAGCAGTGAAGAGGCAGGTGGCCGTGAAATCCACCCGAGGTTTTGCCTTGAAATCCACGCACGGCATCGCCATCAAGTCGACCAACCTGGCTTCGGGGGAGAACGCGGCCATCCGAAGGAATACGCGCCAGTTTTACGACGGGGAAGAGTCCTGCTATATCATCGACGCTAAGCTGGAGGGGAACCTGGGACGCTACCTCAACGTAAGAGCCCGGGGAGATCGAGGGGGTCCCCTTCCCTGAATTGGCTCCCCTCCCCTTCTCGCATCCCTCCTGGTCCGTCCCTGGGAGACTGTCCCCTCTCTACCCGGGGCAGGCCTTTCCCCCTGCTTCCCAGGAAAGTATCTACGGAGATCTCCGTCATCCATGGTCCTGGTTGTCCCAAAGGCAACTGGACTTTCTGGGGTTTTTTTTCTTTGAAGAGGTTTTGCTTCTCATCCGAGAAGCTTCTTCAGGTTCTGACTGCATAATGGGGTTAGAATTGAAGAAGCTGCTCGGGTGAGAAGCGAAATGTCTTCAAAGGGGAAAAAAAACCACCAGAAAGTCCAGTTGCCTCTTCGGGGGGGGGGGGAAAGCGTTTTTGGGATTCCCAGCAAAGTTTCTGAAGCTGGGCCTTCCTGTCCATCTCCCCTTCCCCAGCATAGCTGCAGCCCCAACCTCTTCGTCCAGAACGTCTTCGTGGACACGCACGACCTCCGCTTTCCCTGGGTGGCCTTCTTCGCAAGCAAGTAAGCAAGTCCTCCACCCCACCCCAAAAAAGTGGGGCTCCCCTCCTTTCCAGACGGGGTTTAAGAGGCTCGTCCAAAGGGATATTTCTCCAGGAAATCTCCCCAAACTCTTAAAAACTCAGCACTTTTGAGCCTTCCAGAGGGAAAAACCAGTTACACACAAGTGATTTCTCTGTGCAATTTCTACAAAGCGTTTGCAAATTCCCTGCGGGCTTGGAGGGTTGACTTCAGAGGAAAAAAGGCAGAGGTGGGAGGAGAAAAAAACAACGAAGCGTCAAATTCCGGCATAAAATGTGCCAGCTTTAACAAGTACCACATCCAGTTTTGCTCACCACACTATAAAAAAGATGAGACTAGAAAAAAAGTTTTTACAGGCCCAGAAGTTTTAAAAACCACGATGAAAATGTTGCTTAAAATGATCATAATCCGCCTCTTCCCTCCGCAGGAGAATCCGGGCCGGGACGGAGCTCACCTGGGATTACAACTACGAAGTAGGAAGTGTCGAAGGCAAGAAACTGTTGTGTTGTTGCGGTGCCATCGAATGCCGAGGCCGCTTGTTGTAAAAAGTTGTGTTATTCCCCAACTGGGGAAGAGGCCTCTCTTTTTTCCAAAAAAAGACCCTCACCCCACCCCACCCACTGGCGAAAGGGGGATTTGCCCCGCCGCCACTCTTCCCCCACCCCGTGTCTTTCCGTGGTTCACGTCTCTTCGCTCTACGCGTGTGCCGTGTTGAGCACAGCGGGGGCCCTGCGTGTTAACGTCTCTGTGTCGAAAGTGTTTTCCCCTCACCCACCCACCCAAGTTGGATGTTGTAAAGCAATAAAGAATATCCAGTCTTTATTAAAATAACATGACTTTTCTGTTTGCCGCATATATTCAGGTAGAATCCTCTACTTACAACACTTCCGTTTAGTTCTCCCCAGTGCCTTAGAAGGCAAAAACGCATTTATTTAAGAGAAAAACGGGGGGGGGGGAGGGAAATCCCATGTTGAAATTGAATGGAAAAAACAATCACTCGATACCGAGATGGGCGGCGTATAAATTTAATTAATTTTAAAAACGATAACCCCACTCATATTTTTTTCAACCACCTCTGGGAATAACAAAATCAACGTCGAGGTCATTTTTTTTAAAGAAGTTTATTAGTTTAATTAAAGTTTTAATAGAATTAAACTTTCTTTTTTTAAAAAAAAAGAACACGTATTTTGGTCTGAAGATAACGAGTGGTCCTTTTGCTCCCCTCCCCCACCCACCCTAAATTAACCCCCCCTTCCAAAAAAAAAAAATACTGCCATTTCAGCTGATCGGCTGGGCCAGAATTCCCCTCCGCCCATTCTGAGATCCCCCCACCCACCCCCAATTTCCTTTTTGAGTTTTGTTTTTTTTCTTCCATTGGGGTAGAATTGAAAAAGCCTACTACCTAATAAATTAAACATTAATTAAGATCTCCAGAGTTCGTGGTACCTTTGAAAAGTCAGGACGGGAAATAGAAGGAAAGGGAGGAGGTGGTGATGGGTGGCTGGGGGGGGGTTGCATCCTGGGAGACCCAACAAAGTGACTGCTGAGAGTGCAGGGCGAAAAAAATTTAACATTTTGCAGAAAGAAATTGAAATAAAACCCCCAATCAGCTTTTAATACCCAAGGCTGTTGTTGACCTATTGAATTTAGCCCCCCCCCAAAAAAAATGCTCCAGAAAAATCCTCCCCAGGACAGGGGGATAGGCGTACCTGCTCTCCACCTTTCTATCCAGCTCTTCAGACCCCTCCCTTCCCCACCCCACCCCTTCCCCGCATTTAAGGCAGTGGCTTCTCCAGCACTTCTGCTCTTGGCAACTACAAAAACCATGTGCAAGAGTGATCTTGGGGACAGGGACTCCCTCGCCTGAACCCCGGTTTAGGTTTGGTGCAGCTAACAAAGCTAGATATTCTCAACCCCCCCCCCCCCCCCCCCCAAAGAGGGGAAACATGGCTTGAATGATATAAAGCGATAGGCATTGGCCGAGAAGGGAAATTAAGGCCGGGGCGGATTTGTCTTCCCTTCTCACCCCGAATGTCTTGACCAAAACATGAATTCCTACTTCGGCTCGAAACACCAAACCAGCCTGCCCGAATTTTGCAGCATCCAAGGGATAGAAAAATAATCCGAAAAAGGAGAAGGTGCACAAGGCAGACAAAAAGAGCCCAAAAGCCCATTTTTCACCCACCCCTCCATAAAATATCCAGATTCCTCGTGAAAAGCCAGACGGGCCCAGTGGAGATTCTCAGCCGACATCGCTTCAACTCCAGGAGAGGCAAAGAAATCCCCGCTTTTTCTGACCCGCTGGCCCTTTGGCACAGGGAGGAAACCTCCATGAGGACTGGCAACTTAAGATGAACTTTCCACTTCGGGCGCATCTTGACGGGTGCAAATCTGGCGGCTGCGGGCATCACCGCGATGGAGAGATTTTTCCCCCCCCTTCCTGCCTTTCTTTAGGGGGTCAGTTTGTATTTGGGGGTTCAACAAGTAAGGGGGCGAAAGGGGGGGGAAACAAGAGGGAAGGACTGACATTTTTCTTGGCTTCCCCGATGAGAATTTAAGGCAGTTTGGTGAAGGTTGGGGGGCGGGAGTAAACGGGAGGAGGAAGAGGGGGTCTTGTGGGGGACGCCTTCTGAGGGGAACGATTCCTTCCAAGCCAGATTAGCAGGCGGTAGGAGCACGGCGCCCCCCCCTTCCCCAAAAGTGATGGTGGGGGGGAAATGGGGCAAACCATTCTGGATAATCGTAGGCAGAGGAACCTCGTGCCCGAATTTAAGCCGTCTTTCCTCAAATTTTTGGCTTGGCCACAAAACGAAAACACCCTCCAGTCTCAGGTGACGCATCACGCAACGGACTCAGGATGAGCTGGGGCCAAAAAGAGAAAGAGAGAGAAAGACGGGCATTCGGGGGGTGGGGCGGGGGGGGAAACAGAGCCGGTGGGGAATTATTCTACTTTCTTCCGGTGGTTATTGTTCAAGATAGGGTGCCCATTGGTGAGAGGGCCGTTCTTGGTTCCTGCGCCGGGCACAGCGCCCGCAGCAGCCTTTTCTTCCTCCCCCTCGGAGTAATCCGTTTCGTCCCGATCGCTTCGCTCGTCCTCCAGTATCTGCGGGAAAAGACGGAGAGTGAGTCACCGGCGGGGCCTTCTTAGCGGTGGCCCCTTGCTCTGATCCACAATGCGTCTTAACCGCCTGGGAAACAGCCCAACTGGTAACCAGACCAGGGCTTAAAAGGACACCCCCGTTCTGCCCAATTGTTTGCCTGAAGTTTGTCATTATGGCTTATTAGTTTTCCAGGCTTATCCGATCCGATGCTTATTTTTGCGTTTTATGCCATTGTGGATCTGGGGAGTTTTATGTCATTTTAAAATGGATGTTGGGAACGGATGAAAACAACCAGCGTTTGCTTTCTGATCTGGGGCCACCATAGAGGACCCCACTCTCCTCAAAAGCCGAAGAGCATTTTCTGCTGTTTTTTTTTTTAATTTATTATAAAAATGATCGTTCAATGCTCTTTTACAAAAGAAGAGAAACCCAAGACAGGCTTTCTTTAAGCTTGCCAACAGACCTCATTCTAAGAATGAAATATACAACATGGGCCAGTCAATGGCTTCGACGAGGACGGGAATCAAAAGTTTCTAGTCCTCAGGATGGCAAAAGCAGACGTTATGCGAGAGTGAGGATCCGACGGCTCTCAAGACATCTACAATTCCTGTTTTGAGCGCCAAAATAAAAATCCCTTTGTGCCAATTGAGCACAAGGCTCCCTCTCTCTTTCCACTTCCCAAGCGTTGCCGAGCGTTAAGTAAATTTAAGGAACGTCCTTCTTACCTTTCCAGTTATGAATTTCTGAGCCATGCGAACGATAAGGTAGGCCCAAAATATGTGGAGGCACTGAAGGACTACCATCATGCTGTTGAAAAAGTAATAGCCGAAGAAAGGAGGATAAACCTCTAAAGGATAAATCATGGTGCAGTGGAGAATCCTAGGAGAGGAACCAGAGAAAGGGTTAATATTTTAAAATGTTAATATTTTAAAGTGTCTTCCCTCTCTTTAATCTCTGCAAAGAGTTGAGTTTTAAAGAGGAAAACCCTCCCAACTTTCACAAAGCCAAGGTTTGAAAAGGCCACACCCCACTTTCAAAGGGAGAATTAAAAATTTAAAAGCAGAATGAGGGTTAATTGGTGGCTAAAACCCCCAAACTGTGGTTTGCTTATTCGTGGATTAATGTAATTTGTAAACTGTACAGTCCATGGTATATTGCTTAGCTTTTCCTCTGTGGTTTCTAATAAGACTTGAATTAAAATTAAAAAAAGGATGTGATTTACTAGTCTATCTTAACAGATGAAATATTTCCAAACAAGATCAAATCAAGGAACACATTTACAGAAAAACTCAATTCCGAAATGGATCATATTTTGCCAAAAATGAAAGTCTGGGAAAAGATTCAATTTTCTACCATCTCATTTTCATTTCCAGGCCTTATCTTGTGAATTTCCTTTTTTTATTTTCTTAGTCAGTGCCATTTTTGGGGGGGTTTCCAAGAATCCCGTGAAAAATCTCACCAGAAAGGAAGAATGATTAAGCGGGTGATAATGAAGACGACTGCAAATACGATGAAAATGTTGTTACAGGTATTTTTCCAGCCGGCATAGTTGAACATCTTGGCAGACTGCAAAGCATGAGAAGAAAGGGAAGAGTGACACATCGCTGCTTTTAATTTCTTTTATGCAAAAGAAAGTTAGTTGCAAATGAAATTCTGTGCCTATTTTAAACAGACAGAAGGAGGCCAAAGGGAAAGGAAGGAAGGAAGGAAGGAAGGAAGGAGGGAGGAAGAAAAAGATGAGAGAAGGAATGAAGGAGATTTGAAGAGGGAGAGAAGAATTGAGGGAGGGAGGGAGGGAAGAGATGGGAAGAAGAGGGAGCAAAGAAGGGAGGGAGGAGGTGAGGAAGAAAAAGATGAGAGAAAGAAGGAAGAGGAAGGAAGGAATTGAGGGAGGGAGGGAGATGGGAAGAAAAGAGAGGAAAGAAGCAAAGAAAGGAGGGAGGAAGAAAAAGACAAGAGAAGGAATAAAGGAGATTTAAGAGAGAGGAAGGAAGGAAGGAATTCAGGGAGGGAGGGAGGAGATGGGAAGGAGGAGGAAAGAAGGGAGGGAGGAAGAAAAAGATGAGAGAAGGAAGGAAGGAGATTTGAAGAGGAAGGAAGGAGAGGAGGGAGGAGGAGGAGAGGGAGGTGATTTGATCCCACAGGGAGCCAAGACGGGGGTGACCCCAGATATCCTGGCTTAACTTCTCACCTCCAGCAGGTAGTCGGAGGCATCATGTAGAGCCATGATGAGGGTCCCTGCCCGGATATAGTTGGTGAACCAGGAGAAACTGATCAAGATGATAGTAGCGACATGATGAATTACTTGCTCCTTGAAATCCTGTCCACCAACGGGAGGAAAGGCAGAGATGGAAGCGGGAGGGGAGACACCCCCCCCAATCCGAGGGGAGGAGGAAGAAATCCCCTCTTCCTTCCCTGTCGGAAGCCACTCTAGGAAACCATTTCTTCTGCTCAGGAGGCATCAGCCGGGCACAACCCGAACCCAGGATCCCAACCTGCACTGGTTTTCCCCATTAATAAAACTTCTGGAGGGAAATCTCCCTCTTCCGACCCCTAAAATCCATTTTCCCACCCCACAAGGTCGTCCCTCCCCCCCCCAGGTCCAGCTCACCTTCCGTTTCACGTCGGAGGCGATGCGGAACAAGAGCGACCAGTAAAAGGACAGCTCAGTGATGTAATACCAGTACTGGGAAGGAAGCAAGGGCTGGGGGAGAAAAACCAGATTAAAACAGTGAGCCCAACCAGAAACTGTGTTTACAAGCCTCCCCCCCTTTTTTTTTCTTCTCTTTTTTAAAAATCAAGCTGGGAACTGCATGCCTGCAGGAAGTCCTCGAGATACGACCACAATTGAGCCCAACATTTATGTTGCTTAAGTCAAACATCTGTTACATGAAATCGGTTTTGTTCTCCTTTATAAATCCAAGAAAAGAGGAGAAAAAATAGCCCATATTAATATGTGCATCATAACATTCTCGGGTGCCAAATTCTCTAGATTTGACAGGGCACCAAATATTAGAAGAAGAATTTATCCCTTTGCTTCTTTGCAATGTCGATATCACCCGTTGGGGTTTGTGCATTTATTTTTAAAAATCCATGCAAACTTTTTCGGAAGAAATTCTTGCCGAAAACTGTCCTTACCTGAATAGGGTATCCGTCCCACACTTCTTCGAGGTTGTAAAACCAAGGTTTCTGCAACAGACCCACAAACACACACACAAAAGAGAGAGAAGCCCATTAGAAGGAAGGAACCAGGGAATTACCGAGAGTAATAAATTAAGAAAGAGGTTTAAATCTTTCCGACTGGAAGGCTCTATACTTACATCAACTATAACCGCCATGCCAGCAATGAAAGCAACAAGGTAAAACGTGAATCTCCAACTGGAAGAAGGAAGCACAAGATGAGGTTGTTGGTTTGGTGGTGGTTTCTCTGAGCAGATTTTTTTTTAAAAAAAAAATTGCACCAAGCGCGTCAAGAGCATGTGCAGAGTGCCTGTCTCCGGCCTCTAGGGGGTCTCAGTCTGCTCCGTACATTTATCGGGGTGTTTTTTTTAACCTGTTCTAAACCGAATCAACAGCGGAGTTTCCTTTTAGCTGAGGTCAAATTAATTTTATTAGAATTGTTAAACACAATGTGAAATTTGCTAATCAACGCCCCTTGTGGGGGTCATTTTTTCCAGCACCCACTTTCTATCATCCACCTGGCCCCCTCCACAGCAGGTTTTAATTATATGCCAATCAGGCAATACAATACAGGTAATCCTCCATTTACGACCGTTCCAAATTACGACAGAGTCCTCCAAAAGGTATTTAGGTACCAATTCCAAAGTTCCAATGGCCGCCCCCCCCCTCTCATCATGTGAACGTATTTGGGGGGGCTCAACAACTGGGCTGTTTGTCACCTCGGATGGATCACATTTGTGCCTCCTTCTCCCCCCCCCCCCCAAATGACATTTAATTCTGGTTTCTGGCAAAATCCAGCCAGCGCAAAGAATAAATCCGCTTAACGACCATGGCCACCAAAAGTCATAAAATTATTATTATTATTATTATTAAAATCAGCTTGCATTCACGCTTGACTTGCTTTGCAACCATCATGAATTACGACCATTATTGCCGGGCCCAGTCATAAACCGAGGACTACCTAACAAGGAATGCTGGGAGAGTTTGGCCCACAGGCTGCAGCTGGAGGCTTTCTTTACAAATAAAGGGCCGGGCACTCAGGGCAAAGGGTCTACCTGGCTTCCCGAAATTTCTTGAGCAAACTGGGTCTATCTTGGTTTCGTCTCCGCCGGAACCAGCGCTCCACCTGCCGGGGGCTGCAGCCGCTTTTTTTGGACAGCGCCTCAATAGCCCCCTGCGGGGAGAAACAAGAAACACACAACTCAGTTGTGAAGGAGGTTGTGCAGGCCGAGGACAATTCTGGCCACTTCCCCTTCACACCCCGGAAGCTGCTTTTCTTCTCTCCAGCCCCACCACCCCCACCTCCGTTTCTGCAGCCAAATTTGGGAGGATTTCCCTGCCGAAGGCACCTTGGCCAAGTTACCTGTTTGGGATGTTTGCAGGAAGTGGAATAAAACTTCTCTAGCACTGGATTGGGCGTGGCTTTTAATCGGGTTTTTTCTTTGACGTTCAAAAGCCCAGCCAGTGGAGTGGCGATGTAGCTGAAGGAGAAAAGAAAAAAAGAAGAGTGAAAAAAATGGAGGAAAGGAAAGGAAAGAGGGAAGGAAAGGAAAGGAAAGGAAAGGAAAGGAAAGGAAAGGAAAGGAAAGGAAAGGAAAGGAAAGGAAAGGAAAGGAAGGAAAGGAAAAAGGAGACGGGGGAGAGAAGGTGAGAAAAAAGGAAGATAGGGACAGAAGGATGGAAGGCAGATTGGGAAGGAAGGAAGGAAGGAAGGAAGGAGCAATGCCAGCCTTCCTCACTTCTTGCCGGCCCCTCCGAGCTCTTGAATCTTGGCAGAGGGGCTGTCCTGGGAGGGCAACTGCCCACTTTTCAATCCCCTCTTCTGCAGGGCAGAGCTGCCCCAGGCCTCCTGCAGCGTGGCCCAGGGCTGGTGCATTAATCTTTGGAGGGCAGGCCCTGCTCCTCCAGCCCCAGCTTTTCGAGTCTAAATTTTCTGGATTATTTCTTGCAAATGACCCTTTGCAATGAACTGCCCGCTTGTGCCACCTTCCCCTCTGCCCCCTCAGAAAAGTGCTTGGCCTTCCCCTCCCTGAAATAAATAATAAAATAAATAAACAAATCCTGCCACTTTGGGATTCTGAAATTCCATCCGAACTCTTCACTGGCTGATTCTCTTCTTCTTGGCTGTCTTAATTCTTCCGCTGATTTTAATCCTTCTTTTTAAGCCCCAAACAAAAGATTTCTCCCTCCTCTTATTTTCCTCACAATAACAAATCTGGAAGGTGGAATAAGGTGGGGGGGGCTGAGAGAGAGAGAGAGAGAGAAATCTGGAAGAATGTAAAGGGAGGGATTTTTATTTATTCAAGTTAGCCCATCCCTTTGTGGAATGTTATGTTTCTAGAAAAATGGATCGGTCCTTCCCAGGCTCTGGATTAAAATAAATCAGTGTTTCTCAACCTTAGCAACTTTAAAATGCCTGGACTTCAACTCCCAGAATTCCCCAGCCAGCATGTCCCAGAATTATTATTCTTTCCTTCTTTCTTTTTCTTCCTTCCTTTCTTTCTTTTTTCTTTCTCTTTCTGTCTTTCTGTCTTTTTCTTTCTCTCCTCTCTCTCCCTTTCTTCTCTTTCTTTTTTCTACCTTTCTGCCTTTCTTTCTTTCATCAGAGCAAGTCTAACCTTCCCACACTTCTCTTTGTTGCAGGTAGGTAGGTAGGTAGAAGGAAGGAAGGAAGGAAGGAAGGAAGGAAGGAAGGAAGGAAGGAAGGAAGGAAGGAAGAGGGAGGAAGGGAGGGAGGGAGGAAGGAAGGAAAGAGCAGGAGGGAGGGAAGGAAGGAAGGAAGGAAGGCAGCTAGCTTTTCAATCCCCACAGCCAATCCGCAGATGGGAGACCCCCACATCCCCCCAAAAAATCCACCCATTTCAGAATTACAGCCTGGCCAATTCACAGCTGCCTCCCTGCTCTCTCTCTCGATTCGAACCCGCCTCCGATTCTTTTTCCCATCCAATCATTTTACCTTTCATTAAAATTCAGATTAACTTCTAAAAAGGCTGGGATGCAGTCCTCAGCCTCCCTTCCACCTCCCCTGTACCGGATACTACGTTTCATCCGTGTATTGATGAATAAATCAGCTACATGTTGCATCTCCTCGCATGTTAACAAGCTAACATAGCTGAGAATACTTTTCAAATTGTATCAAAGCCAGAAAAAAAAAAAAATCCAGGTTTTTATCCTGTCATTCCAATACAAAGTGAATCAAAACATAACCCTCTGCCAACTTCCTTGTTTTTCCACAATTTCCCCTTTTCAGGTTTTCCAAAAGCACCCAGTTAATTTTATCTCCTTCCCATCCCCCCCCCATTCAAAGACCGCCAATCGAGGGATGGATGGATGGATGCCCAAACAGACCACGAAGCCACTGGAGTGAGCCTGGGGTGGGTCCCTTCAATCAGCAGCAGCCAAATTCCACGTCAAATCCAGCTTCCCCCTTGACCTAGGCAGTTGCTTCCTGGCAGGAGACTCTCTGAGCCTACTTTGTCCTGGAAAGGAGACCACCAGGAGATGCAGACTCCGTTCCGCGCGGCTGGGGTTAGATCGGACTGCTTTTTCCACACAATGGCTCACGAGGGAAAGAGTCAGCAGTCCTGTCCTGGCAGCTTCATGCAAATGTGATTGTTAAACCCAACCTTCCTTCCACGTGAGGGGCAAAGGTTTGGGAGCTGGACTCTGCTCCGGCCAGGGGTGGATAAAGACGCCCACCTGGCTCATCCTCCCCACACTTTCCCCAGAGCAGAGGGCAGAACACCGTGTTCCACCTTCCCTATCAAGGTTTTGCCCGTTGCAAATTTTGCATTGCAACCTTACATCCAAATAAATAGATTAAAAACCTTTCCCAAGAAAAGAGCCAGGAAATCAAACCCAAAGGAGCATTCCCACATCTATCCCCAAACCTTCGCCCTCTGACCTTTGACCCCGACTGGCTGCTGAAAGGGGAGAAAGCTTTTTAAATTATTTTTTAAAAAATTATTTTCACCCCAATTTTTTAGGAGAGGGAGGGAGAGAGATGCAGTTTAGAGCCGTAAAACTGTGCAGGAGGCAGTAAAAAGCTAAAAGGAAGGGGCGGGGGGGGGAGGAATGCACAATTGTTAGCAAGGCCCGTGTTTGAAAATGGAAAATGGAAGAACAAACACATTTTGGTTGATGTGGGGGAAACCATCCACTAATCACTCCTTTCTGAGTGCAGAGGAATATTCCACAATTTAGGGGCCCGGATTCAAAAGTCTTTTTCCTTTCTAGAAATTCTGCCTGATCTCATTTCCGTTATTTGGGGGGCGGGGGGGGGGGAGGAAATCAGGAAAAAGATAAATAAAAATCCACAGCCTATTCCAGCGAAGCGGTTGCACTGGCGAGCTTTTAAAATCAAAGCGAAGAAGTGCAAACATGGAAAAAGGGAATTAAAAGGTCTGTTAGAGCCGGTATTTGGGGCACCTTAGATGCAAAATCGCACCTATTCCTTACTGTCAAAGGAAGGAGAATTTGAAGTCACTTGAAAGACAGGGGGAAAAAAAGGATTATCCACCCGATTCAGAGCTCAGAGGATGGAAAGAAGGGAAGGGAAAATTGATGGATAAACCTAAATTGCAAGATTTGGCCACATCAAATAGCATCAACCACCTCAGTTCACCCGTAGGCATGGAGGCCTGGCCTGCATGAATAACACAATCCGTACAATGTGTGATTGTGCCCGCAACACAATCCTTCGATTCATTGGCTATTGTTCGGATGCCACTTGCCACAGCCAATGGGAGTGAGGCATTCGGTCTCTCTCTCTCTCTCACACACACACACACACACACAATCAACACAAACAAGCTTAAAGGAACTCATATTCTTAAGCGTGAATCTTGGTTCACGAACCCCTAAGGAAACAAGCCATAACTTAAGTTTGGTTTGCAACTTAACCTTCTCTGCTTTTGGCCTCCCAGGCTGCTCTCAAAGCAGTGTGTGTTTGTGGGTTAGCCTCACCACTAAACCGCCTGCAGCCCAGGAAGGCGGATCTCGGACTTGCAAGCTGCAGTGCCAATTTTGGAGATGAAATTCCAGAACTCCGAATATCTGGCCTTTCCCACCCTCGTTTTGATAAGGAACAAGCTATATATTAATTGTCCTTACTTTCCCTTATCGGTGTCTCAAAGCAGGCCTGCAATCGATAGCCGTGGTCTTGTTGGAGAATATTTATTCACTACCGAAATCGATACTGATCCTGTTGGGTCATGAAACATCTGCAAAGAGCTCACAGAGCACCGACGACTCCACAGTATTCATTTCTTTACATGTTGGTTTTTTTCCATTTTGCGCTGGCCGATTCCAGAGTGACTCACAGCTTACAGAAATGTTCCATAAAAAAAACGGGACAAGCAAACCGCAATTTAAAGCAAGGCCCGTCAAAAGGCTCCTGATCGTTTTGGCATTAGAGACAAGTTCCTAGTCCTTATGAGGATGGATAAGGAAAGGACAGGCTGGTGGAACCTCAGGCACCAAAGATCATGGGGAAAAATAACAACACGTCATGGTCAGACTCTTTTAAGTTTTCATTTTAAAAAATTGGGTAAAGGTAAAGGTTCCCCCACACATGCGTGCTAGTCGTTCCCGACTCTAGGGGGCGCTGCTCATCTCCGTTTCAAAGCCAAAGAGCCAGCGCTGTCCAAAGATGTCTCTGTGGTCATATGGCCAACATGACTCACCGCCAAAGGCACACAGAACGCTGTTCCCTTCCCACCAAAGGTGGTCCCTGTTTTTCTACTTGCATTTTTTTACGTGCTGTCGAACTGCTAGGTTGGCAGAAGCTGGGACAAGTCACGGGAGCTCACCCCGTTACGCAGCGCTTGGGATTCGAACCGCTGAACTGCCCACCTTTCGATCGACAATCTCAGCATCTTAGCCACTGCATCCCTTAATGATTTTATCCCCCAGCAGTCACACCCTGAAAATTAACCCTCGTGCCAGTGTGCAAATATTTTTCTTTACCCAACTCAAAATTGTTAGGTCTTGATCTCTGAAGACTTAGCCAATTAGGCATGGCTCCTTGCCTTTGGGACTTCCTGCTACTGGAAAAACTTACCAGTTTCTTCTTGGACACACATAAGACACTCTTGGCCCTGCTTCAAGAGTCCCGGTGCTGGAAACAGTCACCAAGAAACAACCGAGTTTGCAAATAAGGAACTGAAGCAAACAGACAAGCCAACGGACATAAAAATTCACAGAGAGTTTCAGTTCTTTGCAAAACCTTCCAAGCATCGCAAACAATGCCTGTTTGTTGAGACTATGTGCTGGAAACAAACTTACAACATAGCCATCCCTGTTTTCAACTGTCCCGGGCCCGAAAGAAAAAGGAACTTTGGAAGAAAATGATGCTTGGGAAGGCTCGGGAAGAGATTCCTCGAGAAAGGTTAAAGAAAAAAATCTGTCCGCCTCTTCTCCCCAATGTTGGGGCAGGCAAGGGGGGTTTGCCCCACTTAAGCAACCCAACCCAAAACACAAGTGTCCATCTGCAGCTTTCAAGCAGCTCAAGAAGGAAAGAGCAGAAAAACAAACAAGTGACAAGTATCACAATCTCCGCATCGCCTCTGTGGCCAATCCACTCCGGCCTCCCAGGAAAGGAAGACACCCCCCCCCCACACACACACACTTTTCCATCTGCCTTCTCTCACGCTTCAGGTGTGTTAAAGACTACAAAAACGATCCTTTACAACCACAAAAAGCAAGTCCCTGAAATTTCCCAAACAAAGCTTTTGGACGAATTTATTTTATTTTTAAAAGTTTCCTCTCTTTAGTTCAAAGGAGAGTGCAGCACAGCGCCTCCTAGAGGAAACGGACTTCCATTTCCACCAGATTCCCAAAACGTCACTCATTCCTAATCCTTGGCAATTGCCGGTGGCAAGTTTTTCTGGTTCCCTTGAGCAAATTAAAGAATCGAGTTCCACGGGTGGCCGACACGGGTCCTGTGCAAACATCGGATCTGTACGCAAAGAGATTCAGCAGCGAGGCAACCCCGGCGGAGGAAAAAGACGGTTTCTGTATGGGAGGGAAAGTGAGGGTCACCGTTCCAAGCTGGGCCCCCTCCCCGCAGCCTGGTTAAATGGGGCTAAATGCAAACTGGGGAGGAAACAAATGCCCCCCCCCGTTTTTTCTCTCTCCTCCTCCTCTTCCTCCTCACCTGGATCTGAGTTTTGCTCCACGCCAGAATCCAGCTGGGAAGCTCAGCACTCCAGGTGGCCTCGCTGCACTTCAATGGCAGCTTTAATGCGGGCTATCCCAGCACCCGCGGCAGCTGTAGGCGTCGGGTTCCTCGCCCTGCTTTCAAGCCAGCTGATTGGGGCTCCACCCCGGGAGTGCCCCGGGAGTTCAGCCCTGCTCCCAGCACCACAACAAATAGATGCCTGATACAATCGCAGGCTCCCTCCAAGTCAGAGGAGGGGAGAGGCTTCCCACCGCCAGCCACCCCCTCTGTGGCTTGAGCAATCCCCAGGAGCGTCTGGCTGGCCCATCAGCCCGCAAAGTTTCCGTGGAGTTGGGCGAGTTTCAAAGGCAGCTCCGCCAGGAAAGGAAGGCTGAGTTCCTTGGCATGTCGGCTCCGGAGTCGATCCCCCACCCTCTCAAAAGAATATGCCAGGTTGCCCCTTTTTCTGGCTGAGATCTCTTTCTCTTTGAAGAGGATCAGGGAAATGCTCTGTTCTAGTGGTTAAGAAACGCTGGGCTAGAAACCCAGAGAGGCGGCAAGTTCTAATCCCGCTTTAGGCATCAAAGCCAGCTGGATGACTTTGGGCCAGTCACAGTCACTGGGCCCAACCCACTTCACAAGGTGGTTGTTGTGGGGAAAAGAGGAGGAGGAGGAGGAGGAGGATTAATGAAGTCTGCTGCCAGGAGTTAAGTACAAGAGTAGTGCAGTGAGATGAGTAAGTGTAATAATCCATACATCTGCTACCTTGGAAAGGACTCGATAGGTAGACAAAACTGCCAAATCCAGAAGGGAAGAGGAGAAGACAAACTGTTCCACTGATTAATTGTCCTCACTATCGGACAATTTCTCCTTTGCTCCACGTGGGATCTTTCCTTCGGGAGCTTCCTTCCATTATTTCTTGTCCTGCCCTGGGGTGCTTTTAAAACAACAACACGACTCTTAAATATGAGCCGTCAAATGCGCCACCCTTCCCAATGAAAACATCTTCTGGCTTTGATATGGCCACTTCTAGCCACATCCATTTATGGGCCTCCAGCTACCCCCGACTCAAAACTTGCACACCCATGTTGCACAGCTCCCAGGCGGACAGCGAGACAGGCTGGACCTGAATTTGACTGCTGAACATTCCCTGGATGGAGGGAAGAAGAGGTGTTTGAAGCCTCAGAACAGGCCCTGGCTCTTTGAAAAACCCCATTGAAGGCAACCAGAAAGTCCCCAAATTCTTAAATTTCTAGGCAATTATCAAAGTCCAAGATCGGGAAACACCAGAGCCTGGAATTGCATCTAGGAGGAGAAAGGCATCTTATGGCTTAACAGACGCCGCCAGTCAATCTTCTGATCAGGGGGCCAGGACAGACCCTCTCACCCGGAACAGGGACTCACCCAGAGGCACAACGGACTGATGGACAGAGCAGCGGTATCAAATAGGCGCTTATTCCAGAGAAGGAAAGAAGGAAGGGGAAGAAGATTGCGGCAGATCACCGATACAAAGAAATCATTTCGGTTTCCCCTTGGTCTAAGCTCAACCCCATCCAGCGAACTGGAAGGATGGGGGATTCAGAATGGAGGCCACTACCCGAGAATCTCACATAGCTCTGAACTATGGAACTCCCTGCCATGTGAAAAGAGAAGATCTGGAGAGGAGAGCCAATTAGAGAAGAAGGCCAGCCCCAAGGTTTAAAGACACTTATGTCCAAGAGAGATCAGGCTTCTCTGATTCCATGTCCCTTGTCCTCTTTGCCAGCCCTGAAACCCTCAGGAAGCAAAACAACTTCCCTTATTTTATGTCCCTTCCAGGATTTTCAATTTTTATGAGTTTTGCAACTGCAGTCTCTGAAAACCTCTCCTCTCCTTTAACCCTTAGCCCGGTGAGCCCATCGCCATGAGTAAGATCTGGGCATGACACGGCCAGATTCAGGCAACAGGTTTAACCTGCGTTGATCACATTTGTGGGTTTTCCCATTGGCACAAGATTTACTCAACCCCCAGCTGGGTAAGGCCCACGCGGCCTGCACCCGAGTGATTGAGGGCCCAGCTTCGCGGGCTGTGCGAAAGCCGCCGCATGGCAGGGTGGGTTGGCCTGTTCCAAAGCAGGCAAAGGAAGAGAGACGTGGGAATTGTAATCTAAGACCTTCAGCAGACACCTGGTTGGGGCAGGGCATTGTAAGTAACCAGGCTTTACCAGGAACACAAAGACAATCACACTCGGTGTGGGTGTGTAGCATCCTCCTTCTCTTTGCATAAAGGTAAAGGCTCCCCTCGCACATACATGCTGGTCGTTCCCGACTCTAGGGGGCAGCGCTCATCTCCGTTTCAAAGCCGAAGAGCCAGCGCTGTCCGAAGACGTCTCCGTGGTCACGTGGCCGACATGACTCAACGCCAAAGGCGCACGGAACGCTGTTCCCTTCCCACCAAAGGGGGTCCCTATTTTTCTATTTGCATTTTTTACCTGCTTTCGAACTGCTAGGTTGGCAGAAGCTGGGACAAGTCACGGGAGCTCACCCCCGTTACACTGGGGATTCGAACCGCTGAACTGCCGACCTTTCGATCGACAAGCTCAGCGTCTTAGCCACTGAGCCACTGCGTCCTTTCCTCGTTGCATAGAAAACCTCTTTTCCCACAGAGAATCGGCTGTTTGCAAAACACCGAGAATTCACAAGACCTGCAGATCACCTTACGAGTATCCAGTTGTCGCTTCCACACATCACTCTTTCTCTGCTCAGGGAGAAGAAACCTTCTCAACATAGAATCCCAGAGCTGGAAGGGATCTCAGAGGTCTTCTAGTCCAACCCCCTGCTTACGGCAGGAGACCGGATAGCATTCTGGTCAAATGGCTGTCCGGTCTCATTCGTAATAGAATTCTTTCTCAGCCAAGTGTGAGTGGACACACAAGGAATTTGTCTCAGGTACACAAGCTCTCTGTACCCTGTACACCCAAACAACGGGGGATAAACCACAATCATTATCACAAAGCACAATCGTCATAAATTGTAAGAGACAAACCTAACAATAGTCAATCAACATAGGTCATGAGATACAAACAACAAAAGAAGAAGCAAAGGAAATAGGTAAGAGGGAAGGTAGAAGGATAATACGTCTCCTCTAAGTGATTCAACCTCCCAGGGCATACAGAGTGTTGTGGGAATTAGTTGTTTAGCAGATGGATGGCATAGGGGGAAAATTGTTTTTCTGTCTGGTTATTTTGGCGTGCAATGCCCTATTAGCAGGGGTCTCCAACCTTGACAACTTTAAGACTTGTGGACTTTAACTCTCAGAGTCAGCTTTGCTGGCTGAGGAACTCTGGGAGTTGAAGTCCACAAGTCTTAAAGTTGCCAAGGTTGGAGACCCCTGCCCTATAGCGTCATCTTGGGAGAAGAGGTTGAAAAAGTTTATGTCCAGGATCTGAGGGGTCTGTAGATATTTTCTCAGCCCTCTTCCTGGATTCCTGAGCTATACAGATTCTCCATGGAAGGCAAGCTGGCAGTTACAATAGAGGTGCAGATGACAATAACTTGAGAGCCGTTTGCAACGAAATTTCATTTTAATGTACGCCGATTCGTGTACATTTAAAGGGACGATGAAGTTATCCCAAGACTTAATTCCTCCGCAGAAATGTATCAGTGGCAGCCGATACAGTTCTACAAAGTTAAGCAACGATCGTCTACAAAGTAATAGTGTTAAGCAAAACACAAGGAGCTATCTCTGAAGTGTTTTGCATTTGTGGTTCGCACCGAGGGCATTGCAATACAGCTCTCCGCTGTACCCTGTTCCAACTATTTTTAGGTATTTGGGAACAGGACACTAAAGGGTCTGAGATAAGGGCCTGCCTGGGTATATATTTGCTGACTCCAGCATTTTGGAGGGTGCAAAGTTCTCAAACCGTGGGCCCCCATCTAAATAGGGTGTGGGTTTTAACCACAAAAAATAAGGTAACGAAGGAAAAATCAAATCAAAGTTAAGTCCAGGGGTTTGATTTTTAGAATCGCCACCAGTAAACAACAACAACAACTTGAAGGTGTATTTCGGTGGCATGGACGTTTATGGTCCGATGAAATTAAAATTAAGGCAGACTTTTTAAAAAATTGTTTTAATTAGGCATGCCAAATTGAGAACCTGGAATAGAGAGATAAGCTCAAGTTGCTCTTGGCTCGAGGAGCACATGGTAGAAGGCAAACAGCGGAGGAAGATGAATTGGTGGACGCATCAGGAATTATTGGAAAACCATCAGGATGAATTTAAAATCGAACTGAGAGCAATTAATAGCAGGAAGAGGACAGCTGTTGATTGACTGTTATCCAAAAAAAGGGGGCCAAAATGGAGGGAAAGGCCCCCCCAGAGCAAAGACAAGACAGGATCTGAAGTACAATTGTGCACCGAGGAGGAGCTGCTAAAATGTGTAATAAACTTTTGTGGACATTTGAAAGAGAGATGACTAGATTAAGAATGTGGCTAAGGGTGGCTAAGAAATTTGGTGATGAAATACAGACAGATCCCTGGGAAAATCTGAGGTTAAAGGGCTGGAAGGTACAGTGTGTTACAATCACCAAGAGATGTTTTAGAAAGTGGAATGCAGCAGGAGAGGCAGCCTCTGCCCTGGGCCATTTGCTAAAGAGAAAGGGAACTTAATGGGGGTAATTCAATGGAGCCTCCACCTTCAGAGGCAGCCTAGCCTGGAAAACCAATTGCTCAAAGGGCAAAGAAATTAAGGCTCCCCAAAGTCTAGATAATTGACCTCTGCTGGAATGGAGGCGGCCTGATTCCTACAAAGAGATTACCCTACAACCGTGATGGTGAACCTGTGGCACGCGTGCCAGAGGTGGCATGCAGAGGCCTCTTTGTGGGCACACGCGCCGTTGCCAGCTGTTGTTCTGGTTTCCAGCGCGCGCATGCGTGCTGGCCACCTGGTCTTCGCAGGTGCCGGAGTGCTGGAAAACAGGGTGAAAACAGCCAAGAACCAGGCTGTTTTGTGGCCATTTTCAGGGCTGTTTTTGGCCTGAAAAATGGCCTAGAAACGGCTCTGAAAATGGCCAAAAACCAGGCACGTGCACGCCAGCCAACTCCAGCACATGCATTCCGGTTTGGGCACTCAGTCCTGAAAAGGTTTGCCATCACGGCCCTACAATTTGCCACGGGAAAAATCCAGGCCAAAGCACCACCAAGGACGGTGAGTTTCTCGTAGCTTTACACCTCAGTGGTTAAATTGCACACTTTCAGCTTGGTGTCGGTTAAAAAGAGGCCACAAGACTTGCCTTTTTCTGGATGGAGGAGTAGAGGATGTCACAGCCTGTCTCTCCCCACCCCACCCTGCTGCCCGCCCCCCTGGAAAGTTTCTATCTCAAGCAGACGTGCTCCCAGGAACCTCCACGAAATTTCACCGCAACTAACCAGTTTCTCAGTAGTTTTTTTTTTTTCTTTTTTGGCCAAGTTTGCCCAACTCGCTCAAGTCCAGATCGCAGGCCGAGCTTCTTTCTGCCAAGGCTGGTTTGAGGGTGGGGGGGATCCAAATCCGAGAGGGTGGGTTCCTCCTGCCCATCCAGGCCATGTCCCAGTTTGCCCCGCTTGAAGATGCTCGGGAAGGGTGGGAGCCCTGCCTTCTTCCACGGGCCTCTCCTTTCCCTCACTCCCTGGATGTCTCTTTTCCCACCCTCGGAGAGCCGGAGGGAGAGGTTTCCAACGCCGCACAGCCGGCCTGCTGGATAATTACCAGCAAAAGAAGGCTTGTTTCCTCTACCTACGGCCTTGGCCCAGACGGAGCCTTTTGCAGAAGGAAGCCGCTGGGTGCCTGCAGGCCTCAGGGGAAGCAGGGCACTTCCTGGATCGGAGAGCCAGCTGGGTGGGTTGGGGGGAGGGGTGCAGAAAAGGGCATTTTCCAAACTGAGGGGGGGGACTCCATTTCTCTCCCCCCCCCACCCCAGGGCAGTGGAGGCCAGAGGCCGGGGCAGCGCAGGGCTCCGTGGAGCGAGGGCCAGGCCGGGACAAGCAGCCATTGTGGGCAGGAGGATTTTCACCAGCAAAGCAGGAGGGGGGGGGGGCGCCGGGCTGGAGGGTGAGTCGATCAACAAGTAAGAGAGAGAGAGAGAGGAAGGAAGGAAGGTAGGAAAGAGAAAGAAAAAGACAGACAGACAGATAGATGAGAGAGAGAGAGAGGAAAGAAAGAAAGAAAGAAGAAAAAGAAAGAAAGAAAGAAAGAAAGAAAGAAAGAAAGAAAGAAAGAAAGAAAGAAAGAAAGAAAGAAAGAAAGAAAGAAAGAAAGAAAGAAAGAAAGGAGGAGATATCCCTTGGGAGAGTTTTCACTCTTTCCACGAGCAAAGCAGCTGCAAAGCTTTTCCGGGCACCCCTGTTTTATCCCCCCCCCCAAATCCAGCCCGTTTCCCGACCTCAGAGCCGGGCCGGGCCTGAAGGCGAAGAAAAAACTCCCGGCCAACTTCCTTCCTTCCGCCCCCCCACCCCCCCCCGAGCGGTCCTTGTGCGACGGGGCGGGGGGGGGAGGAGGCGGAATGGGGGGAGGGGGGGAGAGAGAGAGAGGCGCAGCCCCCTCCCCCCCGCCCTCCTGTCGCCCCCCCCCGGCCTTCGGGAAGGGGGGGGCTGGCCGCGCACAAGCCCTTTTCCTGCCGGGACTTTCCTCCGCTGCCCAAAGGGGGGGGCCTCCAAAGGACGGGGGGGGCGGAAGAAACGGGGGGGGAGCCCGGCGGGGCGGGGGCTCTTTTACCTCGTTCGCGGCGGATCCGGGAAAGGCTCGGAAGCGGAAGGCTCGGGGGGGGCGGAGCAGCGGCAGCCCCCCCCACGTGGAAGTTAGTCACGGCGGTGGGGGAGGCCGGAGGGAGGCCCCGCCCCCGCCCGCTCCGCGTGGAAAGGGGCCCCCGGGGCGGGGAGCCTGCAGGCCCGCTTCCTTGGGCGGTTCTCCCGCTGCTCTGCCGCGAAGGAGCCGTCCGCCCTGCCTCCCTCCGCTTCCTGCGCCTGGGGACGGCGAGGGAGCCCCCTCCCCAAAAGGGCCCCGGCTCCCCGGGGCGGCGCTCACCTCCTTGGGCGGCGGCGGCGAAGCCCCCTGGGCGCGTCCCGGCCTTCCTGGCCTTGCAAGGGCCGCTTCTCCTGGCTCTCGCTTGGCCGCCTTTGGCCGGAGGGCTGGCGGGGGCCGCAGTCACTCGCTGCTGCGACGGAGAGAGGGGGGGGGGCTTGGGGGCTGCGGCCCAGGATCAGCGCAGGGGCCCCGCCCGGGACAAAAGAGCCATTCCCCCCACGGGCCCCCCGCCCCGCTTGGCTTCCCGGCCCAGCCTGCCTTCCAGTCGAGCGCTGCGCCAGGGAGGGAGGAGGGAGGGAGGGAGAGGGAGGGCGGAGGGAGCGGCTGCCCGACATGGGGGGGGGGGACCCGCAAGGGAGGGGCTCGCGGCTGCCCCCCCCGCCTGAGTCATCCCTTCCGACGTGACTTCTCGCCAAGGGGCCGGAAAGGAGGGGAGGGGGGAGGCTGGGCTGCTGGACCAGGGGGGCGGTGGGAAGCCCCTTCCCCCTTTAGGCATTTGCTGGGGGAGGGGGAGGGGGAAGAGAACTTTTCCTTAAGAGCGGCTTTGGGGCTCAAGGTTGAAATGGGGCTGCCCTGCCCCCCCCAAATCAGGAATGCACCGAAAAATGGGGGCGCCCAGAAGAGGTGATGGGGAGGGGGGGAAAGTTTGTTTATTTATTGGATTCCTTTATCCTGCTTTTATGACCGTTTATAAATACCTTAAAGCCGGAACTGGGCAGGAGTTAGGAAAACCTGACAGACGGGGAGGGGTCCCCCATTTCAGCCTGTCTCTTTTTGAAAGGGGAGGGGGATGAGAAGTGGTGCCCCCCCTCTCCCGCATCCTTCGCTGAACCCCATCCGTGAAAGCTACAGAAAGGGGGGGGGTCTGTCCACCTGGGAAGCAGGAAGAAGATGGATCTTTCAGCCAAGCAGGCAGCCTCTCTGAAGCTGCCCGGACCCCCTACTCTGCCCCCCAAATCTACGTTTAAAATAAAACCGGGAGGACCTTGCAGCAGGGATCCTTAAAAACATCCAGCATAGCAGCCAAAGTTTTTAAATACATTTAAAAGCTTTCCTATGTACAAAGGGGGCAGGGTGTTGGTTTTATGAGCTTTGGGGTGGGGTGCGTGTATTTTTCCACTGAAAAACTAAAAAAAAATAACCACTGCTTTTCCCCTGTTTTCCCAATGTTTCTGAAACTCTCTTGTTGGAAAAATAGGCCCAGTTCTGCAGCTCCCAAATACAATTATAAGAAACCCCCCCTCCCCTCTGGTCCTTGCTATAAGGCCTCATTCATCCTGCTTAAAATCTGAACATTTTCCACACTTGAAGGCTGAAATTTCTTGGAGGCTAATTATATTATATTGAAAAATAGTTAAAAGACTAATCAACATAAAAGCAAAACCCTTTGCCAGTAACAGCGCTTTATAAATAAAATAAACCCACCTTAAAAATAAACCAACGTTTATTTTTGACAGTATTTTAAATGGGATTGTACTTGGGGCTTTTTAAAAGTCCTGTTCTTTTGTAAGTCGGTCTGGAAGGGCAGCGTCTTCATAAAAATTAACCCCAATAATGATCAAGACGCCAAGAAAGGCAGATAAAAGGCTGGGATTTGGGCATAATTTCACAGCTTGTTAAACTGGAGAGCGCAATTGTATTCTGGCCCTGTCAGAATTAAGATCCCACAAAAGCCAACTTAGATTACAAACGGGTTTAATCCCAGTCCCAGCGATGTGCCTTTGTCTCTCTAGACTTATTTAGTCACCTCCGTTAATTAAAAACTGATTACCGTCGTGGCTGTGTTTGGAAACACTCCGCTCAATGCCACGCGGAGGCTGACCGATTAAATGCCACACCCTGCACTCCTCCAAGGAAACACCTTGACCAATCCTTAATAATCCTCTGCAGTAAAATCCCCAGAAATCCCGTCAAGGAAGAACCTGCACGATTCTTGCAGCAACCGAGAAAGCAGGCTGAGAGTCCACGGAGGAAGAGGAAAATTTAATGATTCCAATGGAAAAAGAAATTAGCGAGCGCAGCTGTTTGGCTTCCTTAACGGATGTCCTCTGAGCATAATTTTCTATCCGTAGGGATTTGCAGCACAGAAATAAAAAGCTGAACAGGCTGAGATTTGCAGGGTGCACCTGCCTTCTCTTGTCCGGGTCATCCCAATTGCCAGGCCCATTTTTGCTGGTGGCAGGTAGGAATTCCACCATCCAGGTCCAGGAATTCCAGGCGGAAATGCCACCGGGCCAGCTCAGAAGCCAGTCAAGATTTTTCCTTTGTGTGAGCTGTCAATTTCATTGATTTTCCTGGAGGAATTGACGGAAGAAAGGGGAGCGGGATATTCCTGCCAAACTGGGCCCAGGGGCAGGGCTGTTCTTCTTGCTTGGTTAGTCATGGAAGGAAGACTGCTCCTGGACAGGAGGCTCTGCTTAAGGAGTCAATGAATTAGACACCACCACCACCACCCAGCGTTAAAAACACGTTTTAAAGAAAAACCTGAATTGATTCTTCTTTCCCATCTAGGAAGAGCTCTCAAAGTGGAGAAAGACTGACTACCTGGATGAAGAGCAGGGAGGTGCTGCCCTCTGGTGGCTCAGCCAGGGACTGCGCCCTCAGAAGGAAAGTCCACAACGCCGCCTAGTGGGAAATGTCGGAACAGCACAACTTCCTCGCTCTTTTTTGTTTTTTCTTCTTTTTTAACTGTCCAGGGCAAAACTGGATTTTAAATTGTTAGGAAACTGGCTGCAAAGGAAGATTTCAGAAGCGAGATTTGCCCCCCAGCGCAGGCGATTTCTCGCCAACCCTCCCAAGGAAGGAAAACACTCCAAGCACGAGTTTCTAATCAATCCAGAAATCCGCCAAGAGCATCCTTTTCATCCCAAGAAGCATCAGGCGCACACACAAAGAGCATTGCTCTCTCCTGCCCAGCATTTTGCGCAAGGAACCTCCTCATCCTGCGCAACGAGACTCTTCATCAAAGTTGCTGGCCTGATTTTGCACGCGGAGAATGGGAAGAGCCGAGTCGGGACTTCACCCCAAGCTGGAACCCGCGAGTTCTTCTGGGGGTCTCGCCTTCTGACGGCTGGAAGCGAGCACGTGGGAAAGGCTGCTGCCTCGGGCGGGGGTTCTCCTTGCCGGACAGGTAACCTTCCAGAAACGATTCAGGCGCCCCATTCGCCGGATGCCCATCTTCCCTTCTCCCAGCGGAACTGGGGGGGGGGGGAAATCACCCTTTCCAGGTGCTGAGTTCCAGTCCAGCAAAAGAGGCTGGGAAGAGAAGGAAGCGTGTTCCAGGACGCGATTTCAGGGCAGCGCCTCTCCACGGCCCGAATGAAGAGAGAGCATCCTGCCAGGGGGGTCTTTGGGGAAAGGGCCCTTCTGGCGACCGCCCAGCCTGAAGAGGGGGTCCCCTGCGGTCTGGTGGGGCTTCAACACCCCCCCCCGGGCGGCGTCGTTGTCGCGGGGCCACCCGGCTTTTCCCGGACGCCCCACGGCTGCAGGGGCGCTCCGCCAGGCAAAGAACCCGCCGAACTGGCGACACTCGGCAGCCCGGCTGGAGAAGCGACAGCCCAGACTGGTTTTTCCGAGGCTGCCTCGGCGCTGGTTGGCTGCCCAGCCGCCCTGGGGGGAGCCAGAGCCGCTGCTGCCACCCCCGCCCCGCCGCCTTTGGGGGCCGCCGAGGAGGAAGCAGCAGCAGCAGCTTTGGCGCGCAGCTCCTCCGGTGGAGCGCCCGCCTAGAGAGCTTCCTTTGGGGAGGGGGCTTTGGAGCCCCTGGGGAGGAGGGAAAGTGGGGAGGGGGCCAGAAGGGGCTTCTTTCAAGCAACTGGGAAGACCTCAAGGTGCGTTTCTCCAAATCCCTCTGCAGCCCCTCCTTTCTAGAAATTCAACCTGTGTGTTTCTGCCTAAAACTGGAATTTCTTTTTCTTCCTTTCCAGGTTCCTCTTGGGCACCCTCTTCCCCCCCTTCCTCCAATTCGGAACCCCCCGGCTGCTGCCCCCCCCCGGAGCATTTCCAAGAGTAACTCCTTACCTGTATTGCCTTTCCCCCCCATTATTTTAGCTTGAACTGGGGGTTTCTGGCTCTTCGCCTTTTTGCAGCAGCCAGAGATGACTTGCTGGGGGGCTGCCTAAGTGGGGCTCCCCCCACCCCACCCTCCACAGCTTGGCAAGTGTGCAAGGAACCGGCTGGAGCAGCGATCCATGGCCGATGAAATTTTGGAGCAGTTGCCACTGGCCGAAAAGGTGAGGTGCCACCGAATCCAACTTCTTTTCTAGAAAGAGTATTTTGAGGCCTTTGCAAGGTGCTACCCCCTAAGGAGGAGGGAATTGATAGAAAACGTCTCTCAGGTAGACTGCAGTTGGCCAGTGGAGGCTTGGTCATCCAGATCAGGTGGTTTGCAGCCGAAGGAATCTTCCTACCCACCACGCAAATGAAAACAGTCAACGGACTCTAACATTGTGCTTTCGTGAGGTTTGCAGAATTTAAACATCGTAGGGTCCAAACTGCAGTGTCCTTTCTGTCCTAGACGGCCATGTGGGGCACCTTGGGAACGATCCGACCTCACCTGAATTTTGATGCAGCCAAAGATGCCCAGACTTTCTTCCAGGCCATCAGTGGTGAAGGTAAACCCCCCCCGCCCCTTCCCTTCCCCCTCGCCTGCATCCGTACAACCACCCTGTGAGGTGGGAGTTGCACTCGCAACAGGACACAGTTCAACTACCCCATCGGATCCCAACAAATATCCTAGAGTTGGAACATCCAGATAAGGGCTTGTGTCATCCTAAAAAGAAAGTGGACGGTTGGAGATCATCTGCCCAGAGAAATACGGTGACGGGAGGCATAAATTTAACCCCAGCATAAGCGTGAGAAAATCATTATGATAATGAGGCTTTTGATATATAGACAAATTGCCTATGCAGATTTGGACTCTTCCGGGAGCACAGCTGACTCGAGGGGCCGGAGCAGAGTTTGCAAACTCCTGGTTTGGAGGCCTCGGCTAAAACTGGGGCCCCCGGGTCTCCCCAAAGGTGTGGACTGCGGGGTCATCCTTGACCTGCTGACCAGTCGGAGCAGCGAGCATCGGCAGCAAATTGCGGAAGCCTTCCTCGAATTCACCCAACAGGTTAGGCCAGGAGGGGATTTTTTGAGGGTGGGTGGGAGGGAATTTGTGGCCCTTCCAGGAAAGGAAAGAAAATGGGCAAAGCGCTCACTTTGTCTTAGACTACTGCAATGTGCTGTTGTAGGGGAGAGCCCTTGAAGACTGTTCAGAGTCTTTTTTTAGGGCAGAGCCAGCAAACTATGGGTTCCATTGAAACTAAATCAATATATCTCAGCCTCTTTCCTGGCCATGATATGTTTGGCTGAGGGTCTCTGCTCTATTGGGGGGGGTGAGGTCTCCCCAAATTTCTCTTAGTCTTCTCTCTTTTTTTAGGGCCTGCTGAAAACTCTGGAAGCCGTGATTCCCAGCCAGTTTGAGACCATAATCAGGGCTTTGCTCTGTCCAGCAGCTCAGTACGATGCCCATGAAATCCAGGCAGGATTGCAGGTACCCCCTTCTAAAGAGCGGCACCCCATTTCTGCCAAGGAATCCTCCCCACCCCAGTTTTTAACATGAAGTGGAGCAGGTTGTACATCTGATTTTAAAAGGACCTTGGGATGAATTGGTTGAGGGGGACTCAGCTCTTGAAGTATCTCCTCTCCTGAGGTGGGTTTCAGCAGGTTCTGACCAGTTCTGCAGAACCGGTAGTAGAAATTTTGAGTAGTTCGGAGAACCGGTAGTAAAAATTCTGACTGGCCCCGCCCCCATCTCTTCTCTGCCTCCCGAGTCCCAGCTGATCGGGAGGAAATGGGGATTTTGCAGTATCCTTCCCCTGCCACGCCCACCAAGCCACGCCCAAAGAACCGGTAGTAAAAAAAATGGAAACCCACCACTGCTTTTCTCCCCCTCCCAACAGAGTTTCATAAACAACCATTTTTAATAAGTGTTTTCTCCATTTTAAAAAGGGTTGGGGAGGAATTAAGATTGGTGGGGTTTTTTTTAATTCCCAGTCCTTTTTAAGGGCACTTTCCATGCATGGTAATTTCATTTAATAATTTAATGCAACAATTTAATAAATAAATAAATACAGGAGTTTGCAAAGACACAACCAGTCTTGAGACAAGCGTTGTAATCAACCCTAGGAAGATTAACGGAAGATTAATCCAACCTCGCTAAAAACCCTGCAGAATGGACGGGGGCACAAAACACATACACACATCTTACGAAGTCGACAATTGCCGTTTCCTAACCTGGGTCACATTTCCTTTCCAGGGTCTGGAGGTGGAAACCCTGATTGAAATTACCTCCACTCGAACGGCAAAACAGCTTCAGGAAATGCTGGCTTATTATAAACAGGGTAAAAAAAAAAAATTAAACTTATCTGCTTGTTCTTTAAAAGGTAGAGAAATGGGAGAGGGGAGCTGCTAGGAGAGAAAGTTGCCTGATAAACTTGGAAAAGCAAGGGAAGCTGGACTTGCCCTCCTTTTCACGCCTGCGGAACTCCCCGCAACATGATACAATCGTGAGCTTTGACTTTTAAAGTGTTTTTTTTTTTACTTCGTTGAGCATTCATATAGACCAGGGATGTCCAACTTTGACTATTTTGAGACTTGTGAATTTTAACTCCAACCACAGCCAGCTGTGCTGCCTGGGGAATTCTGGGAATTGAAGTCTACCTCAGATCCAGTGTGCACTGGCTAGCTAATTTTCAGGCCTTCCGGGCCCACCGGAGGCTGTTTCTGGCCTCCAGAGGGCCTCTGGGGGGTGGGGAAGGCTGTTTTCGCCCTCCCCAGGCGCCAAGAAAGCCTCTGTCTCTTTCCTGAGCTTACTGCAGAGCCCCCTTGGGCAAGAGCAGTCTACCTCGGAGCATTTTCTCAGGAAGGGAAACCCACGTACCCCTCCCCTCCTTGCTTGGGTGTGGAGAGCTAAAACTCCCTCCTTCTCCCTTCTTCCACTTGTACAGATTTCAAATCCGATTTGGGAAAGGACATTGCTTCTGGTGCCACCGGAGGCTTTAGAGACCTTCTTCTCGCCCTGATCAAGGTAATAAATAAAATCAAGAGAAAATAAAATGAATAAAATAAAATGAATAAAATAAGACTATCAAATAAGATAAAAAAATATATTACAATGTAATATAATTGATAACACTATAAAATAAAATAAATAAAAATAATATAATATCACATAACAAATATCATATCATATAATTTATAAAAGTATAAAATAAAATTAACATAACATACTAACCCTAACCCAACATAACATAGCATAACATAACATAACAACATATACTGTGTTTCCCTGAAAATAAGACCCTGTCTTATATTTGTTTGAACCCCGAAATAAGCGCTTGGCCTTATTTTCGGGGAGGTCTTATTATTTTGGGGCGCATGGAGCAAGATGGGGCTCCTCCTGCCGTCTTTTCCAGCTCTGTTTAAATATTTTCGGGGAGGGTTTATTTTGGGGCGGAGGTTAATTTTAACGCATGCGCTCAAAAGCCCGATTGGGCTTATTGTCAGGGGAAACAGGGTAATAAATACAATTTATAAAGCTATCAATGCAATGCAATGCAATTCAAATACAATACAATACACAATTCAGGGTCCCTTTGTAAGAACCCGAGATGTGGGGTGCTTTTCTAACATTCAATGCTCTCCACAGCTTGTCCTTTTTAAGCCCAAACTGTTTGGCCTGACACCGTTTAGGGAAATCACGTCTATTTTGCAGCAAAGCCTCCCGGCTGACTTTTTCACGCCGTCCTTCTCCGCAGGGCCAGCGGGAACGCTACTCGGGGACGATCGATTACGTCTTGATACGGCAAGATTCAAAAGTGAGACGGGGATATCAGGGTGCTTCCCTTCGGGATCCCCTCCATGCTGGGGCCCCTCTCAGGGCCCGTTTCCGGCATCCCCCAAACCCCCGGGCTTCTCCCCCAGGCCCTGTCTGACGCAGCCGACGGTGGGGACGCCGGACGCCTGGAGGAGAGCGAGTGGGTCCGGATCCTGTCTCAACGCAGCCCCGAACATTTGAGGAGAGGCAAGGCCAACCCCGTGCCAGGTGGTCGCGTTTCACCACGCTGGCATCCCCAAACATGCTAATGTTTCAGGCCAGACCGGGCTAGGGAGGCTGCCCGCTCCAAAGCTAAAGAAAACCTGGCAATTTCAAGGCACAAAGGGGGCAGTCTTCCCCCTATAATTATTATTTTTTTTAAAAAAACCAAAAACCTCTTTTTCCCTTGCCTTTCTTCCAGTGTTCAGCTGGTACCAGGAGATGACCGGAATCTCAGTTGAAGAAATTATGGAGAAACATTTCCAAGGAAACTTCCGGGAAGCGGGTTTAACGCTGGGTAGGTGCACCCCAGATGTAGGGAGTTTGAGAGGCCCCCCCTTTTTTAATCTGGATTAAATTGGGGAGGTGGGGTATGAGGCTAGAGTTGCTTTCTGCACATGTTCAGGAGACCTCTCAACCTCAGCTGCCTCTTGTTTTGCACAGCCTGCACTGAGAATACCCGGAATAAGATCCGAGAAGCTTCGTTTTTCGTTGCTTCTAAAAATCCAAGTTGCTAGCCCTCTTGATCCTATTTCAACACGGCTTTCGTGGGACTTTGGCTCTGAGTTAAGAGAGGGTTGGAAGGCCGCTTAAATCCGCTTCTTCCTCCTCCTTCTCCCCAAACTAGCTGAGCAAGGAACATTTAGCATAAATTGGGCTTGGGAATTTTGCAAGCTGATGTGCAAGTTTTAAACCAGATCTGTTCTGCTTAGCCGGCCTTCCTTCCCGTCTCTGTCGGCGAGTGCTTTGCCAGGCAGATATTCAACTTGTGCAGCTCACTTCCTTACAGCATTTCAGCCCAGAAATAGGAAGGGAGCAGAACAACAGGAAAAATAATTGTAATTATTTTTTAAAAAATCTTTCTTGCAGTTTCCCTCCTAAGAAACACACCGCTGTATTTTGCCACCAAGCTCCACTCGGCCATTATGGTGAGGGTCTCTCCTTTTGGTGCCCGCCCCTTCCCAAATCCCACCCCCCTTAGCCCCATCGGGGCTACCCAGAACCCCCCAGTTCTGCTTCCTGGTCGTCATTCGCACAGGAGACCGGCTGAGCTGCTCCAGACGGTGCACAAGGGTCTCCTCTGGGGGAAATGAGCCCCCGCTGACTGGCCATCACCCCCCCCGCATCAAGACCCCTTCCCCAAATGAAAGCCCATAAGCCTCCTTCTGAAAGAGAAGGGCAGAGATGGACTCTGTAGTCCTTTTTCGCAGCCTGGCTTGGGAACAATCGAAGGAGAGTATGAAACATGCACCGTCTGTGGGGCAAAGAAGCGAGTTCGACTCTTGCTTTGCACAGCTTTCCAGCTTTTTAAATTATTTTTATTAAATTTATTGGCCGCCCGGTCTCTGGGCAGTTTACAACTTTCCAAAGGCGATTGTCGTTTTATCCCAGGAAGCAGGACGTAACCCCCGGACGGCCGTCCGAATCATGATCTCTCGCAGCGAGATAGACCTTCTCAGCATCCGCACCGAGTTCAAGAGGCGCTACGGGATCTCGCTCTACTCCTTCATTAAGGTAAAGCACTGGGTAGTATTGGGTGGGGGGGAGTTTCAAGGGCACATTACAGACCCCAAATGGCAGCCACAGGCCCCCAGGGACTGTGGGAAGGACCCCCACCCACCCAGGACCATCCAATTTATTTTCACGACATTCTTGCAAGGTAGGCTGGCCTCAAGCTTCTTGGTCAAGCAGGCCAATTTTTTTGCGGCCTTCTCCGTTCCCTATATTGCCCCACTCATCAGGAACAGAACCTCCATTTGTAGGAGCAGTCTATTTGCAAGTTAAAAGTTTGGGGGCCAGCAGAAGTACCTTCACTACAAAAGAATCCAAAAGATACAGAAAATGGTCCCCCCCCCACTGTGGGAATTAAGCACCCCATTTTTCCTGGACCGACCCCTTTATTTCCAGATGGGGTTGCCCCAAACTCTCCTCCTTGCCCCCACCCCCTCCAGGCGGAAACACAAGGCGAACACCAGGCGGCTTTGCTTGGCTTATGCAAGGCGGAAGATCTGTGAGACACGCTGCCAGGCGAGGATCCTCCCCGTCCAGAGGCAGTCTACCTTGAAAAACCCTCCAGCTTTTCCTTCCAGCGAAGCTGCCTCACCACGAAGTTGCAAAGGAGCCCCCCGGAAGGCAGCTGCGGAATTCAGCCTGACCGGTCGGACGGGTTTCTGCCTCTCTCCCAGCCCAAATTCTTCTGATGCTTTGCAGGGGTTTGAGGGGCCGTGGGGGGAATTTAGAGACCTGCAAGTTTTGCCAGGTATTTACAACAAACTGTGGGTCAAGAGTTTAAAAGCAGGGGATAATAATCAGTGAAGACTGATAGAGCCTCCAGCATCAGGAGCAATCTACCTCTGAATAGCTGCCGGGAATTGCCAGCGGGCTTCTCATTGGCCAGTTTGGAAAATCGGACCCTGGAGTAGATACAACTTCAGTCTGATGGCATTTTAGGGGGCTTAGATTGCTAGAAAAAGGCTTTTCTACTTTACATTCCACCTCAACAGCTCTGCTTCTTCTTCCTTCAGTCCCATTTCCTCCAGTCAATGGACCCCCAACCCATCCGCCACAGCCCCACCCCATATGCCTGTGCAACCCACACATCCTTCCTCTTTCCCCTTCACCCCCCCCTCAAAAAAAATCCCCTTCCCGGGAACTGAAACGTTGCTTGTAAAAAATAAAATAAAACCACCACCACGTCTCTCTTTGGGATCCGTCTCGACCGAGTGGATTATCTGGGGTTCAAAAACGCTTCCCTCTCCTTTAGAAGGACTGCTTTATTCCAATGTAAACAGAGGCAGGATTAATCGATTAATCGACTCAAAACGGAGGCTTAAGCGATTTTAGAATTTAGTCCAGTCATAGCCCTCAAAAACCAGGAAAAAGAAAGAAAGAGAGAGAAAGAGAGAGAGTGAGAAAGAAAGAGAAAGAGAGAGAGAAAGAGAGACCTCGTTTGGACTGCGTCACTGGAGGCGTTTCTGCCTCGCTTCGGCTGCCTTTGAGAAGGTGAAAAAGCCAGAGTTTAAGCCCACCCCCCAAAAGGTGCTTTTGGCAAAGGAATCCATTTTTCCATCGGGTGAAAACTGCACCGGTTGAATTGCTCCGGTGGTAACTTTGCAAACGGTCCCTCTTCTGTGTGCATGTGGCCCACGAAGGCTCTGCTTTGGCGATGACCGGATCCAGGGTGCCGGCGAGGTGTGACCCCCCCCTCATCCTGAAGGCTGGGCCCTTCTAAGCAGGGACTCTGTTTCTCCAACGGAAGCGGCTTTCTGTCCATTCCCCCAGACACGAGAGAGGAGAATCACATGGGAGACACCCCCCCCATAAACTGACCCAGCCTCCGTGGGGAGCCAAGCTAAGCCCCCTCTTGGTTTCTCTTTCCCCCTTCCCATGTTGACCCCCAGGTGGGAGAAGCAAATGCACCACGGGGAGCTTCTTCCCCCCTCTCAGTGTGTGGGTTTTTTTCCGAAACAGAGCCGTTCCTCCCCCCTTCTGAAGCATTTTTGGTGTTGCAGGGGAGCCCTTATCCAAAGTGCCCCCATAGCAAATTGAGAGGGGAAGGCCCTGGAAGGACAGGGGGGGCCCTCGTGGGACTCCCACAGGCCGGCCTCAAAGGACGATGCAATCCGTGTCCACCTTCTGCCTCTGCCTGCGTTCTCCGGCGGGACGGGGGGCCGGAGGACTTCTCCCCTAAAGGCAGAAAGGGAAAGACGAGGAAGGGGTTAATTGGGGAGGGGTAGAATTACCTTCAAACCAGGGCCCGGGAGGGGGGCTAGGTGGGCGTCTCTCCGTACCTGTGCCGGGGAGGGCAAGGGGCTCGGCGGTGGGGGCTGCTGGTATTCCTCTTGCTGAAGCTGCTGCGCCAGCTCCAGGTCGCTCATGGCGGGACCCCCTTGCTGGCGTTGGAGGGACAAGGCAATCATGTAGTCCTTGGGGAGGGGAGGGAGGGAGGGGGCGTCAGAAAGGCTCCCTGTTTCTTATCCACCCCTGAGGCCAGGGCTCTCCAAACATGGCAACTTTAAGACTTGTGGACTTCAACTCCCAGAATCCCCCAGCAAGTTGTGCTTAAAAAATTGGCTGGATTATTCTGGGAGTGGAAGCCCATAAAAACCTTAAAATTGGCTGGGGAATTCTGGAAGTTGAAGTCCACAAGGCTCCACGGTTGGAGACCCCTGCCTTAGACAGCTCGCTGACGCCCGAATCCCACCCAGCATCTACTCCACAATTGCTATGATCTGCAGGGAATTCTCTCTGCTCCCCCCAAAAATAATCTCCTTTTGGCAACTCTGCCAGCTTTACGACTTCAAGAGGCTCTGGGCCAGGACTGAGAATCCCAAAATGTGCCTTAAGAGCAGCCTTTTCCTTTCGGAGCCCCTCCAGAGGCTGGAGCAATTATCCCTCTCCCACCCCACCCCCAGGAAAAAAAAACCCTCCAAGGCATTTCTGCATCTCCAGATTCTCCCTGGCGTTGTGTCTTCGTTTCGTCAGTTCCTGCAGGGTGCAACCGTCCACCCACAGAACTGAAAGGGGATTTTTTTCCTAACTTGCAAATTCCTGGACATGTCAGCCAGGTTGAAAAAAACTTGCCACATCCTCCCTGTCCTTGGATCCATCCCACCAGGGAAGGCGATGCAGAAGTGAGCCCCTCTGCCAGGACTCCTCCTCCCCCTTCCCTGCCCCTGGCATACCTGATCCACCTGCCTCTGGTCGACCGGGGAGCCCCCCGCCGCTTCCTTGCCCAGCGTGTGGCTCAGGTGGAACTCGGCATCGCAAAAGCAGCTGTCGCCATCCACGTTGTGCAAACTTTCCCAGGTGACCTGGTCTTCGTTCAGGAAACCCTGGTCCGTCACCAGCAGGTAGAGGTGGCTCTGAAGCCCAGCGGGAAAGAAAAGGAGCGAGCAAAAAAGTAAAAAAAATAATCATGAGTGAACGGGGTCCATGGAGCAGCTTCTTTTCAGACAGCAGACACCAGAATGTATTTTTCAGGAACAGAAGCTAAAAGGACCCATTTGGGCATGCAATGTAGAAACAGTCGTGCCAACCAGTTTTTAATTTTATTTATCCTGCAATTTTACCCCAGTGAAGCCAAGCCTCACTTTTTCCTTTCCTTTCCTTTCCTTTCCTTTCTCCTTTCCTTTCCTTCTTTCTCTTTCTTTCATTATCATTATTATTATTATTATTATTATTATTATTATTATTATTATTATTATTATTATTATTATTATTTTAATTTGTATACCGCCCTTCTCCCAGAGGGGACTCAGGACGGTGAACAGCCAAAAATTAAAAAACATACAAATACAAAAGTTAAGATAATTAAAAAAGAATTAAATCATTAGCTTCCCAATTTAAAACCCCCAAATCCATAAAATTTAAAACCCCAATTAAGAACCATTTAGGCTAGGCCTTTCTCTCTTTCTTCCTTCCTTCCCTCCTTCCTTCTCTCTTTCTCTCTTTCTTTTCCTTCTCTCCTTCCTTCCTTGTTTGCTGCTCATCTCACCCATAAGGAGACTCTGGCCGGCTTACAACATTAAAATAAAACCATAAATATATGTATAAAATCACATTACGGTAAGCTACAAGTTAGAGCTAAAAGATTTAAAATGTTTATTTGATTGGTTAAATCTACGTGCCCCTCATCCCGCCTTCAAGCAACTCCAGGCGGCTTACAAGACAAAACTGACAACATACAAGAATTAAAATATGAAAAGGATAAATGCTGGCATGAGAGGCTAATAGATGTGAAGTCCTTCTACACAGGAAAGGGCGAGAAACTCATCCTTTTTACAAGATCAAACTGCAAAGAGGGACAAACTCCGGGGGTGGCGTCATAATGATGTTTATTCGTCAGGAACAATACATGGCAAAGAAGCTTTGAAGCCCCACATCATAAATCCCTCATTTCTCAAGGAAAATAAAATACCTTGTGCTTGATCATGGCACTGAAGTGGTTGTTTCGGAAGAAAACATTCAGTTCGCCTTCTTTGACCGTGGACGTGAGCTCGCACAGCCCGTGGTAGGTGAGCTGCGATGCCGTGGACTCCAAAAATTGTTCTGCGATCAGGCCTGGGGGAGGGAAAAGACGGAGGAAGGAGGACAAAAAAGCCAGTTCATCCTTTTATATCGGGGTGGCCAATCTGGGCAACTTTTAAGACCTGTAGACTTCAACTCCCACAATTCCCCAGCCAACTTTAAGCCTTGTGGACTTCAACTCCCACAATTCCCTAGCCAACTTTAAGCCTTCTGGACTTCAACTCCCACAATTCCTCAGCCAATTTTAAGTCTTCTGGACTTCAACTCCCACAATTCCCCAGCCAACTTTAAGCCATGTTGAAATCCACAAGGCTTAAAGTTGGCAGGGGGATTTTGGGAATTGAAGTCCACAAGGCTTAAAATTGCCAAGGATGGGCTCCCCTGCTTTAGAGGTTTCTAAGCCACCTTCCCAGGCCTTCCAGCTACCAGCAATGCCCCCAAAGAAGCCCTCCCCAATTTGGAAAAGGTGGTTTGTGCTTAGCCCTCTCAATGTTACCTTCCGTCACCAGGTTTGGGTCGCTGGAGTGTTTACAAGTGATAATTTTTTCCACCAGCTGGTTGTAGCTCAGTTTGCTGACGGCTCCGGCCACCTCGGGAATCTGGGGGAGGAGAGGATAGAAACGCCCATCCTAAAACCAGAGTGCAGGCAGGCTCAAGAGGGCACAGCGAGAACTGGGTTTCATTTCTGTGTTTCAATGCTACTCTGCAGGGGTGTCCTTGGTGTCAGGGATGGAGGGAACATCACTGTCTACAGGACAGTTTTGAGACAGGACCCAAGAACGGGATTCAGGGACTTAAAAACAGGATGTTTACAATTCCCTCTGGTGGTTTTGAGCCTTCCAAAAGGCCAACCTTGCAAAGATCCAGATTTCCAAATTTCTCCATGAGGACTAGTAGCCTGGTTTCTTTTACTCCCCAGAATTGAAGTCTGCGGTCTATCTATCGGGGGAGAGTAGCACGTCTTCACACCAGGCTAAGCCACTTTTGAAGCAGTGGATTATGCCAGGTTTTGGTAATCCTTAAGAGGTCTGGACCTCAACTCCCAGAATTCCCCAGGCAAGTCTGGACTTCAACTCCCAGAATTGCTGGCTGAGGAATCCTGGGAGTTGAAGTCTAGACCTCGTGAAGTTGCCACGGTTGAGAAATTCTAATTTATGCCAAGGTCTCTGGCTGTGCGGAAGCCTCGGTGTAGTTTCATCTCTCTCCAGCCCACAGCTCTGCCCCCCCCCAACCCAATGCCAGGGGGGCAAAGCCACCCACCTGGGGATCCACCAGCCAGCCGTGATAAAGGGGGATGTTTAGGAGATCAAAGACGATGCACTCGGGGGTGTATTCGAAGTCCGAGACCCCCGTGAATCTCACGTTGACGTCCAGCCCCGTGGACAGCTTGGAAAGGACTGTCATGGCGTCATTGACGTTCTGCCCGGGAAGAAAAGTTGACATTTTCTCAAAGGGGCCCCAGAAGCCAACAGGCCTGGAAAATTGGCCCCTAAGGGCCCCAAACGTTCCTGGAGCCATTTTGGATTCACTCACCTGCTGGAAGTTGAGCTGGACGGCCTCAGCTTGGTCCTGGGGTTTGATGGACAGGATGCAATCCCCTGCAGGGGCAGAAAGGGGGGGAGAGAGAGACCCCTCAGTTAGGGGGACCCCACGGGGGAGGGACAGGGGAGTCTGTTCAAAAGGACCTTCCACTGGGGAGGAGGATACGGGAATGCCGGCTGTGCAGAGAGAGAAAAAGGGAGGGCTGGGAGGACTGTTGTGGCCCACCAGTGGATCTGGCAGCAGATTCAGAGGTTGGGGAGGAACCTGGGCCAGTCCTGGAGTCTGGGGAGGGCTCTGACGAGGGCTCTGTGTCGGCGGCAGAGAGGGGGCCAGGGCTGTATGCCAGTTATCAGCTGCCTTTCAGAGTCAGTCATCAGTGAGGCAGAAGAACAGCCTGTTCCCACAGCTGCCAGGAGAAGGGAACAGCTAAAGAACAAGGGTCGACTCAGGAGTAAGGCCACAGGAGGATGATGAACGGCCCCTCCCAGAGGGAATAAAAGAGGGGCGAAAGGGGAGTGGAGCTTGCAGGAGGCAATTAGTTTGTGACTCCTTGCCATAAAAAGGGGTTTTTGTCGGGACAAGGAGTCTGCTTTGTGGTTTGGGGAAGCCTAAGTCAGAACAAGGACAGAGCACGCAGCACACAGAATCCCAGGGCTGGAAGGGACCCCAGAGGTCTTCTAGTCTGACCCCCTGCTCAAGCAGGAGACCTTATCACTCCCTGTTCAAAGGCCTGTCCGGTTTATTTCTGAAAACTTCCAGTGATGGAGCAGCCACAGCTAAGAAAGGCCACCCAGGATTTCTGGGACCCTCCAAAACATTCAGGATTGTTCTCTCATCAGAAGGCGACGACCATCGCTCCCCTTGGGCACTGGCCTACCTCACAGGATCGTTGTGCAGAGGGGAAAAAAGGGAGGGACAGAAGGAGATGCTTTGCCAATGCTGGAAGGTGGGCAGCAGCCACCGCCCTGCCCAGGAGTGCAGAGGTGCCAACTGTGACGGGGCTCCTTACCGAGGTAAGCCATCAGCTCATCCGAGGTGACCACTTCCTTCTGGGCAGGCAGCTTTACCTGGGGGAGCAAAGAGTTGAGAGCCCGTTTCTCAGCCCCCATCCAGGGCAGCCTGGCTGTGGCCCCCTCCCCGTGACCCCCTTCCCCGTGCCCGTTTTTACCTTCCACTGCAGAAAAAGGATGTTCATGATGGCCAGCAGTGGGCAGGGGCCATTCTCACTCTGCATGATGACCGGCGTCCTCTCGCCCTTCCAGGTGATCCATTTCACGCAGTAAAAGTCCGGCGGCTTGGGCTGGCTGGCTGGAGACGGGCGAGGCTTGGGGGCATCCTCAGCTGGGCTGCAGCTGGTGGGCACCGGAGGGGCTGGCAGAGGGGAGGCCTCCTCGTTTGGGGATGGGGGTCCCTCCTTTTGCCCCCCTTCGGCTGCTGCTACAGAGGAAAGCTGCCCATCATCTTTCTGCATGACGCTTTGGGCACCGCCCTTGGCGAGGTGGGTTGGGGTCTCTTCTGCAGCCCCAGGGAGAGCAGAAGCAACCACCTCCTCGCCCCCCACCGTTGGCTCGGGGAGGCCAGATTCGGTGGGCTCCGTCTCCCCCCGAGCTTCCTCTGCAGCCGGCACGTCGGTCTCCATCGAGAAGAATCGTCCTTTGGCTTCTTAATTCTCAATTTGTCTCAAAGAAATTCGAGGTTTTTCCAAAAGGGGTTAAGTTGTCTTTTTTGGACAAGCCTCTTCACCGACTTTAAAAGCAAGTTCTCTTTAATCAATACTTGTATTTTTTTCTTTCCCAACAGCCGAAAATGCAGAAACTTCACTGAAAACTTAAGCTGGATCCTGTTTTCACCCTCAGTTGAATTCCTTTCTGATCTTCGCTATCAGCAGACGCCCCTTTCATAAAAAATTGTGCATGGCACGAGGTTTTATTGGCTGAGTCCTTTCTCCTTTGGTTAGGCACTGATGAACATTTGATGCAAATTCCTCAAAAAGTCCCTTAATTTATTTGGTTTGTTTGTTCGTTTTTTACTTGCCAGTTCCTGGGAGGGTCATTGAACATTCAATACTGCCATTTTTCTCCCCAATTTTACACTCAATTATTTAATACCAGGGGAGTTTGTGTCTCTCATGACCTCCGCTTGCAAGTTTTCATCTGTACCAGATCTGGATAAGAATCAACAGATAAAAACTTCTTTTTTTAAAAAAAGGAAATCTCTTTCTTATCCCAGAAAAAGGAATACAAAATGCTTTTGTTTTTAAGAAAAAAAAATATATCAAAGCTGTCCTTACAATAAAAGAAATTGATGCTCGTGAAATTTTTTTTAAAGCATTAAAAAGGCAATGGGTTTTCTCTATGGGTGATATTTTAAAGCTTTTCTTTTTTAAAAATATATATATATATATATAGAAAAAAAAACATGCACACACGCACAAAATCCCAGTGTCTTTTTCAGGGCATTAATTTTTAACAGATTAGTCGAACGGAAATTCTGTGTTTTATTGACCTTTGTGTTTTTTTTGTCCTTGAAGCTCAGCAAAGAACGTGGAGGTGAGTCCTATTTTGTTTTGGTCAGCTCTGGGTCTTCTCTTCTGCAAACGGACGTCCAAGGAATCTACTTTTCTCCAGCTTCATGGCCCAAAGTCGAGAGTGTGGTTTGTATTTGTGAAAAAATGCAGAATTTTTAACAGCCAGCCAGCTCTGAGCCTAGCAAAAGAGTCAATGAAACAAAGAAGATTAGAAAATCCGTTTGTTTTTTTTCCCAACCCATCACCTGCCTTGTCGTCTGTCTCTCTCTCTTCGTCTGGAAAAGTGCCCAAATTTTGCCCAGTGCCCGGATTTTGATCCCATGGCTGTGGGGATGTTGTGACAGACAGAGGAAGGGTGAGGATAAGTGATAAGTCCCATTTCCAGTCCTGGTGTCACTTCAGTCGCTAAACGATGGTTGTAAATTGAGAATCACCTGTATACAAAACTGCCCACAATTCAACGTGCATGAAACGCTCACACACTTCTGACTTTTGAAGTTGTACAGGAGCCGCCCTGCAGACCTGGCTGGACATCTGGACAGGAAGGTCCGCAGCAGGAAATGCCGGAGAGGCCCTTCAACATCTGGAAGGAACCGGCTGCACCCAGGAAGCAAACAAGGCAACCGCAGCCCTGATGGCGCTCTCTGTGTCTGCATGCAAGGATTTACCTGCCTACAACGCAGCCTGTTTTGCAAGGAAGAAGCCGCCCAAACCAGTTATTTTGACGAAAACACCTCGCTGCTTTTAAGCAACAGCTGGAAACTTCCAGAGGGGGGCAGGGGAGAGGAAGGGAGGGACGCCCACCCCAAAGATCTAGCCACCCATCTCCTCACCGCTGGGCCCCTTCCGCTCCCACTTTGAAAATATGGCAACACCCTAAGAGTGGGGAGAGCCTGCTCAGGCGGGGACTTCAACACCCATACTCCCCAGCCTTGCAAAATAAGGGAAAGGGGGGGGTGAGATCCCTGCCCTACACAGCCAGAAATCCCCTCACCCACCTTGCAAGGTTTAACGCGCCACGAAGAATGGAAACCTAACAGCCCATGTCAATAATTCAATCTGTTCTCCCGTCATAAATTCCACAGGATTTTATCCTTCTCCACCTCCCCACCCCCAAGTGGCACCCCCTCCCTTCCAATAAATCCCCCCCGCCCCACCCTTTCCACCGCTGGAGGTTTGCAGCCCCTTCGGTTCTGCCGCAAACTTTGTTTTCGAAGGAAACTGTTGCACACAGGAGATGTCGACAGTTTAGTGAGCTTGCAAAAGGAGAGGACGGGCGGACGGTTGGCTCAAAACCCACCGTTTCCCCTTTCTGGTAGGAAAGAAGACCTCATTCCACCCCGGCCCCCAGCCCCATCCCCAACCCTGGGGGCAGAGGCTCAACTGGGCGAACCCCACCCGGCTGGGGCAGCACCAGAGGGGCGCTCTCTTTAAGACCGACCAACCAACCCAGCCGGTGCCAGGGAGGAGAATCCAGAAACAGGGGTGCCAGGCAGCTGGCACAAACCCCAGGCACAAAGGAGGCACCGAAGCTTCGGGTTCTGGATTCGAATCCCACCTGTTCTACTCCAGCAAAGCAGGGCAGGGATTGAAGGACTCAAATACGCCATACCTGGATTTTCCTGCTCAGATCCTTCTGGGCATAAATCTTGTTTTTCTGTGCCTGTTCCTCTCCTCCCTTTCCTCCTGCCAACCCCCCCACCCCTCTGGGTTAGGCCAAGGCTGGGAGGAGGGGGGGAAAAAACACCCCCTTTTAAAAAAAAAGAAAAATAAATAAAGCCTAGCTGGGGTAAATTTATTCTGCCCAGCCGCTCCCCTTTCTGCAGGGACATCTATGGGAGGGGAGGATACACCGCAGCGCAGGGGCGTTGTAGGGAAGCCAGGATTGGGGAGTGGAGGGAGAGAAAAGAGGGATGGGAAGGAAAGAAAACAAAGGAAGGAAGGAAACTCTGTAGCCACCCGAGGGGAAAAAGAAAAGCAACATTTACACAAAGTAGCAGCCAAGCAAAGAGGAGGAGGAGGAGGGGGAGGAAGGGGAGGGGGCTTTCAAGGAAAGGCGCAAACCCTTCTGGATCCAGGAAATGGGGGTGGGGGGGCTTTGGGGCTCCCCAATGAAAAAAAGGAGGGTCGCCAGCCTCGCCGCGTTGCAAAGGCGGGGGTGGTGGTGGTCGCACTGCCACCTGCCACGCGGTGCCTGGATGGGGGGGGGTCTTGGGGGAGTTGCAAGGCTTTAGCTGTTGAGCTCCAGGGTGGCGGCCCCTCCGGAGGGGAGGAAGGGGGGCTTGGGGGCTTCGGAAACTCTGGAGAAAAAGTCCGCGATCGCGCGGGGGCCCAGAGAGGGGGTTTTGGGGGGGGGCTTTCCCGGGGGCTCCGCCGCCCCCCCTTTTTGGCGCCCGGGGGCCCCCGCTTGCCCCCCCCCCCCCGCCCCCCCCCCCCCGTGAGACACGCACCTTCAGGCGGCACAAATCCCGCTCTTCCCCCCCCACCCCTTTCCCCCTCCCCAGGGTGCTTACCGCCCGCCCTGCAAGGTAGGCAAAGCCGCCTTCGGCCGCGGTGACGTAGCGGGGAAAGCGCGTGCTTCGGCCACGCCCCCTTTTTTTTACGCCAGCGGGGAGGGGGAGGAGGAGGAGGAGGAGGGGCGGCCTCTCCGCGCCTGCGCAGATCGGCGGGTGAAGCCTCGCCCTTCCGCCTCCCCGCCGGCCAATCAGGGGCGGCTGTTCCGGCCCCTCCCGCCGGGCGCCCGAAAGGAGGTCGGGTCGTACACGTGTCCGGGCGCGCTCTCCGTTCACACGTGCGGCCGGGCGGTGGGGAGGGGTCCGGAGCCATGGAGAGCTTCCTGGCAGGCTGCAGGGCCGCCCTTCAGGTACCCCCGCGCGCCCGGGGAGGACTACCAGCCCCATCGTCCACTCCCCAGGCTCTGCTCGCCCCCATCATCCCCAGCCGCTGTTGGCATCTCTGCCAGCCTGACTCTCATCATCCCCACTCATTGCTTCGACATGGGCAGGATCCGACTCCCATCATCCCCACCCCACCCGCTGTCGAGGAGGCTAGACTCTAGGTCCCATCCTCCCCAGCCGCTCCTGGCATCCCCCACCTGCTCTGGACCACTCTGACTCCCACCATCCCATCTATCACTTATGGAGAGTGTTAGATTCTAGCTCCCATCATCCCCAGCCGCTCCTGGCAGCTCCACTTCTTTGAGATGGTTCCGGTTCCCATCATCCTGCCCACCACTGCGACATGGGCGGGATCTGACTCCCATCATCCCCACCCTCTGCCTCCCATCATTTCCCTTATTTAGTTCTGTTTTATTTCCTGATCAAAGGTAAACCCATCTCCTGCCTGCTAGACCACTCTAACTCCCATCATCCCCTGCCCACCGCCCCTGCATGGGCAGGATCTGACTCCCATCGTCCCCTCCCACGGCTAAGGAGGTAGAGACTGCCAGCCATGTGAATGTTCCCTCTCTGCCAGCTTCAGGGAGGAGGCTCTTGGGGAGGGGAGGAGCGAGAAGGAGGTTGGGGCCATGGGCAGGATTCGAATCCTGCCTGGGGAGATGAGCTTTTCCCAGCCCAGCCCCCCTGGGGGGGAGGTGACCCCCTTCCCCGGCCTTGTTTTGACATCCGTCTGCGGGTGATTCACCGTCTTGTGCTCCCTGGACCGGGGTGAGTCAGCTGCTTGTGCCCATCTGCTTGGCACCCTCTCTGGCACAAAGGCCACGTGGGCAGAGCCACGCCTGTCCAAAGGGTCCGATCTTGTGGCTCTCCGGCCCTCCAGACCCGGTTGGACAACTCTTCCACCTTGGCCAGGGCTTCCGGCTGTCCCTCTGGACCAGAATTGTCCAGTAGGCAGCTTTTACGACTGGTGGACTTCAACTCCCAGAATTCCCTTGTGGCTGGCTGGGGGATTCTGGGAGTTGAAGTCCACCAGTCTTAAAAGCTGCCAGGTTTGGATATACAAACCCTGAGACGTACACTTTGTACTAATGTCCAGAACGTTTCATACAGATAGTCCTCAAGTTACGACCACACCAGAAAACCCGTCGTTAAGCAGCACGGTCATTAAATTTGCTTGTGCAGGTGGCTTCTACCTGGGCAGCCCTTTCTGTCGGACCCCTGAAGGCCCCTCTGCCCTGTCTCTCTAGCTTTTTAATCCCCCTCCCGTTTTAATTTCCGGTCTGCCCCGCAGCCATCTGCCGCAACCATTAAACCTGGCCACGTCCCACCTTTTAAGGCTCAGGTGATGCGAAGGTGGCTTATCGGCTGACGTCTTCCGACATTCTGCCGGTGCTGGGAAACCAGGGTTTGTTTGCCAAGGGGGTGGGGGAAGTTTTCCAGGACTCTCTAATGGCTGGCAAAATGGATTTAAAAGGGGCACCGACTATTTCTCCGCAAGCCTTTTGAAAACCCTCCTTAATTAAAAAAATAAAAATAAACCATGCCCATCTATGGTTCTAATCTCAACCGAGTTAATTCAGAAAAAGTGGAAGTCTTGGCCAAATGCAGAGCTTTTTTCACTTGGATTTTTCTTCATTTATCCCGTTCTCTTTTCTTCCACTTGGTTGGCGAGCAGGAGGACAACACTAGAAACGGGTGCCTTGCGTCCCTATCTATCCTCCTCTGAAAGTGGGCATCTTTGCGGACGCTGCCCCAGGCTGCGCCAGGGAGATCAGGTCTCGAGTGCAAATCTTCCCCTCGAATTCAAGGCCGGCGATCCAAGCTCCACGCGCTTCCTTTTCTTTGACGTCACCAGAACGTTCTCCTTACTGTGGCCACCCCAGGCATGCCCAGCAAATGCCAGGGCAGAGGAGCTGGCACCATGCCACCCTGTCAGCAAAGTCAATTTTGAAGAACGAAGCCACTCGTCTCTCTCTTCCCTCCGGCCACATCCCAAGTCTTCCAGTCCTGGCACCCTGGACAGCAGCCATTGTCATTCCTGAGTGGTTGGTTGAGGATTATGGGAGCCGGAATCCCGATCCGACAGGGAAGCAGGTCGAGTGTGACTGTCCTCGTTTCACCTATTTCTTTGTCCCCTGGCAGGATCACGTTCAGAGCAGGAGGGCTGTTCATGTGGTGCTGGGCAACGAAGCGTGTGATCTCGACTCCATGGTGTCCGCTTTGGTCCTCGCCTACTTTTTGGCAAAGGTCAGCCTTTGGATGTGCTGCTCTGGGTTCCGATCTCACCAGGGCGCTTGGGGCCTGCCCCTGGACCCCCTGACTGCCCCCCTGCCTCATTTGCTTATGCATTTGCAGCGGCTCCTTCCCGAGGCCCTCCTGCCACCACGACACGACATCTCCTCCGAATTCCATGTCGCAGAATTAAAACTGGGTGCCGGGCGGAGATTGGTGTCTCTTTGCCGGATTCAGTCTAGAGTGGGGGTCCCAGGAAGATAGAGAGACCTGCCCCTCCCTCTCTCCCCTTCCAGAGACAAACTGAACATTTGGGGTGTTTTTAAAGCAATTTATTTGTCTGCCACCTCGTGGTTGTGTCGTTCTCCTCCATGAAGTCCCGTCTATTAAGAGCCAGGAATGTCTGGTTTGGGGGCTTCATCCTTGTTCGATGCTCTGCTTGCTGGGCAGGGATTCCCACGATCCTTTTCTGGCTCCCACAGACCTCCCCGGACTCCGAGGCGGCCTTCGTCCCCGTCCTCAACATCCCCCGGGCCGACTTCCCGCTGCGCACCGAAAGCACCTTCCTTCTCCTTCAGCAACGTATCCCCGAGGAAGTCCTCGTTTTCCGGGATGAGATCGACCTGGCGGGGCTGCACAAGGCCGGGCTGCTCTCCATGACCCTGGTGGATCACCATATCCTGCCCAGGTGGGCGGTAAGAGGAGCAGCTCCCCACACAAAGAGGGGGGGAGGCGGCTTGGCCCATCCGTTGCGCCTCGGTCTTCGGTTTGGAAATCCAGGGAGCCGCGATGGAGAGATCTGGGGTGGGTGGGTGGATCCCTCAAGATCCCTACGATTTGGGACCCAAGCAAGATCTCTAGTAAGCTGGTTCAGATGGCATTCGGACCAGCAGAAGTGACATACAGGTAGTCCTCGACTTATGACATTCCTTTAGCGGACGTTCAAAGTTATAACAGCCCTCGAAAATGTGACTTATGACCATCTTTTCACACTTAACAACTGTTCAGCCATCCCCAGGGTCATGTGATCAAAATTCAGGTGCTTGGCAACTGACTCATATTTATGACGTGGTCCCCTTTTGCGACCGTCTGACGAGCAAAGTCCACGGGGAAGCCAGATTCACTTCACAACAGTGGCCAGAAAAGTCGTAAAACGAGGCAAAATTCAGTTAAGAAATGTCTTAAGAAATTTTGAGCTCAATTGTGGTCCTAAGTCGAGGACTACTTGTACCCAAAGTCCCCCAGCTGTGCTCCCTCCCTAAAACATCTGCAACTTCAGACAAGCCCCTCTTGGCAGCTGCTGATGGGACGGGGAGTCCTTATGCCCACCTCCGTGTTCTCTTCCCCAGCAAGGATGCAGCGCTGGAGGCGGCCGTGGTGGAAGTGATGGACCACCGGCCCCTGGAGTGGGAGAGGCCCCCTCCCTGCAGAGTGACGGCCGAGCTGGTGGGCTCCTGCGCCACCCTGGTGACCGAGAGGCTCCTCCAGGCACAGGTGCCAACTTTGGACGGGCAAATTGCCGCTATGCTCTACGGTGAGGATGAAATTTGGTATTCACCCCAAATCGTGCCCGTTTGAAATTGGCAAGAAAATCCAGGGGAGCTCTTCTGAGTGGAGGTGGGGCAGGGCCCTCCTTGAACCCAGTGTTTTTGCCCCGCCAGGAACCATCTTGCTGGATTGTGTCAACATGGCTGTCGAAGCGGGCAAAGTGACCCCGAGGGATGCCCGTTGCGTCTCTCGATTGGAGTCCTTGTTCTCCGAGCTGCAGCCGAGGAACCGCGTCTTCGACGCTCTGCAGAGAGCCAAGTTCGATGTCTCAGGTGGGTGGGGGGGGGGTCCAGGAAGGGCATTTCTTTTAAAGACCCCCCACAGCCAGGGTCGTCTGCAAGCAAAGATGGCAGGATGTGGGTTTCGCATCCTGGCCTGTTTGGGAATCCTCTGGGAGGCAGGACAAGGGGAGGGAATGCCGTCGATTTCCCAAAAATTAACGGCTAAGAGGGATGCCGAGGGGACCATCAGGCCTGAAGCACAGCCTCCCTTGGAAGGAATGCCAGGTGACTCCCTCAGCTCCCTTCCACAGGCCTCACCACCGAGCAGATGCTGCGGAAGGACCTCAAAAGCCTGGCCAGCAAAAAAGCCACCGTGGCCATCAGCGCTGTGTACATGAGTCTCCAGGTGAGCGTGAAGCCTGCAGAGATACAGGTATCCTCCTCACACGGCCATATCTGAGCCCAGGATCCCATTTGTATCGGCAGAAGCTTGTTTGCTTCCTCTAAACCAGGGTTGTCCAATTTGGCAACTTTAAGACTTGTGGACTTCAACTCCCAGAATTCCCCAGCACAGCTGGCTGGGGAATTCTGGGAGTTGAAATCCACAAGTCTTAAAGTTGGTGTGATTAGATCGACCTGTTTTAAATCTCCTTTTCTCAGGATTTCTTGCACCGGCCTGGGATCGAACGGGATCTAGCCGCCTTCTGTCACCAAAAAGGCTTCGACCTCTTGATCGCCATGACTATCTTTTTCGGGGACCACAAGAAGCCGTTTCGGCAGCTGGCGGTGTACAGCCAACAAGCCGGATTTCAAGACGCGGTGAGTTTCCTCCAAGACTCTTTCGGATTTTGCCTTCTGGGCTGCTTCTGCTGGTTCCGTCCTCACCCAAAGCTATTTTAACGCAAAATTTTCAGCACTTTCTCTCCAAGTGCATTCGAGGAAAGATTATTTGCACAGCTGACCTGCAAAAACCACCTCTCTATCCCCAATCTCCGGGGTTTCGGTTGGAATTATTTTCCTACCGACCTCGCTAACGGCAATCTTGGATTTGCGGTTCTTTTTTTTCCAAGACTTGAAAGTAGGTGCAAGGCTGCCAGCCAGCATCCCCTCTTGGAAAGGAGCCTGTTTGGCAGGTTGCGAAGCCCAGAGGGATGCTCACGCAGGCGCCCCGTGGCGTTTCTGTCACTCATTAACCACAGCCAAAGGTCCCTGCAGCTGCCGGTTAGCCGAGCAGGCAGGTGGGGAGGGGAAACAATCCGGGGAAGCGGTGAGGAGGGGGCTGGCCGGAGAGCGGAGGCATGCTCATCCTGGCCAGACAGCAGCAGCTCCACCCGGGAGGTAAGCAAAGCATTTGGTGGGGTGAGGGTCTTTTGTATCCCCTTTGCCACACCCACATCCCCCCTCCCTCCCCTTCTGTCTCTCCCCCCCCTCCCCACTCCCCGTCTTTAATGAACCCGGTAAATAGAGTGTTGGGTTTTGCAAACGTTGAAGGATTTCAGGAGCGGAGAGATGGGATGGAGTCCATTTTAATCCTCCTCTTAGTTCTTTGCCGATTTCTTTGAAGAATCCATCCGAAGGAGCAAAGCCAGGAGGGTAGAACAGGGCCGTTTGCGCGAGCGTGCGATGCACAGAATTGCAGTTCTCTTTTGTCACTTTTTCATTGTCGCTTTTTATCCGCCCTTCGAGTGCCGGAGGCTTTGCTGCCGGCAATTTGACTTACGGGTAAGAATCACGAAAAATGTTCCGGCTGGGAATCATCATCCTTATTGTCAAAACAGTGAGACTCCCAATCTGGGTTTGGTTAAAGGTTCAACGTCCCATTTCCAAACCCCTTATTTTTTTTGTGTTTTTCTTTTTAAGGGAGTTTTTGTTGGTTCCGTCCTCGTCAAAAGGTATTTTAATGCAAAATTCGCAACTCTTTTTCCCAAAGTGCATTCAGGAAGGATTATTTGCTCAGTTGATATGCAAACCGGCTCTCCGTCCCCAACCTCCGGGTTTATTTTGGAATTATTTTCCTACTGACCTCACTAACGCCAATCTTGGATTTGCGGTTATTTTTTTCCAAGATGTGAAACTAACTACACTCCGAAGCTTTCCGGTTCAGATTTTTTTTTTTTTTTTCCCCTCCTGTTTGAAACCAGCTATTGGTTTTTGGGTTTTTTTGTTTTTTCTTCTTCACTTATTTACATTTTAACCTGTGTTGCCAAGCGGATAAATAATTGAAGATCGGCCGCCACCCTGCGTGACAAAACATTAGCTAATGCAAATTTCTCGGGGATGAGGCTGACTCAAAAGTCACAATGCTTAAAAAGAAAATATATTTTAAGCCCCGCTGGTGTTCCTTTGCAGGAACAATGAAGGCCTTGTGGGACTCCCTAAACATTAATGGGTGAATTTATGGTGTAAAGTTTGCACTTTGCACGCCCAAACGGTTTTCCAATATATTGGATGCAGGAATCTGAGGCTCCCCCCCCCTCTCTTGCCGGCGTTTAATTCAATCATCCCAAATAAATTCACCCCGTGATTTTAGGACCTGTCGGCTTGTCAGACAAAAAGCAAGAGGCTTTAAGCTGGGGTAGCTTTTTGTTTTATGAAAAAAGGGATCGAGTTGATCAATCGCCCCCCCAACGCCTCTTCGGGTTCCAACTCGAACTTCTTTGCAAGCTTTCTAATGGCCTTAGAATGGACTTGGAATGGCCCCAGAACCGGCCTTTAGAAAGGCAAGAGACTCATTTCAATGAAAAACGGAGGTTTTTGTAGAATTGTTAGAATGGCAGAATGCCCAGTTTGGAGAAAAGGAGGGGGGGACCAGGCATGGTATAAAAGATTTCAGTGTTCCCCATTCCAAACACTTTTCTTTCTGGAGCAGGACTGGCCCAATCTTGCGAAGAAGGGGTGGCATGGAAGTCAGCTGGGCAGCCTGTTTTTCTTCCTTTTTGGCATCTCTGCCCCCAATGGCCTCCTTCCCCCCCCCCCCACCCCCAGCCTCCCCCAGTCCTGCAGGACTCTGGCAGCTCCCCGATGCCGGCCTGAGTCATCCTTGGGTGACAGCAAAGCGCCATTCTCCAACTTCCCTCTTTATGCCAAAGGCGAAAACGCCCTCTGGAACTCAGGGCGGTGTGGAGGGAAACAGCCTCTGCCTCGCTTTGCGGCCGTCGTATCAGGCAGCTCTCTGGTCCAGGTGGGTGCTGGGGTTGGGTGGGGCAGGGGAGAGCCTCCTGCCTTTGGCTTTCTAAATCTGAGTTTTGAAGGATGTAGTAAAAATGGAATAGGGGGTGAGAACTTGGGCAGAATTCGCTCTAATGTTTCACTTCTCCACAAGAGAGGCTAGCATTTATTTATGTAATCTGGAGTATAGGATTACCTGGGAAAATATGGCCTTTCCAGTACGAGGGAACCTCCACATTTAGGAATAGTCTACCTTTAAACCCGTTCCTTGGGCGCAAGAGAAGGCGTCCTTTCACGGTTGACTTTTGGACTCTCTTACGAGGCCCCCGTTTGATTAGTCAAGACTCTGGATCCTCCAGGGTTGTTTTCTTCCAGAGTGGAGCTTCCATGTTCAGAGTCACTCTACCTTTTGTATAACTAGCTGCTGAGGATAACTAGCAAGCTTTGGTTTCAACAGAAGAGGATATTTGTTGCTCAGGATTGAAATGAGAAGTCCATGGTGGTCTCTGAACTTGGTGGGGGTTTTTTTGCAGACGTCTCATGACCAAACTGGGTAACATCATCAGTACGCTGGTTTCCAAACGGTGCTGAAAGCTTTCCAGATCCCCACAGGGTCTGTGGGGGGGGGCGGAGGGAATGTGGGCCTCCCCCGTGTCCAGAGACCTTCTGAATGTTCATCGCTGCTGGGCTTCTGTCTTTTCCAGGTGTGCCAAGCCTTGGAACGCTCTAGCAACCCGTCCCTCGGCCTGACCCCGCTGGAGACACACTGCCCCACCGTCCGCGCCTACCAGCAGGGCAACACCAGCGCTTCCCGTAAGAAAGTCCTTCCCATCGTCCGAGAATTCCTGCACCAGTGGGTCCGACCCAGTCCTACCGGCCCCGGCATGCAGCCAGAGCTCTCCGGTTGCGTCCCACCGACCAGGGTGGACCCCCAAGGAGCCGGTTGCCGCGATCCCAGAGGGGCCGCCAAGGATGCCCCGAAGCCTCCCCGCCTGGGCGAGGAGGCGGCTGAGGAAGACACCCTGCTGCCTCCCACCCCCATGAACAGCCTGGTGGACGAGTGTCCCCTTCACCAGGGCCTCCCCGAAGTCTCTCCCGAGGCCATCTTCGAGAGAGTCAACCGCATCGCCATCGATCGCTCGTCGGGTGGCCGCAGCCCGGAGAAGAAGTGACCGCCAAATCCAGGGAAGCTCTCGGCGAGTGGTGGTCGTCGGGCTTTCAGCCGGGGGCTGAAAACGCCGTTTTTGAATTAATTGTTGGACATCATCTGTGATTAAATCTCCCATGGCAATGAATAGAAAGGAGGGGGGGAGGCTGGTGAACTCAGAATTCGCGGCCATTAATGCAGCGGGTGGGGGTGAAATTAAACTCACCGACTGGTACAAAATTGCAGAATTCTGATTCTCGGGGGGGGGACGTGTCTTTCCAGCACCCCAAATCCTTTTTTTCTGGCGCATCCTTCCAAATTGTCCCAAAATGGATTTGATGGAACAAGATATAAGGATTCCTCAGAAAGGTTTTCCTTGGTGCTCGTTGAAGGGGAAACTTAGTTCAGGCGCTGTTGAGGCAAGGATGACCACGCCCACTTGGTCCCACCTCAACATGTTCCAGAGCTGCATTTTGTTTTATTTTTTTTTGCAAAAAAACCCCCCCAAAAAAACAGTGTAAAAAAATCTCACTGAAGCCCCACGTGCATGCATGAAATGTAAAATGTTGTGTTCTTTTGCAGCTGAGCTCAGGCCTCTGCGTTTTCGGCAAGGCTGAATCCTGTAAAATGGTGGTCTCCAAATTTGGCAACTTGAAGACTTGGGGAATTCTGGGAATTGAAGTCCCCAAGTCTTAAATGTTGCCAAATTTGGAGAGCCCTGCTGTACCACGAGGCTTGGGCTAATTCCTCAATAGTGAATAAAAACACTCGTCCTCTTCCTTAAAACATGTTCCTATGAATGTGTGAACAGTCTTGTTTTTTGTGCAGGTTTTACAGCGTTTTGTATTCCAGCCAGGAGAAGTTTGCACAAATACGGTGTTTTATTAAGGTAGCTCCTAAGGGGTCCCTAACCGGGAGGGGGGGAGGCTTTTGGAGCCCCGAAGCCATGCCCCTCACCTGCACACCTGGCCCTCTGCACCCCAGCAGGTGGAGAGGTTCGTCTTGATCCCCAACAAAGGTCCAGACTATCTTTGTTTGCCAAAGATAGAGTGCCACTGAAGCTGGATGTTCTTTCCTTCACTGTTTCCTTCCCTTCCCTACCTCCGCATCTCAGGCCTAATTCAACCGGTAAAGCACAACATCTTGTGTTCACACGTGCATCAGCCCTTCCCTGACGACACGTTGATCCTGGTTCTGCATGTATCCGCATTTCTTTCCTGCAACCTGCGTGCGAGTTCAGCCCATTTGGGGTGGTTATAGCCAGAGCCTAGTTCACAAAAGGAACCCCCACTGACGCACCTTTCTTGTTGAGTGCGATGAATCCGGGGCAAAGTTTGCCACAAACAAAATTTGACCCGATGGAAATGTGATTCCTCCCACCAGATTTTGACTTCCTGTTTTGGCTTCCTTAGGAGAAAAATTAAGGGCATAAATTGTATGTTGTTCTTCCCTTGGATATGTATATATTTATATATTTGCAGAGAAAAAAATTATCGGGGTTCCTGCCCATCGGAACCAGCCTGGCCTCAATCGTCCTTAGCAAATCAAAACGAACAATGGCACAAAGATCCTGTGCCCCATAATAGTCCCATCAAAACAATACTTTGCACAACCAACGAATTGCGCTGGGGTATGCAACCGTGGCTACTTTTAAGACTTGTGGACTTCCCATCATCCCCAGCCGACTGGTGGCTCCTCTCCCAGCTGCTGTGTCTCGGCGTTAGGACCCAGCCTCCTCCTGCCAAGCTCTCCAGGCAGAAAAACCAGTTTAGGATACGTCTCCCGGCTTCCGCTGGCATGTCCACACCTCCAGGGCTGCGGTGCGAGTTCGGGTGTCCGTCACAAGCAGGGGTGGCTGGAACTGCACCTGGCCGGGCAAACCTCCTCCCCCCCTGCCCTCCATGGGTTCCTTCGTGGGAGACGGCAGGACCCTTCCCTCGGAAAGGTGAGTCCTTACCAAGCGGGGGAGGACTCTGGAAGAGTGCCCGGTTCTTACGAGTCTTTTCTTTCTTTACCCTGGGCAATGCAGGGCCAAATGTGTTCACAAACCCCGCTGCAAGGTTGTAATTCATCTCTAAGGTGGCGCCTGGCCAGGGGGAGACACCCCCTGACCCTTTGGATTTTGGTGGGAATTGTAGTTCAGCCGCAGCTAGGAGATAACCAGGTTCCCTCTGTCTTCTGATTGACAACACGGTGAGATTCGATCCTTCTCTCTCACCTTTTTATGAGGAAAAAAGTTTCACTATCCAGGCTAAAACTTCTGAAATGTAAATAAAACGGAACCGCCTCTCTAAACAAGACAAAATTTACCTGTGGCCAGGTAGTTTACCCAGCCCCTCTGCAAACATTAATTTAAAAAGAACTACGTTTTAATCATATTTTTATCATTGTGGGTTAAACACCTCCTTTGAGCCAAGCCAGAAACTTCTCTAGTTCTCTTAGCAAATTCTCGTGGTTGCTTTGAAGGATCTTCCTTCATTTTTTTTGAAGTTTCCCTTAAAGTCAACATCTCCTGGTGGTCTCCCACCCTCCCCTGCTTTGCTTTCCCAATTCAGGGGAGGCTTTGCTACAAAGCTTTCGCAGAGCTTTTTGGTAGTGAAACAAGTGCCGAGAGAACTTTGCGTTGATATTAAAGGAGCACCAACCAACCATCTCTCCGAGTCGCGCTACAGATTCTTGCGCCCAGTTCAGGGTCGAGAAAAAAAAACTTGGAAAGCCTTCAGGTGCTGGATCTTTGCACCCCGATCCAGCCCAAATTTTGGCCCAAAGTGTCAGGAGGCAGAGGCTGAATTTTGACCTGGAAGATGTTGAGCTGCTATCACAAACTCTCTGAACCGGTTCATTAACTAAACACCTGTTTCGACGTCATGTTCGCCTGCTGGCAAAGCGCCTTTAAATTATCCCGGGTTTTAATTTCAACCCTTCCGGCCTTCTGACCATCCTGTTTACCTGGGGTTCTCTCTGAGTCACAGACAATGCCGGAGGCCTCTCTGGAAGTGGGGCTGGTATCATCTGAATGCAAACTTCATATACAAGATTAGAGATCTGGATTTTGTCTCCACTGCAGTGATCCAATTCACATTCATAACGTTATTTTTTCCTCCCCAAGATGGTTCTTTTGCAGCTGGGCAGGGCACCAATTTCCAGTCGTTCAATGCCCACAGGTCTGCAAAGGAAGAGCCTTTCCTTCTTGCCTTTTGAAGGTCAACTGCAGCTGAAGCTGGAGGATCTACACCTCTTAAGAAAAAAAAATGCTCTCTTTCCATTTCTTTCACTGCCTTCAAACCTGCCCCAAATTAGGTTGTTTCTCTCCCTTCAAGTGGATTTTCCTCTGGATGGTGGTGGTGGTGGGAGTTTCTTCTCTGCAACGCCCTTCGGACGGAGGTAGATACATCCGCAGTTCCTCCTTCACACACTACAGGTCTCAGCGCCCGGCGACACATATTTGGTCTGCTCTGGCAGGATCCCCCCCCCCCCCCCGGGAAGCTGTTGATCAAAGTTTAATCACCTTTTTTTGGGTGCCTGGAAATAACCAGCCACTAATAAGCAAAGAATAAAACCTCCAGGTTTAGGAGCATTCTACCTCTAGCTGGCTGGGGAATTCTGGGCGTTGAAGTCCACACGTCTTAACATGCCCAACTTTGGTGACCTCTGCATTAAACAAAACCTTTCAGGCAGTCTGCTGGTTTTGTATATTTAAAACATCAAGGGAGGAGTAGATTTGTCTTTTTCCTGGGTGTGCCGGGAACCATCTCAAGAATTAGCCAGAAAGAGAGAGAGAGAGAGAAAAAACCACATATATTTTGCCCCAGCTCTTTACTGTCCCATCCAGCCCCAAAGAGGAGTGGGGAGCAGAAATGAGAGACAGATTTGGGTGGGACATTAGAGGGAGCGCCAAGGAGACAGCCAGAGTTTTGGAGAGCGGACTCAGACCCACAAGAATCCCAGAGTTGGAAGGGACCTTGGAGGTCTTCTAGTCCACCCACACACACACACACACACACACCCCGCTCAGGCAGGAATTGGTTGAGGAAGGGGGGGGGAATGTTTTCCCTGCACTGAGCAAGGGAGGGACTAAATGGCCTTCAGGAATCCCTCCGACCTACAACTGCCTTCACTAAAGCACTTTGAATCTCTTCTTGGAGAGATCCACCCCAGACATGAGCCAGGACTTAACTCAACAGGCTGAGTTTGCCAGCCTTCAAAGTGAGGTGGGGAAAACCCAACCTGCCTGTTTTAAGGCACTGGGTGACTGCATCTGTACCGGTGAGATTGCAGCCTGCGATTCTGGACAGGGCAGGTGGAAAATCCGTTCGCATTCTTGCCTTTGCAGGCTGAAGAAGGAAGCCACGGAGGCGTCAGAGAATATCCGAGACATGGAACTGAGAGAAGAATGGCAGGACGACGAATTCCCACGGTAAAGGGGACTCCGTGTTCAAGAGCACCAGTGGTTAAAAAAAAAACATTCCCTTGGCTAGGATTCAGGCAGGCATCTCACTTTTCTTTCCAATTCCTGCTGTTTTTTTCCCCCCCCATCCTTGATAAATAATACCTGCTTAATCTGAGGCTGCTTTAATTGAAGCCAATTTGCAAACTTGCAAACTGTCTATAATGAAAAATATGAAAGAGGGTTTCCAGCATGCGTAGAATCCTAGAGCTGGAAGGTGCCTGAGAGGTCTTCTAGTCCAACCCCTTGCCCAAGGTTATAATCCCCTCGGTAGATTGAATTGTCTGTATAGCTTGACATATTTATTTAGGATTTATACGGCTGCTCACCTTCAGTATAGCTCCATATAGCTATAAAGTCATAATCCAAAGGCTTTCTTTTAGATTTCTTCCTTAAGCCAAAGTTTTGGAGATCAGGATTTATTTTATTTTCTCTTTGACCTTACAGGCCTTTGCCGGAAGACACCTCCGAGGAAGATCTTGAGCCTTCCAGTTCAGAATTGAGTCCAGGTAAGATTCAGGAAAAATACTGCCTTTTTGGGTTGTTGGGGGTTTTTTTGTAGAGCCTCCATTGCTCAAGGCAGTCTACCCCTAACCACTCATGTGTCAAGAGATTGTTTTACAATCCTTCCCTTCTTCTGCAGTCGCCGCCAACACCCTGGAACTCTGTGGCCGGAGACACATGAGGAAGCGTCTCCAGGCCCCGGATCTCAGCGAGGGTTCGGTTAAATCCGGGGAGCTCCCCGAAAGCACCCCGGATGGCAGTTTGGACATCGACCTGGACGAGCTGGAGACGCCGTCTGAAAGCGAGTTCCAAGAAGGCCCGGAGAGCGGGCACGAATTTGAATGGGAAGGTGAGGCCCCGAGTTCGAGTCCCAAGGAAGCAGAACCGGGGGGGGGGGTCGACCTGCCATTAAGATCCTGTCGGCTGGCAGAGATTCGGTCCCTTCCTGGTTTTATTCCGCTGGGATTTGATGCCCGCTTTCCCCGTCTCCCAGATGACCTCCCGCGGGCCAGGCGAGTGGAGGCCAACCTGCCCGAGAAATTCTGCACCGGCCGTGTGGTTGACACAAAGGGTCCCGACGGACGGCTCTGGCGGATCTTCCTGGGAGACGATCATGAGCACAAAGTGGATCTAAGCGCCATCGAGCCCTACACGAGAGTGATCTCCCACGGAGGTAAGCTCATCCCCTGGGAAAGACAAAGGTGGCTTAAATTTGGAACCATCATTCCCGGTTTGTTAAATTGAATGGTGCGGTGGCCTAGGGGTGGAACTCTGGCCTGACAATCAGAAGGCTGTGAGTTCAATCCTAGGTAGAGGCAGATATTTCTCTGGTCACAATGAGAATATATCTGCCGGAACAAAACTCTGCACTGGTGACAGGAAAGGCATCCGGCCAGTAAATACTCAGCTCCATTCAGTTGCCCAGACTCCACCCCGCAAAGGATTATGGGGTTGTTAAAAGAGGAGGAAGGCGTCTCTGACCCTACCAAACAAGGCTGCATGGTCGTCTCATCTTTTTTTCCCCAGGCTATTGCAGCGAAGGTCTGAATGCCATTCTCGTCTTTGCTTCTTGTTACTTACCAGAAAGCAGCATCCCCAATTATCCCTACATCATGGAGAACTTGTTCAGGTAACGTCCACCTGTCCCTCTACCTGAGCTGGGGAGAAGAAGTTGGGAGAAGCACTTTTTTTTCTGGAAAAGAAACCGGGGTTGTTATTGTTTTAAATGTGGTTAGCTAGCCCTCGAATCAGTGAAAAGTGAAGTAAAATAAAAATAATCCTTCGGGCTGATTATCTGGAAAAAAAGGCTGATTTTCCAGCTGAAAATGCAAGTGGCAGCATGTTGAGATTCTGCCATGGGGTAATGCCTGATAAGTGTGCAAACACTTCTCATTTGGGGTGTGGGTTTGTGTGTCAGCTGCCTGCTACTACAAGTTTGCCATGTGATCGTCTCCTCCCGTGAACCGAACCTTGAAAAGGAAATAGGGGCAGAGCCGTCTGTTGTTTTATATACATACAAAAAAGAAAAGAAAGAGGAGAGGGAGAGAGGGAGGGATGAAGGGAAAAAGGAGAGGGAGGAGAGAAGGCAAGAAGGAAGAGAAAGGAAGAGAGAGAGAGAAAGAGAGAGAAAGAAAGGATGGGTGGGAGGGAGGGAAGGAAGGAAGGAAAGGAAAGAAAGGAAGGAAGGAAGAGATAGAAAGAAAAAGAAAGAAAGAAAAAAAAGAAAGAGTGGGAAGAAAGGAAAGAAAGGAACTAAGGAAGAGAAGAGAGGAGAGAAGAGAAAAGAGAAATTATACATTCTCCAGCTATTATCTTTCCATTCGGATTGTTCTGGTGCTGTGGGAGAGGATTAAATTGGATTTTTTTTCTAAGCTAAAACGCAGGAAATGGACTCCAGCCCGTTTTATCATTCCCCACAGGTACATAATAGGAACTCTGGAGCTGATGGTAGCCGAGAATTACATGCTGGTGTGTCTGAATGGCGCCACTTCCCGGAGTCGGTTCCCATCATTTGCCTGGATCAAGCAGTGTTATCAGACAATCGATCGGCGGTAAGAGGAGCCGCTGCCGGGAGCAGCTTCCAAATTAGAGCAAAGAACCCCCCTCCCTCCCCCCCACCCTGATATTTTCCTTTTTTTTCCAGCATTGCATGTGGACCTGGCTTCAGGCTGAGATGATGGTGTTTTTTTTTTTGTTTGTTTTTTTAAAGGCTGCTTTTCAAAGATGAGATCTGCTTCGTGCCTTTCAATGGCCATTTGCAGAAAGGGAGTTTTAGCCTGGCACGAAACGGGGAGGGGAGAAACGTGGCTGGGTTTGGGCATAAATAGCATTTTCAAAGCAGGTCTGCGTGGCTGAAAGATGCCCCCGTCTCTCAGGGACATTAAATAGCAGCACTTCCCCCCCCCCCACCTTTTAATTCTGAATTCTTCAAGGTGAGGCCTGTAGAAATGGATGGGGAGGGGACTTTTCAGCCGCTTTGACATCAAGGGCATTGAATGGGACTCGAGCGTCCGTCTCAAACAACAAAAGGAATAGAAATATGGGGGGAGAAATCATTCTGTACACCGGCAGAAACTATTTCTGTTTTTCAAATGCCTTTTTTTTTTAAATTTCCTCTGCCTTTCCTCCAAGGGACTCAGAGCCCCCGACACAGTGAGGCACATAGGCTGAGCAATTCAGACACGCGTTGGGTATGTCTTAGTCTGGAGAAAAGAAGGACGTGGGGAGATAGAAGAGCAGTCTTCCAAATATTTGAGGGGCTGCCACAAAGAGGAGGGGGTCACCTTACTTTCCAAAGCACCAGAAGGCAGGACAAGAAGCGATGGACGGAAACCGATCAAGGAGAGAAGCAACCTGGAATTAAGGAGAAACTTCCTGACAGTGAGAACAATTAACCAGGGGGACAGCTTGCCACCAGAAGTTGTGAATGCCCCATCACTCACTTTTTAAGAAGAGAATGGATAACGATTTGTCTGAAATGGTACCGGGTCTCCTGCTTGAGTAGGGGGTTGGACTAGAAGACCTCCAAGGTCCCTTCCACCTCCATTACTCTGATATTCTGCGCCAACAGTGAGACAGGTGGTATATAAATTTAATAAACAAACATTTTGATTGTCCCAAGACCACGCACACAGTCGAGGCAATTTAGAAAGTATGGTATCCACAGTTTTACTCAGTTATATCAGCTTAGCTCCCTCGCCAGAGACGAAGGACAAACAAATCCAAGATATCAAAATCCTGTGGCATGGAGTTCCACTGTCGCTTTCCATTTTGTTTTCAGGCTTCGGAAGAATTTGAAATCTTTGGTCATCGTTCATCCCACGTGGTACATCAAAGCCCTGATGACTGTGTTTAAGCCATTTATCAGGTGGGTGTAAGATGCCAAGATGGGCTATGGGCAGCCAAGGTTGATTTGAAGAAAAAAAGACCATTGATGGCAATGCCAAGACAATCACACCCTTCACCAGCCTCCTCTTCCTCTCCGCAGTTCCAAATTCAGCCAGAAAGTGAAGTTCGTAGACAGCTTGGACGATCTGGGCCAAATCGTCCCCCTTCAACAGATCCACATCCCGGCCTGTGTCCAGCAGTGAGTATGGTCTGGTTTTTTGGCCTGTCCAGTTTGTTCCCCTCCTCAAAAGGCCCTCCGGTCTCTGGCTGGAGTGCAAAACTCCCTGCCTTGCAAAGTCAGCCAGAGTGCCCTCTTCACATGCTCTGGGGATACGGACAAGCGTTCCAAAATATGAAGAGCCTCTTTAGGGGCAGAAAGCCCAACCATGGGAGAAAATCCTTCATTCGTGGGCGACCTGCTCAACCGCCAAGGGACAGGGGAAGCCCCAGAGGCCTGCCAATCAGGTCCAGCCACCCTGGGTTGGGGATGATGGAGACTGGAGTCCAGCAGCTTCCAGCCATCTTCCCTCCAAAAAAGGCTTTAACAGGAGAGAAATAAATGGCTTATTCTGGCTACGAAGTTTCAACCTGTTTCCTTTTTCTCTTTCAGGCTACATCAGTCCAGCAGCAACTCCTGAAGCCCCCCACCCCCACCCCCAAATAGCCAGACCGGCTGGATGGCCTCTGGGGACGCCCCCCCCCCCACTCAACGCTTCCCTCTGTCTTGCTATTCTTTGTAAAGGGATGTGAAAAGCAGTCCAAGGCGCATCACTGCCCTCCCCGGAGTTATGGGTCGCGTCCCTATCCTTCCCGTGGTCCACGGACCCCCAGATGCATAGCAAAGCCCCCCCCCAAAGCTCATCGGGGGGAGGGAGACCCTTGGGCGCGGCCGGAGAGGGTGGGGAGGGGGCGGGCGAGGCTGGAGCAATAACCAGGGAGGGAGGGGGGGGGGGGCGGGGGGGGGGGGGGGCGCGGGGCCCGCGGGGGGGGGGGGTCTCCGGGGGCGCCGGGGGAGTGGGGGGGGGGGGGGGCGGGCGTTCCAGCCGCTCCTTTGTTGGCCGGGCCGGTTGCCTAGCGAAGCGCGGAGAGCCCGAGCCGGCGAGGACGGAGCCCCATGGCCCCGGGGCGGGCGCGGCGGCTGGCGCTGGCGCTGGCGCTGCTGCTGGGCTGCGGGCTGGGCGGCGGGCTGGACGACGAGGACGAGGCGCTGGTCTCGGCGCCCCCCGAGCTGCTGGCCAAGCTGCCCGCCGCCGCCAAGGCCACGGTGGCGGCCGGCTACCTCAACCCGTCGGAGGCGGAGGCGGCGGGCACCAAGGAGCTGCCGCTGGTGGCCGCCACCCCGCCGGGGCCGCCCTCGGCCCGCTCCCCGCCCCACGGGACGGCCATGATCGTGGGCGACACGCGCTTCGCCTGGCAGGAGTGGAGCGCCTGGCACTGCAACTGCGCGGCCGGCAGCATGTCCCGCGTGCGCGACATCACCTACGCCCGGCCCGCCGCGCGCCTCGACCCCGCGCAGTACGACCTGCTGCGCTTCCAGCGCCTGGTCTGCAGCTACGCGCTCTGCGCCTGCAGCCGGCCCAAGCGGCAGTGCGACCTGCTGACCCCCGCCTGCGACCTGGGCCAGATGCACCTGTGCGCCTTGCGCGACATCCAGCGGGACCAGGATGAGAAACGGCGCCGCTTCTGGGCGAAGGTCAACCGCGGGCTGAAGGCGCTCTGGCGCAGCCTGAAGGAGGCCTTCCCCAGGGACAAGAAGGTGGGAGCCAGCCCGGCGCTATGCCCTTTCGCCAGCCCCCTCCCCTTGACTGGGGAGCCAATCACGACCAGGTTCCAAAAGCGGAACGAAGGGGCAGCGTTAAAATCTGGGGATCCCGCAGACGTGGGATAGGTCACCACCAGGTGATTTTTTCCTGTGGTTTGTAACCCAGAAATGAGGTCTGCTCCATCCAGGTAGCTTGGCCCCTGAATTAACCCATCCAATTCCCAGAATCGTAATGGAGCCAAGCGGGCTTAAACCACGAAGAAGCAAACCATAGTTTAACTTAACCAAGTGTCAAATACGGAGGTCTCAAATAAGTCCCAGAAGTGCTATTGCAACAATCTTTGCCACCCTGAAATTCCCTTTGACGCTTAACAATCCATCAAAACAGTCTACAAAAGTAAGTGTCCAACCTTGGCCGCTTTAAGACTTGTGGACTTCAACTCCCAGAATTCCCCAGCCAGCCATACATGGGGAATTCTGGGAGTTGAAGTCCACAGGTCTTAAAGTGGCCAAGGTTGGACGCCACTGGTGTACAGTCTCTAATGTGGTATTTTTGTGGCAACGGTCTCCTTCAGCGTTCAGAAACAATTGTTTCTGAACGCTGAATTGTGCACTGAATGCACAATTGAAACACAATTATTCCTAATTTGTAGGGAACGTCCATCCTGTGGTCTCCTTTACCTCCGAGAATTAATTTCAGAATATTTCATTTCCTTCTCCAATTCTGACACCCTCCAGAGTGAGAGAGAGAGAGAGAGGGTGGGTGGAGAAGCTTTTTCTCTTCTTTAGCTCAGATCTGCCCTCCTTTCCCCAAAATCCCCTTTTATTCAGTCTTGGTTTCTGAGTGAACTAACTATGCCTGGGATGACACCTAAGATCCACATTATAAATCCCAGATGGCAAATTGCACTGGCCAAGTTCACACACTCGGTACAACTCAAGCCAGCAAAATATCCTTCCTGAATACCCTCCTGCCTTTCCAAGAAAAACAAATTTGGTTTTTCTGTCGGTAAAGGATAATAGTAACCTTAAAACCCCTGGGGTTGCAGAAAAGCTGTTGAGTCAACTCCCGTCATTCTGTATTCAAGATGCTTTTTGGTTCACTGGTTGAGTTTTCCTGGACCACAAGGGTTTTGCGCAGACCAAAAAGCCTGAATATATATATTTTAAACAACCTTGTTGATAATTGAGGCAGAATAGATGCTCTTTCCCCACTAATCTTTGCAATAGTGTTTTTCCCCCACCTCCCCTGATACTTGAAAAATATTTCAGTCACTTCATCGGTATTTGATGTACATTTTTCCTGGGTCAAAATACTTGTTCAAAACAAGGTCTAAATTGGAGAAAAAAGACAAGGCAAAAAAAGACACGGGAAGGTTTGAACCTTCTCCCTTGGCCAACCTCAATTTCCTGCCTGAACAAGGGTTAGTCTAGAAGACCTCCAAGGTCCCTTCCCACTCATTCAATGAATCAATCACATTATCCAAGCGGGTGGGAATGGATTGCTTCTCAAACCTCTTTTCTTATGTTTTCAGTCGAAAACAATTCAAGTGAAGAGCGGCCACTGACCACGGGTTCAAAAAAACGCCGGAGCAGAGCAGCCTGACTGCGGCAACACCGAGTCGATATCATTCACAAGACCCCTGCCCGAATTTTTTTCCCCTCACAAAGCGAATGAGTTTATTTTCAAGAAATTGAAAGGACCCTTGGTTTGGGCAAAGCATCTGCTTTTTTAGCACGTAGCATTTCCCTCTCTTCCGCCCTAAGTGACCCTTAAAAAAAAAGGATTTTTAGCTTTATTGGGCAAGAATTTTCCAAAGAGGGCCCTTCCCCTCCCCCTTTGTGCTATAAAGACTTAATAAAATGCTGATTCCTACAGCCAGTTTGCTTCTATTGGATCGAAGAGGCGTTTGAGACCATTGGACTACACTTCCCATCCTCCTTGCCTGCATGGCCACCCGGTGGAGGATCATAAGTTCTCCTCCAGTCCCTGAAAATGCCCCTTTTTTTTGCTTCAAAGGAATAAATAACCTGCTATTCTGTGTGTTATCTTTCACTCCAGCATCAGAAATGTGTCTCTTTTAAAATATATCTATATATATCTATATTCTACGTATTCACCCTGAAGCCTTTTCTCTTTTGTCTGGTGTGTTCATTTCCTTCCGTTGCAAATTTCATTTATTACATTACAGCCAGTGAACAGCAGCTCCTCTTCGGTCCTAAATCTGCTGTTTCTTTTCAAAAGCAGCTCCCCTCCCTGAATAAATTCTAAATAACACCTAAGGAAGAAAGTCACGGTAGCGTTCGCACGTTTTCCTGGCCAAGGAGCAAATTTAGGAAGGATGGGCTTGTCTGAATTCCTGTTAAAATGCCCTCTCAAAAAAGCAACAACCACCCCAACTCAAGAGTCTCCTTTGCCATTTAATTTCGTCTTTCCAAGCATACATTACACTCTGTGCAAACGAGGGAGAAACATATCAGAAATAGATTGCATAACTCTTTTGTTGCACTTAGCCTAGAAAACAGGGTTTGTTTTTTTTTAAAAAAAAGTCCAAGCCAGCACAATACAGCTCTCCCTTTTTCCCAGATTTCAGTGTCTCAATTGCAACATTATATTCAAATAATATATTTTCTCCTTCCCTTCACACACACACATTTTCTTGTTTGCAAAAAGAAGAAAGATAATTTTCTGGCAAATAAAAAGACAGGCGAACAGCCCAGCTATTCTTTTTCCCCAAAGCAATCATTTTTAACCCCAGACCAGCTGGGAGGGAAAAATAATAATAATAAACATGGCAAAAGTTCTATTTTTTTTGTGTGTGTTTTTTTGAAACATCGACCCATCAGCTAAATTTTTGGAGTGATCAAAAAAAGAAAGAAAGATGCTTTTCAGGTAAGTTAAAATATAGATCCCCTCATCCACTGCCAACATGTGGTAGGAATAATGGACATTGCAATCCTAAAGCCCCAAAGATTAAAAAATTTGGTAGCCAAACAGTCGTTCTGCTCGAAATAATCTAACTTTTGCTTGGTCAGCAGACACAGGAAACAAAGAGGAGAAAAAATGGACACCTTTAATTTTACACCTAGCTGTTTTCGCACCAGGAAAAAAGGGGAAAAAAATATCAGAGTTTATTGGCTGCTGAAGGTTTTCTCTTCAAGAGCTGACCTGCAACCCTCTGTAGTCCCTTAATTTGGGGCAACCGGATGGAGATGAAGACACAACGGAAGAGACAATTGTGTGGGTTTTGTTGCAGTGGGAATCCACTCAGGAATCCCAGGCTCAGCCGGATGGCGTCATGTGGACTGCAACTCCAGTTTCAGAGACAGAGAATGAAGAAATCCCACAGCGAGGCGGAGAAACCTTCCACAACCTCACACGTCAGGATGCTGAAAAAGCTGACCCTGGAATTTGAAATGTATATATATTTTTTTCTCCTCCTACAGGCTGGACCGTCTACAAGTCTTTGTTTTGGGTCTGGGGGTGCCTCGTTCCTCCTTTTAAAAAACCCAGGTCCCTCGTTGAGCGAGAAGGGGAGCGCGGGAGAATCGAACCTGGGAAACAAGTATTGAAAGCAGGATCTCCACGCTGCGGCCTCCACGTTTTTAACACAAGTCTGTCTGGAGGAAAGAGCCACATAATCCAGGGTTATACAGAGGTGGAGCTTTCAGACAAGGGTCAGCAACTGAGCTTCCTCCAGGCAAAGCAGTCTCCATGTGAGATTCTCTCCAGCCCCATTTTACAAGCTTGCAGGGATCTGGTTGATCCTGGTTGCAATTTTGCCCCGGTCCCTGGCTGCTCCATCTGCGGTGGGGATGGGGGGGAGCGTCAATCCGCGAAGGAAAGGAGGCTGAGAGCGAATTCCTCCTAGCTTGCAGGAATTTGAGTCACGGAGCCCCTCGGCTTGTTTCTGGACCTGTGGGGGTGGATTTCCCTGGATCCCCATTTTTGTGCCAAGAGCAAAGGGATGATCAATTTAGGGCAGAAAAGTTTGCGAGGAAAAAAGCAGCCCACAGTCACTTCGAACCGCGAGATAGGCAACAAATAAATTGGATAGTTAGACAAAGAACATCTGGCTGACTCTGTGACAATCCATAATAATAATAATAACAACAACAACAAATATCACAAGCACCGAATTGCTGTTGGTTTTTGAACTCTGCTTCCTGGAAAGAATCGGCAGCTGCTGGCTGGCACCAGGAAGGTTGCCCACCCTGTTTCAGCACCCACCGCCTGGGCTTGGGGGGCCCTGTAAGGAGTCCGGGATGAGATTTGCCAGCCTCCCTTTGGAGGGATCGTTCTGCAAGATGGCGGCCACACCCATTAATGGCACCCAAAATATCTCGCATGGTAGCCAGGACACGTCCGTAAGAATAAAATCCAGTGGAGAAACTTCAGTGAAAACACCAAGAATAATTCGTTCCGTCTGATGCTTTCTTCAGTTTATAAAGGAGCCAAAACGTATTGATGATTTGTTATCATGGAAGTGTTGTGGATCAATCCTGGGTAAGAAACCTACGATTCTTTGCAAGGTTGCCCAAGCAAGATTGTCCCCGCTTTGCTCGCCAAGGCAGGCTGGGGGGGGGGGGTTTCTGCCAAGCAAACAATGCCAGGAAAAAAAAACAAGTCAACTGGGCATGTGCAGAGTGATGGATGTTGGGGCTGTTGCTGTTACAAATTTTTTTTTAAAAAAAGGATAAGTTATGCGGTGACTAATTCACTCAACGGTTTTGAGTTTGGCAACCCGTTTCGACAAGACCAAACAGGAAATTCAAGTGAGGCAGAGATGCGTTTTTTTTTTCTTTTAAGGTTATTTTTGTAATTAATTAGCCTGTAAAAGAAAAGAAAAAAGAGAGGAGGATAAACATGAAAGGCATTCTACCCATACGTTGGCAATAAGTATAATTATCAAAGAGGAAACATTTGAACCCGCCTCACAGGGAGCTACCCCGAAGCACGATGGTCCTCCTGAGGATTTAAAAGATCTCCTGGATTTGATCAAAATGGATCCCCCCAAAATGTCTAACTTTCTGCCCCAGCTGCCAAATCCTTCCTCCTGTCAATGATCACTTATTATTTTATCATATTAAATGTTTACAAGGTGACTCTGGTGGCTTATAAGCTATAAAAAAACAGGTAAAAAAGTAATTCAAATATCAACACATAAAAACTACACAGATTAAAATCTTATTTTTTAACAAATCTCCCAATTCTTCAGGTTGACGCAAACCTCGGTGGCACCTTTTGCGGGCCCAGGCTGGGACTAAGACCCCGCTGCAAATCAAGAGGCTAGTCCTCATTGACCGGGGGAACTGTTTCTGAAGTGGCTTTTGCAATTCATCCAACACTTACATGGAAAGGGACGAGGGGAGGTTATAAAATGTGGGAATTGCTCCAAGGTCTTTCTCGCCCGCATTTGGATCGCATTTCCTGGACGGCTCCTGACTGCAAGGAAGAGGGGAGAGAAACGAGGGAAGAGGAGAATGAAGGCTGTGCCACAGCTTTTAAACCGGCCTCCCCGGAAGCAAAGACGAGTGAAGCCGTACCACGGCAGGGAGACCCTCGTTCACCATGTCGCCGGAGCCGATGTGCGTGAGGTGGATGAAATTCATGGGCTCGCCAATCATGCTGCGGTCGATCCGCCGTCTTTTCCTCTGCTGCTGTGGAAGATGGAACCAGGGGAGATTCGGTGAGGGGAGGAAGGAGGAAAGGAAGACCTCTCCAACCCCAGCTGGCACCTCCGTGCCCGGCAGAGGCCTTCCCTGGGATGGGAGACCTAACCCGAGGTCGCCGGAAGCAGAACTCACCGGCTGCGGTTTCTCCACCACACAGCAGCCCAGCTTGTGCCAAAAATCACTCATGGTTAGAGTCGCTTCCAGCTTTCTGCCTGGTGGGTGCCAAGGACTTGCAGACAGGCGATTAGGACCTCTTGTCCAGCCAGAGATGCCGCTCGGACGGTGCCGTGTGGTTTGGAGCCTGGAGAGAGCTTCAGATGGCGAGGAAAGCGATTTGGATGCCGATGGCTGAAAAACACCTCTGGAAGAAAGAGAGGATAAGAATAATGTCAGAAGAGGAGGAGGAGGAGGAAAGAGGAGGAGGAGGAAGAGGAAGAAGAAGAAGAGGAGGAGGAGGAGGAAGAGGAAGAAGGAAGAAGAAGAGAAGAGGAGGAGGAGGAAAGAGGAGGGGGGTGAAGAAGAAAAAGAGGAAAAAGAGGAGGAGGAGGAGAGGCGAAGAGAGAATGATGACAATACTGAGTAAAAATTAGGGGAAAGAAGGAGAAGAAAGAGGAGGAATTGGTGTTAAATAAAAGTTAGAGGAGAGGAGGAGGAGGAAGAGGAAGAGGAAGAGAGAGGAGGAAGAAGAGGAGGAGGAGAGGGGAAGAGAGAATGATGACAACACTGAGTAAAAATTAGGGGAAAGAAGGAGAAGAAAGAGGAGGAATTGGAAGAAATAGTGTTAAATGAAAGTTGGAGGACAGGAGGAGGAGAAAGAGGAAGTGATGAGGATGAGAGGGGAAGAGAGAATGACGACACACCGAATAAAAATTAAGGGAAAGAAAAGGAGAAGGAGGAATTTAACAGTGTTAAATAAAAATGAGACGAAAGGTGGAAGAGGAGGGAGGAGGAAGAAACGGCATGAAATAAAAATGGGAGGAAAGGAGGAAGAAGAGGAGGAGGAAGAAGGAAGCCGTAACATCAACAACTAGCAGACTTTTTCCCCTGGGCCCCTGGGGAAGGTCATCCCGCTGAGCTCAGGGGGGCTGCTCTGCCGTTGCCCCCCAACCTCTGGGAGGGTGAAGGAAGAGGAGCAGAAACTGGCCACTCCACCTCCGCCACTGCTGCCCACGCTTGCAAGCAGCTTCGGGGAAGAAGCCCACGGATCCCCCCCAGCTTTTCTCTTTCGAAACGCGGCCTCAGAGGACGCGTCACCCTGGGTGTTGCAGACGTCGTGCCTCGGTTTCCTCTCACAAGGTTCAGGGCTAGACGGAGGAGGGGGAGGGCAAGAGGAGGAATAGTTTGGGTTTTTTTTTTTTAAATCATTTCAGATAACAGGAAACCACAAAGAGTTTCCATAGAAGCAGACTAGAGGCATTTAAAAAACAAAAATCACAGACGCACGACGACTCCACTTCCTCCTTGTGAGTTAACCTTGCCGGAAAGTCCTTAGAGGTGACCTGTTCACACCTTTCTCCTTATTATTATGATTATTTTGTGAAAGTGACGACAACCCCTTGGGAATTTCGCTTGCGAGAGATCTGGAAAGACAGGAGCCGCCTTGCTTAGGCTGCTAAGATTGGAGGGGCCCCTTGAGGGCATGAAGAATGACCCTCCCAACTCGAGAAACGAACTCAAGTGACTTCTGGGGACCACGCAAGACACGTCCACGTGTTTTCCTAGCAGCAACACCGAAGCGGCTGGCCAACGTTTTGCAACCTTCCAGCTTAAACCTCCAGCCCTAAGTTCCTGGTGGCCTCCCATCCATCCCTGCTTGGTCTTCCCGAGTTGCTAATCGATCCTTCCTGGGATCCAACCCAGTCTGGCCTCCTGCCCTGCTCCCCGGATCAAAGGGGCGACCCTCAAAATGAGGATCTGGACAGAGTTAAAGGGGAGCGAAAATGCTGGATTTTTTCTACCTTTGGGGTTTTTATTTTTCTTAAAATAAGAAAAAATAAGAAAATGAAATAAGAAAAACCAGGGTTTGGCTTTGCAGAAAGAGGCCTGGAGGCTAAAACATATAAAGAACAGAATTGCTGGAATTGGGTCTGGCCAATCTACAGAGAAGAAGGACTGATAGCAGCCTTCCAGTATTTGAGGGGCTGCCCCAAAGACGGGGGGGGGGGGGTTCAACTTATTTTCCAAAGCACCTGAAGGCAAAGCGAGAAACAAGGGATGGAAACTAATCAAGGAGAGAAGCAACCTGGAATTAAGGAGAAATTTCCTGACAGGGAGGACAATTAACCAGTGGAACTGCTTGCCACCAGAAGTTGTGGGTGCTCCAACACGGGATGCTTTTAAGGAGAGATTGGACAGCCACTTGTCTAAAAGGGTAAATAGGGTCTCCTGCCTGAAAAGGGGGTTGGACTAGAAGACCTCCAAGGTCCCTTCCGACTCTCTTATTCTGTATTCGGCAGGACAGGAGAGGTTTTCCCCGAAGGATCTCCCCGCAGAGAGCAAAATGTGATTTTCCACCATGGGGGCTGGTCTGCTTCCAGCTGCCGATGAGACCCCCGTCTGAGGCGAGAGGCACGATGGGAGCACAGGATTAAAGTTTGCAGCCAAACAGCTGCCCTGCCAGAAAAAGTGACTCAGCGAACCGACGGATACGGCTGGGCTGCTGGGGTGGGGGGAGAGGGCTTTGCAAAGGCTCTCAGGTTATGACGACCTTCCCAGCCGGCTTTGGACAAACAAGGTCGATGGGTTCAGGACCCCGTGACTCGCTCAACAACCGTGGCCCAAACTTCATTATGAGAACGAAATTGTGATGTGCTTTTTAAAGTTTTTGACCACAGGCAAAATAATCGCAACCGAGAAAATCAAACACGGATGTTTTAACCGTTGCTTCACTTAATGACGGAAGCTCCCGGTGTCCTGTTTTTGGTCGTACGTCGAGGACTACCCATAATTCTGAAAGGAATTCAGGCAGTCCTTGAATTACGACCACAATGATGGAGCCCGTAGTATCAGTTGCTCAGCGAGATATTTCTGAAGTGAGTTTTGCTCCGTTTTACGACTTTTCTTGCCGCTGTTGTTAAGCGAATCACCGCTGTTGTTAAGTGAGTCACATGGTTGTTAAAAGCGGCTTCCCGTTGACTTTGCTGGTCAGAAGGTCGCAAAAGAGTGATCACGTGACCCTGGGACACTGCAACAGTCATAAGTACATGCCAGTTGCCGAGCGTCTGAATTCTGGTCCTGTGGGGATCCTGCGATGGTCGTAAGTGTAAAAAACGGTCCTAAGTGCCTTTGTAACTTCAAACGGTCACTAAATGAACTGCACAGAGCCTGGAAGAAAGTGGCCAAATAAGGAATCTGTTTTTGCACAATGGGATGGGCCGGGAAGGTAAACTGCTTGCACGCACCTGTGTAAATCGGGGTGGCTTTGCAGTGACTTTTCCCCGCCTGTTCTGTGCCGCATTGCAGCCGGAGCAAAATAACCATCCTGGGCGTTCGGGGCAGAGGCAACGGGGCAAGACCGAGCCTGCCCCAGACGTCGTCGGTGGAGGCTTGACTCATCCTTGACTCACCACCCACCTGGGCCTGCTGGAACTGCCGAGAAAGCAGGAAAAAGGGAAGAGAAAATTCCCAGAGCTTTTCCAGCCTCCAGCCGGAGAGGAGAAGAGAACGAGGGGTCCAAAAGTGGAAAGGGGGGTGCTAGCCATGTGCCCCTGATGCCACTTGGGGGCCGAAGATCGCTTCCTTCAATCAATGAATGAGCTCATCGCTCCAGAAGGCAGCTTCCTGCAACTGAGGGCTTAGACTACAGGCCCCATCCTCCCCATGCAGGACCGGACCTGAAGAGGACCTGCAATGGCCCTGCCTGTGTGAGAAAAGTGACTTTCCCTCATTTTCTGGCATGTTTTTGCATCTTCTTAAGTCTATTTTCCTGCCCCGGCTTCGCCTGGTGGTATCCTTTCCACGTAGAAACCAAGAAAACGCTGATCCGATGGCGAAAGTTTCCCTCCTGGTGAAATTTCAGGATGCATCTTCAGAGAGGCTTTGCTTTTATCTTCTTCCATCATTCCCCCCACCCCCACCTTAAAACATCTTCCCTCTAAAATTTAACTTCTGGACTTTTCATGCCCTCGAATACCACAAATTGCCATCAAGCAGAAATCTTCCTGGTTTTGCACCCGGCAACCGATCAGGCGCAAACACGGGACGTGTGCAAAAACTCACGCGGGTGTCTCTGGGCGCAGTGCACACCTACCAGCACCCGGGCTTGGGAAGAAAGCAGGCGTGACCAGCCAACCTTGCAAAAATTTGCACGCTTGTTTCGAAAGGAAGCGATGGCCTCCTGTGTGCAGCCGGAGGAAGCTGTGATTTTTGGTCAAGTCTGTGGCCTCTTCGCCTCATGAGGGCCAGAAACATGAAGCACCTTCGGCTGGGCAAATTAAAGCAGGTCATTTTTAGGGAAAAGAGAGCACCCCCTGCCTCCTGCAAATCATTTTAAAACGGGGGGGGGGACGTCGAGCTAGGATAAAAAGTTCCGTCTTTGATCCACAGTTTTAACCCCCCCAAATACCTCAGGGTCCAAGCCGTTGAAAATTCAAAGTTAATGATTTACCAAGCAGACATCCAGAAAATGTAAAATTTCTGCCAGATAAAATTCCAGTGTTTGCTAACTGCTGTGATTCACCAGAGCCAGTTCTGAGAGTTTTCTTGACAACAGCCGAGAAGAAGTTGACCACAATTGCCTTTTGGGATGTTTTTACAGCTTTCAGGTCTAAGCCACAAGCCTGGCATCTCCTGGTGGCCTCCCATCCGCGTTCAGGTCTGCACTCTCCTCCTGGAGCAATCACGAGGGTCAGCCAGGCCTGGTCAATCCATTTCTCCTGCATTTGTGTAAGGAGACCAAAGGAAAATCCTGTCCCTCTAAGCAAAGCCTTGAATATTCTCCATCAGGAAGGAGGCCCTTTTTTCCAGCTAAGTGGAAAAAGCCCCTAGACTCATCCAGCCCCACACTTCCTCTTCTTCTTCCCCAGAGATATGCACATTTTCTTTGAAAGCCGTGGCCATCAAGCCATCCTGTTGGTCAATCTGTTTTCTTTTTCAAAACCCAGCCCTTACTCAGAGGCGAGTTGCAAAACAAACTTTTCTTCGCCAGCTTCTCTAAGCCGGGGCTCCTGAACCACCGACGGGGATGATGGGAACTGGAGTGCGTCAGGAACACCGGCATAGAGCAACTTCTCAGCCACGGTCCCAAGAAAACGGGACCGCCAGGGGAAGCTGGTGACGAGAAGTGCCCCTTTGCGTCTTCTCCAGGCCACGGAACCGCTGTGGCTTTGGTGGGTTGACGCTCTCAGCCAGGTGTGCCATCCAGGTTCGGGAGAAGGGCAGCTAAAGCCAGATGCCAACGCCTGGCATGGGATGAATGAGAGATATTCCCCTTACAAGATGCAGGAGATGCTCTGGAGAGCGCCAAGCTTTGAGATGGACAATATTTATCTAGATTTGCTCCGGAAAAAAGGGAATACCAGTGGCCACGTAGGGTTTTTGTGGTCCTCCTGAGGCGGCTTCCTTCCCGCGTAGCTCGGCCTGGAGTTATTTTTTCCCTCCTGGCCCAATGGCTTTATTGTTTCCCCAGATTTATGGACTGTTTTCCCAGCCCCATTGTCAGCTGCAGGCTCCCTTCCGAAGGCCGTTTATTTCCCACAGGCCGGACGCCAACTCTGATGCCGGCTTGCAGGAAGCATCCCGCCACACAGCAGTGCAAATGTAGAGCCTCCACGACAGGAGACAGTTCACCTGCAAATATCTTCGTTTGCTTAGCACAGAACAAAGACCCAAAAATGAATTTTCTGTCCCAGCTGGGAAAAAATCTCCCAGGGCCGTCCCGTCAGAGGCAGCCACGCAAGCTGGGCATCTCCAAGGCTTTTCCTGCCAGGTGGAGAAGCAAGACGTAGCAGCACCCCATGCCAACATCCCTGTTTGTTTGTTTTCCCCTCCAATGATTTAAACAAGGCTGGTTTTTCTGCCGGCCGGTGGCATCCAGCATGGAAAGGTTGGGCTCCCGATCGCCCCTCCGGCCAGGAAGCGCCCAGCCTCCCTCCTGTGCCCAGAACAAAAGGCCCCTTTGTTGCAAGGAGAAGGCGGAGAGGAAGATCTGCGCGGCTGAAAAGGAAAAGAGCCTTGAATCCCATCTGGAGAGGGGGGAGAATTTCCTCCTCGCACAGAAGGAAGGATTGTCGGCCGTCTGGCCCTCCCAGCGTCTGGCCGGCCAAGTCATCTTTGCCCCCGGTTGATGTCACAGGCGCAGCCATGTTTCCTCAGCAGCTCCAGAGAAGCGCTTGGCTCTCCCGAGACATTTTCTCGCTAAATCCGGAGCTTCCTGCGAGGCCCCCATCCCAGCACAAGCCAGGTCTGACTTTGGCTTGTGAGATAAGGAGGATTCAGCCCACAGTGGGCTAGAACTGTCCAATGCGCTAAACTAGAATTCGTAGTTTGTCTAAGCCACAAGGCTGAGTTCAGAGCTAAACAGACTCTTCTTAACTTAGCACCATGCACGTTTTTTTTTTCCTGTGGGGCAGAATTCTTTTTTTTCTTCTTTTTTGCAAACTGTGCATGCAGGAAAGGGCTCCTACGAATGCACGGGGGTCTTTTCTAGAAGCTCGCCTTGAAATACCCCAAATTCCCCCACGGGTTTTTTTCGCTTGCAATTTGTTGCATTTCCCAGAATTCCACAGCTGGCTGGGGAATTCTGGGAGTTGAAGTCCACCAGGCTTAAAGTTGCCAAGGTTGGAGACCCCTGCATCAAGGTGTGTGTGTGGCACGAGTGGCTGAGTTATAAAAAATGTTGGAAACCCCGAAATGAACCCCAAAGCAGGTCCAGCGGGCATCCCGTCCCTGGCCACGAAGTCTTGGCTTTGAGAGGAAGATGAGGCCGAGGGATTTTGAGGGTCCAGGAATTGGGGTGGTTGAGAAAGAGCCCCCGAAGAGCAGAAACATTTCAATTCACAGCAGAGGCAGCCAGTCCTTGGATAGCGACCGAAGCTTTACCAGGGACACATTTAAAGGTCTCTTAACTCCATCCCCTCTGACACCCCAAGTTTTTCCCCACTGTTTTTCCCCTCTTCCCACTGCTGAGCTGCTCCCCACCCATCCCCGAGTCAGCAGAAAGCTGCACGGGCACGAAATGGGCTGTCATCCTTGCAAGACGGCTCCCTGCCTTTTCTCCAAAGCTTGGCAGATTTTGCACCCGCCTCTTGAACTGTCCTGGGACGAGGTTGGGGAAAGGGAGAGAGATCCTGCTTCACCCCAAACACTCCAACAAGATAAACCCCCCCAATGAGTGTTGGGTGGGGAAGCCAGGTTAAAATCTGAAATCTTATCCTGGTTTAGAAGTTTGCAACCCTTGGAGAGATTAATAAATCGTGGTTACTCAGGGACAACATTTTAGTCTGGCCAGGAGGGCATAATTTTAGGCTGGCCCCCATCATTTGGGAACTATCCACCCAGCAGAGAGAGGCAAGGGCTGGGGAGGATGGGGTATGGAGTCCTGGGTCAGTGAAGAGTAGAAAAACCCAGTTCACCCGTCTGTTGATTCTTCTGTGTGCCCCACTAAGAGGGAATCTATTTATAATCTATTTCAACCAATCTGGCTGAATTTGCCCCATGAATGAATCGCGGAATCTCTCAGCCTGGCTCACCTCGCAGGGCTGTTGTTGTCGGGGTGGGGAAATTGGAGGAGGATTCGATATGTTGGTCATATCTTGAGTTATTTGCAAACATAATCAAGATTTGGGAAATGCCAAGGCTATGCTGTAAAGACTGTTTCAAATTGCAACTGGATGTGAATTTCAAATAAATAAATAAGAAATTAGTAGCCACACCAGTCCAAACAATAAACAAACTTCCTGCCTAGAAAAGTGGTCTGTGAGATAGAAACACCCAGCCATGGCTTGCAGCAGAGCACGTGAGGACGTTTGCAGTGGAGACCCCTGAGCCCTTGCACATACATGTTACATGCATGTAAACGCATGTAAGAGAGGACACTTTCACACTTGCTTGTACAGAGGTGGGAGGCAGAGAAAAACAAAGCAGTTGGACAATTTGGGAAGATTTCCTTGCAAAATATCCATTAAGATCTCAACACACAAACACACACCACCAATGATGGCATTTGGGGGGGGGCGGACACCACAATGCCCCTTTTAGACTGTGAATCTGTCACTAGGAAGGTTTCCTTCTTCAGTGCCAAAAAATGTTTTTTTTAAAAAAATCTATTCTTTCAAAATCAAAATTTCTCAGGATAACGTGTCTCTGGCCTTCTCCACCCGCAAGAATGCAGGAATTATTTTTATTTATTTTTTAAACTGTGATTTGTGCACAACTCAGGAGCAGTGCAGGTACTTCCAGCCTACCTCAAAACAAGGCTGCAGATGGGAAAGAAGCCAGGTGGAGGGGCCGATGGGGGTGGGCGGGTGGGTGGGCTGCAGAAGGAGGCATGTGCGGCCCTGAAGACTTCCAGCCGAGCTGTTCCCTCTCTTGAAGCGGCCGGAACAATGGGGCTGCTTCTGAGTCAGAGCCGTAAAAGGAAATGCAGAGAGGGGGGGAAGGGAGGAACATAAGGGTTAAGCAGAAAATTAAACTTCCTTCGCAGAATTTTGCAAGACTTCTTTCCAAGAGAGGTGAAAGACAGATGTTGGGGGGAAGGAGAGGGGGATGGGCTGGGGATGGGGGGGGTTGGGTACTAACACAAATATAGGTCCTTTCTAAAATAACAGAACAATACACAAATCATAACTGTAATCAAGAAGGAAATAAAAGTTGCATTCACACCACCGCCATACCGCAAACTTTTCTAACTAGAAAGGAAGGGTGGATCCAAGAGGGGGGGTGACTCGATGTTCCCAGCACGAGGGTCTCCTGGAGGGACCACAGGGCCCATCCTCCACATCCACTGGGCCCAAGGAGGAGGCCTCCGTGTGCTTCCCAGCCGTTAAAGAACCAGCCGTTATAGGGAGGGGAAAAAATGAGATTTTTAAATTCAGCCAGCCCTTTGGAAATCTCCTCTCCCTCTGGCACAAAATTAGCCCCCCCCCAACATCAAGCGAACTTTGGTGGGGCGGCCAATAAGCCTTTTCATGTATTAATTGGATTTTTCACGCTGCCACAGTGCTGGTGAAGCATGAAAAAGTGTTCCAGAAACTGAAACAAGTTTTTTTTTTTTTTTGGACCATAAAAGCATTTCTCAAAGCGAGCTGGGTTTCATTTCGCCAAAGTGCCCCTGGCCCCAGCCGGTTGGCGACAAGGAAAGGGAAATTAAAGCATGGTTCTGGGGGAGGGGAGTCTTGGGGGAGAGAAACAGCCCCTTTTCCTATCTCCCTCATTCCTTCAGCTGAGACACTCCAATCCTTCTTCTTCCAAAGTGTCAGAGAGTTTTTTGAAAAAAAAACCACTTTAGATCTTTGCATGGAAACAGAGTCTGAGATGAATGGGGCCTTTCTTCCCTGGGGCAGGAAGAAAAGAAGAAATTAAACGCATGGGTAACACCCAAACCTCTTGCCCTGAATCAATGGGACGGTTTTTTTTTCTTTCTTTCTTTCAAAAGTGCCAGTCTGGGCAAAGACGCCATTCCAAAGCCAGAAAAGACCCTGGTTTCTAAAAAGGGAATTAAAATAGCTTTTTCTTTTTTTGGTTTTTGGCCTTGTCTCGCCAAATGTGTTTGACCCAGGAGGCTGGGGGGGGGAGGAGGGTCGTCAGAAATCTCAGGTGCGGGAGAAGAAACTCACCTGAATTTTCCGAAGAGAAAGGAAGATAAAGGAAGAGAAAGGAAGATTTCGGAGGTCCGGAAAAAGTTTTGCGCAAAAGTTTTGGGAGAACTTGGAAGCCACGAGAAGAAGGCGAGAAAAGCAGGCGAGGGTCTCCCTGCCTCCCCCCCGGGTGGTCCCGAGACCCCGAGCGCCCCTCGCCCCTTACCTGCCCAGCTTGGGGGTCCCGGGACGGCGCCTTCCTCGGCGGTGCCTCCTCTTCCTCCGAGCGCGCCAGCAATCCAACAGGGAAAGCTGCTCTCTCCGTGGGAAAACGAGGCTCCGCTCGGCTCCTCCGCCCTCCCGCTGCCGCTGCTAGAAGGAGGAGGAAACGCTCCGAAGGATTTCAACAGGCAGACCGAGGAACGCCGCCTCCCGCCCAGCCACACACCCCGCGATGAGTCAACCCACAGCCGGCCCTGGACGCGCCGGAGCGGCTGCTGCCAACTCTGGCGGCCTTCGGGCATTGCAGCCCCTCGGCCGGGGGACCTCCAGATGCTGGAGGGTTTAGTGGGGCTGGGGGTCCACCCTCCTCCCCCCCGAGGCTGCTGGGCCAAGAGGCGAGGGTGCGGGAGGGGGGGCATATCCTGGCTTGGTGCAGTGCCCAGTTTGCAGATCCCCCCCCCGGCTAAATGTGGCTTTGGGGGCAGAGAGAGGCTGGGGTCATCCCCAGATGGAGGTTTCTTAAGAAGAGACTGGACAGCCCTTTGTCTGAAAGGGCGTCGTTAGGGTCTCCTGCTTGAGCAGGGGGCTGGACTAGATGACCTCTGGGGTCCCCCCCAGCTCTGTTATTCGATCTCTTATTGTGCAGCCCAGCCTCATAAGCGGGGATGACACCAACGGCCGAAGGATTTGTGGTGGCTGTCACCACACGGTTTTAGGAACCGAATCAGCTCCGCCAGACAGGGGGCTCTTCCCCCCCTCCCCCAGGCATGGGGGGTTAGTCCTCGATTTACGACCACAATGGAGCCCCACGTTTCTGTTCAGAGACGGTTGTGAAGTGACCTGAGTAGCATACACACACCACCTCCACCCCAAAGCTCTTGAACTCGCACACCGGATTGCAGGGAGTTCCACAGGCTAATTTTTCCACTGGGAGGACCAGAGGAGTCCAAGGCTGCCCGGCACTCAGAATCGCAGGTGAGCCCCCCCTCCTTTGTGGGAGAGGGCAAACCAGCCGCCCACCACCCTTTCCCCCATCTCCCCCTACTCTGTTTCTTGGAAGCCAATGCAATCAATGCCTCCTTCCCTAGAGACTTCACCCCCCCCCAGGCCCCCCTCCCCATGCCCCCCCTCCAGGTCCCCATCGCTGCTTTTCTTCCTTCCCTGGAAATAGCCCTTCCAGCTGATTCATTGGCTGGGTGGCCGATGGGGGGGAGGACCCACCCGCCAGTGAAATCTCTTTCCAGGAGGGGCTGCATTGCAGCAAGAAAGGAGGGGAGACGGACACGCCTGGCAGGCCCCCCGCCCAGCCCAAGGCAGCCAGACGCAGCTTCCCCGGTAGCCAAGCAGCATCTTCTGAAGAGACACACGGACAGATCAGTTCTCTTTCCCGGATCCCACCTAGAAGGAGGTAAGGCTGGGGAGAAACAGGAGGCACCCCAAAGGTTAGGTGAGATGCCGGGCGAGCCGTTGCATGCAGGTTATGATTCATCGATTCCACCTTGCAAGGGTTGAGCTGCTCAAAAACCCTGGGCATCTGGGGATGTGATCAGGTATTTCAGATTATATTCATTTCTGTTGCCAGGAAATCTTGGCATACTGTGGTATTGCTGTGCGTGAACAGATGATGCTATATTAGATATTTTTTCTAGGTTATTCCCAGCCAGCAAACTGTGGCCTAATGTGATTTTATATGATATAATATTGAATATTATATTGTATTATATTACACCAGTACATGGTGTGCTCTCTCTCTCTCTCTCTTTCTCTCTCATCTCTATCTATCATCTATCTGTCTATCTATCTATCTATCTATCTATCTATCTATCTATCTATCTATCTATCTATCTATCTTCCTTTCTAAGTTACTATAGATCCAGAAAACCCTGACACAATGTAATATATAATTTCATTTCATTTTCCTATTTCTTAGCAACCTTATAGCTGAAACCCTTGTAAAACTGTATTATTGTCACACAATTTTATATGCCATAATGTTTCAAGGATTCCATTTTTTTTTTAATTGCCAGTTTCTTCCATCTTGTCAGAGAGCTGGAGCATAAATAAATCTGATGGAGACATGAGCCCCTTTATACATCTTTTTAAAGCCCAAACCTCAGTCCTTTTAACAGCCGCCTTGTTTTTTTCTCTCTAAAATCAGTTGGGAGAATTCAGTCCCACCTACCCCCAAGGGAGAGGGGATTTAAAATTTTAACCATTCCCCGTCTCTTTTCTCTTCATTAGGGCACATGCCTTCCTTTTTCATATTGCCAAGTCATTCAGCCATCTCTCTACCGCCAGGAGGGGTAAAATAATTCTCCAAAAATGTTTCCAGCACACAAATAGAGAGATGCAAATATATCTCCTTCCGTACAGGCTGCTAAAGATGCTATATTTAAAGAGGACAGATGTCTTGAGTAATTTCATACTCGCCACCGAGCTCCTCGTTCACAGCCTGCCCATCCTGGGTAAAATAAACCTTGCCCAGATTGGCTTGGAAAAGTCTTCATTAAGGGCCAGAGGGTTTTGCGGAGGAAAGGAAGAGGGAGGGGGCAGAGATGGTGGCAAAGAGGGTCTCCTAGGAAGGGGGGCCAGAAGGGAACCAGGCTGGCAAAGCAGCCACCCCAAAGAAGCAGGCCTGTGTCTGGGGGGATGCACGCAAGGGAAGAGAGGAATAATTATTGCAGAAAAATCTTCCACCGAGCCAAGGCAGGTCTTGCAGAGCAATTCATACAAGGAAGGAAGGAAGGAAGGAAGGAAGGAGGGTGGGTGAAAAAGATGGGGTGAGCAGAGGACTCTGGGCGGCTCACAATTCAGAAATGTATACAGGTAGTCCTTGACTTACAAGAGCTCATTTAGCGACCGTTTGAAGTTACAACCATTTATGACCATTTTTCACACTTATGACTGTTGCCACATCCCCAGGGTTGTGTGTGTGTGATCAAAATTCAGACGCTTGGCAACTGACTCGTATTTATGACGGTTTCAGGGTCACGTGATCCCCTTTTGCGACCTCCTGACAAGCAAAATCAATGGGGGAGGCGGGTTCCCTTAACGACCGTGTGACTCACTTAAGAACTGCAGTGATTCACTTAAGAACCGTGGCAAGGAAGGTTGTAAAACGCTCGCTTAACAACTGCCTCACTGAGCAACATAAATTTTGGGCTCAACCCGTGCCCAAACTGTGGTCGTAAGTCAAGGACCACCTCTATTAACCATTAAAATCTCAAAAACGTTTTAAAACCATCATGTCGCCTCTTTCCTGCTCTTCTCCCCCCTCCCCCCCAGGAAGAAATGAGGGACACCGTGAACTCCCAGTATGATTCCTTCCTTTACTGGAGAATGCCCATCCCTGAACTGGACCTCTCCGAACTGGAGTGCCTGGGACTGGCCGACCTCGCCCTCTTCAAGCCCAAGCGGGGCTATGGCAGCCTCGTGACCGAACAGAAGACCCAGAAGTCGAGTCTGGGGGACCCGGAAGAGGCGGAGAGCGCCCTGCTCCCCTTCAGCAGCTTCAACTTCTGGAGAGCCCCCATTGCACGCATCAGCCCTGTAGATTTCGACCTCATCTGAAGCCCAGCGGCCTTTTTTTTTATTACACCCCCAATTGCATCTTTTCTGGTGGTGCTTCCTCCCTCCCCAAACTTCTCTGTGGTTCCTCTGTGCCGTGTTCGCGATTCCACGAGCTGATGTGTCTGAATCCTTTGCCATAAATCAAAAGTGGACTCTTCACGTTGGTATGAGTGTCTTTGCTAAAATACTGTATCTCTCTCTCACACACACACACACCGCACATGTCCCCCAGATCTGCCAGGGTCCACAGGAGGACTAGGAGAAGGAATTGTAAAAAAACAAAACTAAATTAAAAATCCCTCTTCCTGTGCACGTGTGACTAATCAGCCACCAGGGTTAGCAACTGGCAGCTTCGTGCCCAAATCCATCCTGCAACGATTTGGCCCATGCATATTATTATTATTTTCCTTTGACCGAAAATCTCCTGCCAGCAGGAATAGCACAAGTTTTGCTTTAAAATAATCTCAAATTGAGAGGCTTATTTGAGGGTGTGTGTAAGTTTTGTAGAACCTTCCCTAATTTTTCCTGGAAAAGGAAGGAAATGGCAGAGAAAAAGGGAATTAAAAATCGGAGGGATGTGCGTAGAAGAAAACAGGGCTGTCCATTATGGGTCAAAGAAAGAGATCCGATTAAAATATGGCAGGGGGAGGTCTGGTATGCTTTCCCCAAAGAACTGAAGGATAGCAGAGATTGGTCAGGTATCACCCCCACCTCCCTCCCCAAGCCGGCACATATGGGCATCTATAGGTTCCCTCACTTTCACAGCTGGTGGGCCCAATGCTGGCTGAAGCTTAAAACACCAGGAGTTGGGAAACACCTTTTTTTAAAAAGATGGATGTTGGAAAGGAGAACCGTTTAGGTCTTCTGTAAAATGGGGAAATGAAAAAGGGGATGATGGTGTGAAACTGACTCGTTCTATGGTTCAGGTCCAATTGCTCGAGGGGTATCCAGAGGCTCTGGAAACGGTCTCAGCTTGGGGTGCAGGGATGAATTGGAGACTGAAAGCGCTTTATTCATTTCCTTCTCCAGAGATGAGGAAGTCAATGGACAAGATTCACACAACCCCCATTCCTCTCTGAGCGATCGCTCAAAATTCAGCCCTGTTTTAAAACCAGGGTCAGGTCCAAATCTGAAGGGCCACCAGAAAGAGGCAGCCGTGAAGCCCCTGGCCTCCGATCTGGCCCTAAGCATGGATTTTCCGTGGGAGCAAACAGATCCCAGGGTCACACCCATGTTCTGGCTCCAGGAGAGTCCTTTGGGTCTCAAGCACACACGTGTCACCACGGCTCATCCATGCGTTCATATCCTCCAGCGTGTTGCAACTGGAAGTGATTGTGCCCACCTGGGCTTTTTGGGAGGTGGGGGAATGACCAGAAGGGCTGCCATCCAGGATGGGGGTGGTATATCAGGCAGTCCTGGGTAGGGGGCCTGCTGGGGAGCATGGGTGCGGTGGTCCAAACTCTTTGCAAACTCTTTCTATAAACACTCATATCAGGTGAGCATCTCTGATCTAATGCTGCAGTTCACATAGCTGGGGAAGATTGGACTCATAGTCCAGCACTTTTTTTGGGGGGGGGGCTTCATTGGAGGGGTTTCCAAAGCAAGTGGAGATCCAGGATGATGGTTTTTGGGTTTCCAGTCCTGTTTGTGCCTCCCCCCCTCCCCGTATAATCAACACACAACGAGATGGACATTTTTTCTGCCATTCTGGGCTCTATTGGTGATTCTACAGGAGGCGCCTGACCATAGAGACGCAGAAGGGAGAGAGCGCCTCCATTCAGGGAGCATTAGAACGCGGTCGGCCTCGCCCTACCATAGAAATGTGGGGGGCAGAGCGTCTCCACACCGCGCCTAAGCGATTTCCTTTCCGCTGCCGGAAGAGCGAGGCTGTGTGTGTCACACCCTAAAGGTTCCCCCATTAGAGATACTTCCGGGTGTGCCATTTTTTTTCCTCCCGTTTGGGGGAGCGGCTTGTCGGTTTGGAAACTCTTATCTTCCGGACTGCGAAGAACTTTCCAAAACAGGCTGATCTGGACACGGGGAGCCCCCCCCCCTCCGCTTCCCAGGGTGAGTCCGAATCTGGGGGGGGGGGAGTTATTAACGGGATCTGGAGGAAAAGGACCCCCCCAATAGGGTTGGACTACAACGCCCATCGTTCTATCCCACCCTACGTGCCTGGATTGCACAGCCCCTCCCCCCCTTCTCCTGGACCCCAGAGCTTTTCATCCCCACGCCTGGAGTACCTCACTTCCCATCATCCACCGACCAACAGAGCCACAAAGGCTGCTCCCATCATCCCCAGCGCCAGGACGGGCTGGGCCTCCCTTTAGAGTGGGCAGGGCCATGAGGACTACAACTCCCATCCCTGATCCTGCTCCTTGGCTGGGCTCACACCAGATCCTGGCTAGGTTCCCTTAACCCTCCTGGATTGAGATCAACAGAATAACAGAGTTGGAAGGGGCCCCTGGAGGTCATCCAGTCCGACCCCCTTGCTCAAGCAGGAGACCCTATTGCAGGGGTGCCCAAGCTTGGCCACTTTAAGACTTCTGGACTTCAACTCCCAGAATTCACCACCTGGCCAAGCATGGCTGTCGGGGGAATTCTGGGAATTGAAGTCCACAAGTCTTAAAGTGGCCAAGCTTGGACACTCCTGCAATAGGGTCTCCTGCTTGAGCAAGGAGTCGGACTAGATGACCTTCAGGAGCCCCTTCCAACTCTGTTAATGGGATCCTGTCCCATACTCTATCCCATTCCGGACAAATGGCTGTGCAATCTCCCATTAAAATCTCCAGGGATGGAGCACCCACAATGTCCGAAGGTTAAAGCTGAACTTGTCTTTCTTGTTAAGATTTTGCAGAGAGAAGGACGCCAGGCGAGGAACACAATGGCCCAGATCCCTCTTTCCACCTGTGAGTAGAGCCAGACCCTAAAAGGGAGGTGGGGGGGCATGCAGACCCACCATTGACCTCCTCTCCTGCCCCCCCCAGTCCAAACCAGTGAGATTTCTCTCCCCCCAGATGTTTGAAACCATCTGTTCCCCTGTATAAAGATGTCACTCATGGACCTGGGGAAGAAGCTCCTGGAAGCAGCCCGCCAAGGCCAGGATGATGAAGTCAGGCTGCTAATGGCCAACGGAGCCCCCTTCACCACCGACTGGGTACGTCCAGGGTGGGAAAGCCAGCGAGGCGGGGAGGAAGGCAAGATAGGGACAGCAGGATTATACATTTCAGGAGATAAGATGGAAAAAGGTTATCTCAAGTGGAGTCCTCCTGCTACGGAAGAAGGAAACAAAGACGAAGAAACTCATCACGACTCCGCAAAAGAGGGCAACCAAGGATAATAATCTTCCTGCTTAATCATCCAACAGCTGGGAATATCAGCCCTTCACCTCGCTGCTCAGCACGGGCATTATTCAACGGCCGAAGTTCTGCTTCGGGCCGGAGTCAGTCGAGATGCTCGGACCAAGGTTGACCGGACGCCCCTCCATATGGCAGCTGCAGATGGTCACGGCCATATTGTCGAGCTGCTGGTCCGGGTAAGCAGGTGCTTCTCGTGGCCTTCCACTTTTCTTTGTAGCTCTCGTAAACATGGCGAGGCTTCTGCCTTTCTTTTCTCTGCCCTTCCCCAAACGGTTCTGATCCACTCGGCGGTGTCTCCCTATCCAGAACGGTGCTAACGTGAACGCCAAGGACATGCTGAAGATGACCGCTCTGCACTGGGCCACCGAACACAACCATCGAGACGTTATTGAGCTGCTTCTCAAATGCGGGGCGGACATCTATGCCTTCAGCAAATTTGGCAAGTCCGCTTTCGACATCGCTTTGGACAAGAAAAATCCTGAAATTTTGTTGCTGCTGCAGGTGGGCTGAAATCCCATCTTTGAGTCTTTTGAGTGTCCCTTCTGCCCGTTGTTTAGTTGTCATTTGGGGCTGAATCTTTGGGATTCTGGCTTTAATAGTGCAGGGCGCAAGAGGACACTGGACTCCGGTACTTTTTTGAGTCGTTTCCACTGTGGACCTCTGCTCAGATTTTGGCTTTGGCAGCAAAGAGCTGTTTTCGGCCTGGCTCCATGAAGCCCCAAAGGCTTTCTCTTCTTCAGGAAGCGATGCAGAATCCAGTCAGTGCCAACCCCGACAGGGTGCATGCTGTCCCAGGCTCCGTGACAGTGACCCAGCCCTTCATTCTGGCTTCCGGAGAACTGCTGAGCCTGGCCGGCATTGTTTCTTCGGTGGATACCAAAGCAACCTCAGGTTGGAGCATAATTCCTCCCTCCAACCCTTGCTAAGGGGCAGGGATAGGGGTCCACCTTGTTAAAAGGTGTTAAGAAGGCCATCTCCTTTCTGACTCTCTTCTCTCTCTTCCCTGCTTAGGAAATTCCATTGTTTCCATGGGGCAATTTCTAGATTCTACCTCCTCTGTTCTAGCTACCCTGGCGGCTGTCGCAGAGGCCTCTGGCCCCATTTCCAGTGCCAACCAAATTCCTGGTGGGTTCAAAGGCACAATCACGCTGGCAGAGGGAGTGTTGACGTGTGTGGGTCGCAGTTGGACAAGGGCGACATTAATAACTGTCTTTTTTCCTTTTAGAAATTTCACAGTCATGTCTGAAACAAGGGGAGTCTTTTAGAGCAGTGTTTTCCAACCTCAGAAAATTTAAGACATGTGGACTTCAACTCCCAGAATCCCCCAGCCAGCCTGAAGTCCACACCTCTTAAAGTTGTCAGGGCTGAGAAACAAGGTTTAGAATAATGCAATTTCCATTCTTAATTGAGGGAAGGAGCCAGTCCTTAACTTTCCTGCAAACTGCTTGTGCTTTATTTCCACCAGGAGATCAAGACGGTTTTTATTTTATTATTTTTTTTAAAAAGCAAAGCCTGCCATTTTCTAGGAAAGTCCAGCAAAGCCTTAATTTTGGTGACTCTTTCGAATCTCGATTTTACACTGGTTTAAAGACTCCTTCCTCCATGGTTGCAGCTGTCTCGGAAGAAATTGTGGAAACTCTACCAGACGATACCTCTCTCCGGCAGGCGGTTGGTGGCGGCCAGCATGTCCTCATGCTCGTGACCGAGGGCGTCCCTGAGGGTCCTCTCCAGGCAGCTCTGCCGGCCACTCACCTAGGACAGCAGTTCATTGTAATGATGCCGAAGGAGCAGGAAGGTAAAGGGCCTCTGGGGAGGTCCTGCCAAACAGCCATCCTTGATTCAGGATACCCAGTCCAGGTGTCTGGACTGCCATACCCATAAGCCTGAGGCCGATGGGAACTGTGGTGTTTGAGGCTGAATGCTGGGAAGATGGCCAGAAGAAGACTATTATTAAGCATTATTTTTAATGCTTAACAATTATTTTCATTACTGGCTTTATTTATTTATTTATTTTTTAAATTTGGTGCCAGCCAACCTTCTGATTCTGGCCTTCTCAAAAGTCTGAGAGGGAGGGCTGGAATTTTATCAAAAAAAATTCTCCCACCTATTTTATCTGCCTGCATTGTATTCAATCCCTCCCTGATCTACTCAATTTCTCCACTGACTCTCCATATTTTAATGCCTTCCTTTTTCTCCTCTGCCTCTGCCTCAATTTTCAGTTCTGATTGTGCCTGCTGGTCAGGAGGCAGAAGGACCCCCCCTCAAGACCCCGAGCAAGAATAACCACGTGGCCGAAGCAGAGAAGCCGCCCTCCAAGAAAGTCAAAATGAAACCAGCGGGGGATGGAAAAGAGGAGGAAGAAGAGGAGCAGGAAGGGAGAGAGGTAAGAGCCACTCCCCTTTGCACACTTACGTTCACACCCGTCCTCACAGCATTGGTGCCCTCCCAGAAGTGCTGGACCTCAGCTCCTATCATCCCCAGCTGGTACATCAGGTAATCCAGATTGCCAGATACGCAAAGGGCGCCAAAAGGCGAATTTGAGATTCAGGAGCCTTGGTTGCTGTTCAGATGACGCACTCAACTACCCCTTGTAGTCGGTTTGTTTCTGGTTTTCACCCTGGTGCAAATCCAGCCCTTTCAGGTTTGTTAACCAGGATTCATAGCTTAAGGTATCGTGCAGCCCCACTCCGCTATCGTATAGAGAAACTGATACAAGCCGCTTTCTTTCGTAAACCAGAAATTCAAAGGTTTGCGTGGCACGCTCCCTGCAGGACCCACCTCCTCTCTCTTTGCAGAATGTTTCTCTCCCCCGTGATAAAGCCCTGACTTTTTCCTAGGACGGCCACGCCAAAGAAGCTTTGCAACAGCAGCTCCAGGAGGCCAATCACCAAGCGGCAGAATACCGAAGCCGGCTGCTGAAGAAGGAGCAGGAAGCTGAGCTCTATCGGCAGAAGCTGGCAACCATGAGCCAGCAGAAGGCCGGCACGGGAGAAGGGGCTGCCCAGGAGGAGCTCAGTGGAGCTGACACCATCAAGGTGTCTTCGGAAGAAACGGGACAGGGGCAGCTCCAGGACGACACAGACACCGAGACGGTCACTTCCTAACCCCCAGGTTGTTGTTTTGCCGCACTTGTTAAAAAAGGCAACCAAAGTTTTGCCCCAGGAAAACTTGAGATGGGGGAATGTGGGAGCAGGTTCTTGAGGCTGCCCCTCATCAACCCTCTAACGGGCTCATTCTGGGGGCTTGAAGCCCCCGGGGGTCTCCGTTCTGTTCAACAGAGGCCTTTAAGGCAAGCCAAGGAACTCAAAAGTCCCCTTAGAAAGATCAGCGTGCAGGCACTGTCTTGGGAAAGGCCCCGTGTCTTGGGGCAGTCCCGGGGTGCAGGAAGAGGGAAGAGTGCTCTGGGAAAAACCCCTGAATCGGCTGAGAGCCAAGAGCAGCCAAAGGGATCCGGCCAGCTCAGACAAGAGCCAGAAATGTTGTCCAGATGCCACATTCTTGCAGTGGAGGTTGCTCAAAGGAAGTGGGGCTCTACCAGCCCCCACCCTCCCGAACCTAAATGACAGATCTATCCGAAGTCCTAAAAAAAAGCTTGCAAAATTGCAACGGGGTCATCAAAAGCGAGGGAGTCGCAGGACGTTCCCGCTGCGTGGAAATCGCCCCCTGCTTCAGCCGTCATGCAGTTGTGTTAGCGTGAGCTGCGTTAACCCAGATTTATGACAGACGGGCCACTCTTTTCAACAAACCCTGTTTGCTGGCTATAGGAATGTGGAGTTTGTGGCCTTCCCACTGGTTTGTGGACCGAGTTAAGAAGGGCTGGGCCTTGTGGTGCAGCCACGTCAGAAGAACCCAACCCCGACGTAGAGGGGTGCAGAAGGGAGGGCTCTGCCTCTCTCTTTCTCAGGGGTTTGGCAACTTTTAAGACCTGTAGATTTAATCGTGGGGGATTCTGGGAGTTGAAGTCCAGACTGGGATCCTTGCACACTTCCAGGGCTGCCCAATTAGGATTGTGAGTGTGCCAGCAGGGAGGGAGGGAGGGAGTTTGAAGTCACAAGGCAGCCGCTGTGGAACACCAGCCCTGTTTTATTTGAAGCACGCAATGCTCTCCAAAGAGACCACTGCCCACCTTTGTAGAAGGGTCTCCAAATGAAAAGTAGTGCCTTATGGGTCCTTAAAGAGGCAGGATTCGCACGGGGTGCGTTTCCCCACAATGCCCTCCTCCCTTGCCAGCCACAAATGTTTTCCCAGACACATTCAATAAATTCTGCTTTTCAAATAGCTTTATGCCTAGGAGTGTTTGGTTTAGCAAACGCAAAGGTTCTTTTGGAGGTTGAAATATTCGTTCTGCAAATTGCATGCCTCCCTCTCCTCTCGCCCTACTTTGAGGTGGGCAGGTGCCTGGTGACTCAGGTGCATTACCTGCCTCCTGTTCCTTCCTAAGCCACAGAACGAAGCCGCAGAATCTTTGCCCTGAGTTCAAACCAGGATGGGCAGAACCTCCCGTCTCTGCCGGGCCCGAGCAGGTAGACTGCCCCCGTGCGTGGAGGTTCCACCGAGGTAGCCATACCCAGGCTTGGGCTGGCCATCTCCACCAGTTGCCTTCAGGCCAGGCGATAGTCCAAGGTGTCTTTCTCCACGTAATCGGTCCAGGTGGAGGGGGGCATGCTCCGGTAGGGGTCCAGGAGGATCCGGAAGCAACGGATGATCAGCACCGCCAGGAAGACGAAGAGGAAGAAGACGAAGAGGAAGGTCGCCTTCTGCTCCAGGGAGAGGGTGGGGTCAGGCCGGAGGGCGCTGGCCAGGGCGGGCAGGGAGCTGCCCTGGCTGGTGGCCATGAGGACTGGCACCCCCAGCGAGCGAGTGTCCAGCTGTGTCCGCAGCACCGCCTGGAAGGGGGACAAAGACCCCGTTAGCAGTGGGTGGCCTCCGCAGCAGCTGAAGAGCCAGGAAGTAGAGGAGCCCACGGCCAGACAGGCGGCCAATCAATGGAAGAAATAAATTTTAACAAATCGGTGCAGGGTGGGGTCTATTATCCCTGGCCTGGGAGCCTTTTTAAAAAATGCTCTTTTATTGCAACACTGATGGATGCCAGGTGAGGGGCTGGAACCCTCTTTTGGGTGCTTCGATGCCCAGCCCAACGAAAGGGTGAGCAATTGGGGAGGGGTTGTCCTAGGTTGCTTTCTTGCCCTGTCCTCTCCGGGGGGAAAACACACTATTTTAAAGCTTGTTCAACACAGCTCTAAAATTTAAAACAATCCCTTTTGCAGAAGGGCTGGGTGTATTAAGAATGCAACCCCAAACTGCAAGCAGAAGGGCATTTTTAAGGCTGGGAGAGGGGAGGTGGCAGGTGGGGCATGGGGGAAACCCCACAGCTGTCGCCCACATGGGACCCTTCCCATCAAAGGCTCCCATCCCACCCTATGACCTGCGCTGTTTGAATGCCAGCCGCTCCTGATTCAGACCCCTGGAATGGGAAGGAGACGTCTCACCTGGAGGAAAAGCCGAGCCAATCTCTAGCAACGCATCGCCGCCAGCCAGGTAGGCGGCCCCCTTCTTCGCCCAGCCGTTCTGGGAAATCAAGGCTGGGTGGGATTAGCACAGAAGCCGTTGCCGGAGGCTTCCCGCATCTTCCTCACTGATGGACAGCGGCATACAAAGGCAGGGAGCAGAGGAATTCGTCCCAGGTGGGACTGGGACTGGGGCGGGAGTCCTGGGGAGGGCAGAGGTCCCCTCTTTGCCGAGGGTGGGGGCAGCTTCCTCCGGTGCCCACGCGTCCCTGGCCAAAGCACCCAAGATGCTTCATAGCTGTTGCCAGGGGCAACCAGTTGCTATGGAGATGACGAGCAAACTCTGGACCAGACAGGAGGGAGAATGCCGGAAACGGTGGATGTTCAGCTCTCCATCCGAGGCTAAACTTTTGGGGCGAGCGGAGAACAGAGGCCGGCCTTGTTCTAAGCTGCCCTCAGGAAGCCAATGATGGCCAAAACCCTAAACCTGGATTGAGAAGCCACAATTGCAGCGTTCGCGTGACACGCCTCGCCCAACCATACGCACGACACCATTTTCAAACCTTGGTGTGACCATCTTGGGCACAAGGAGGGCGAATTCAGACCAGATCAAGAAAGATGGTCCAGAAGCTGCCCAAATTCTGAACCAGCGAGATTCCCAGTGTGGCGTTTTTCCTTTTGCAGAGAGAAAGAATTGTGTTTCCAGGTCTCCAAAAATCCCAAGCCATTTAGCAGAAAACAAACCTGGTTTAGTCATCCTGGTTTGGTTATTTTTTTTTTTTTTATGACCGACCCAGGTTGGTGCATCTTTGATCCAAGGCCGGTCGCAAGAAAATGGGACCCCCGATGCCCCCCTCCTCTGAATGTGCATCCTTTCTGGATGTTCCCGAGAGCGGAGCTGAGCATCTGGAAGACCCCAGACCTTTCCAGACTCTTCAATGGAGCCTGCTGGTGCCAGGGAAGTGTGTGACTCACAAGGGGCCGCCAGGTGGCACTGCCAGGCCGGGTTTGCTCCTTTGGAGGGTGCCCAGATTTCTCAGCCCTTGAGGGAGAAAGAAAGGGACCCCAATTTTTTATTTTTATTTTTTAAACCTCAGCAAAAAATTCTTTCTGACATCCTCGTTTTTTAAAAATTGGATGCACAATTAAAGCTGCAAAAACACTTTTCAAGGGATTTTTTAAAGACAGTTATTTGGCTTTCCTTCCCTTTTGAGAAATTGATCATCTCCAAATACTCGGCACCCACCAAACGTTTTTTGGGGTGGCCCCAGAATCTATGAAACGGAAGGAAGGAAAGAGAGGGGACGTTGGCTGGAGGATTCAAGCTGAGCTCCTGAGAGGACTCACCGAAAACTCCCGCCTCTTCCTTTTGCTGCATCCACAAAGGTAGACTGCTCCTGGAGTTGGAGGCTCTCCAACTTTTGCGTACGGTGGGGCCCCTCTACCATCCAGCATTGGAAGAGCTGGCCAGATGTTGTGTAGCAAGAAGAACCACGTAGAAACTCTTTTCCCTTTCTTTGCTGTTTACCACCAATAGAAGTGCAGGAAGGCAGGAAGCTCCGTTTTCAAAAATTTCTTAGAAATGGCTTCCTTGCTCCCTTCACCTCTCTCAGCCCAGCCCCAACGGGCAGGCTCCCAAGTCATCAGCCACATCTGTAGGCCTCTTGGCATAAAAGGAGAGGAGGAAGAAACACCTGGCAACTTCTCTCTCTCTCTCTCTCTCTCACACACACACACACACAGTCTAACTTGGCATTGTCTTCCCAGTTTTGCAGGAAGTTGTGGCCGTATTAATTCCAAAGAGCAGCAAAAGTTGAATGCTGATGTTTAACATGAGCCAGCCAAGACACGGGGGGGGGGGGATGTTGGTCCCCTCTCCCCCCCCAGCATTTAGATTTAATCTCCAGGCTTTGGAAATTAAATCTAAACTTCCTTTTGCTCTGCAACCCATGGAGTGGGGGAACAGGAGACCAATCGCCAAGCAAGGAAAAATTCTATTAGGTAATTTTCTGCAAAATCCAACCAGTTTTCACAAATAATCTTTATTCTCCGGGTGCAGATTTAGCATTGTGTTTTCCCGGCTGCTATTTCCGAGGGGTTTGCGAAGGGAACTGGTCCAGACTTTGTAGGAGAAAAAGCAATTTTGGGGATCAGGTGACCGTGTTGCGATGTTGAGAAAATTGAGAGGTGGATGATGGGCGCAAGAGTTGCAAGTCACTATCCTTGCAGTCTCTACAGAACCATCTCTGAATCTATCACAGGAGCCCTCAATGGCTTTGCCAGCTGTGCTGCACCTCTGGCGTTTGAATATAAATGCTGGGGAATTCTGGGAGTTGAAGTCCTCCAGGCTTAAAGTTGCCAAGGTCGGAGACCCCTGGTTTAAACAGCTGTCTTGGCTAAGGATCATCTCTTGCCCCTTGGAAAGACAGTCCCCATAGTGCACTGCCAGACTACAACTCCCAAAAGCCGGAGCACATGATGCATCAGTTGAAGGACTCCCCAATTTCCTCCACTTTGGAAGACGGGAAAGCCAATCCATCAACCCAGCTCTGGGTTGCTCTAACCGCAGTTTGGTCCAAATTAGGATTATGAGCTCATCCCTGGCATGGCTCGGGTGTTTCTTTTGGGGTGGGGGGAGCTGTTTTCCCTCCCCAGCCACCTGCCCAATTTGGGGAAGGGGACGTCTGTTAAGATGAAGCAAGGAGGAAGAGACAAGGGGGGGGAAGAGGGACTGTCTGCTTTAGCAATCAAACCTCTTTATTCTTCAAGCGAGCCAAAAGTGATGGGGGGGGCACGACAGAGATGGCCAGATGTGCTGCAGATGCAGGAAGGACGGAGAGCAGAGGCCCCTGAAGGCTGCAGGGTTCTGCCAGATGCTCAGGGAAGCTGGAAACAACTGTCTGGCCAAACGGGGCCCATTTCGGGCCCTCCGAGGGAGAAACCTTTGCCTAGGAAGAGACCCCCACACCACCCTGGAGACCCTCCCCCTCCCAGCTGCCCCTCCCTTCCTGGAGTTGTAACCCAACTTAGTCAGAGAGAATCTGTTCAGGATAAGCAGATCAACTTTCAGCCATTCCGGCAGGAACATGCGGGATGGGATTTGTAGTCCAGATAAATACCTTGGACTGGACTGGCCTTTTCCTCCAGATTGTGGAGAGGAGCAAATTCGATCAGTAATCAAAAAGACCAACAAGAGTGTTACGGTTGTACTTCCTTAGCAGGGGGTTGGACTAGATGACCTCCAAGGTCCCTTCCGGCTCTGTTCCTGTTACATACCAGCGTTGGCCTGTGCAGGCTGCAAATTTTCCCTGCTTGGTCTCCGTTCTGAATTGAAACCTCCTTTAATTATTAAACCTTCATTGGGACTGAATCAGGTGCCGGTTTTCTTTTTTTTTACTTCTCTTATACGAAGTTAAAACAATGAAATATACACATATATTAATACTTTATGTACAATTTTTTTTTTTAGAAAATAAAAGTGCTGCAAGGAAGAACTTTCCACACACACACGCTCCAACCCCACCCGCCCTCCCACCCCCCCAAATATCCTGCCCACGTGATTAAAAAAACAAACAAACCAGAAAACGGATTTGCAGCCCTCGGTGGGTTTCTCCGGATGGCACTTAGCAAAAAATAAAATAAAATAAAAATGGGTCGGTTTACAGATTCTCCCCTCCTCCTCATGGGTCGCCCACCCCTCCCCATTTTGGAGAGGGACAGATTTAGGGACCGTTGCAAGTACGACATCAAAAGAATTCCCTCCCCCCCCCTCT